CGAGCGAGCGAACGAACGAGCCATACGGGTCCATTTTTCACGGGCATATAAATGCGAGTTATTAATACGCCGGTATTGTGCGGCACGGAGAAGGTAATTAGTGGCCAGTTCATCAGTCACTCGGCCAGATCCCCGCCGACGGGTGGGGCAGGGGAGGAAGGAAATCTTCCTCGGACCTATATAAGCGAGAGCGGCCTAAGTTCCCGTCCTCCTCTACCAAGGTTGCAAGAAAGATTAGACGGCTAATGAAACCGCGGTCGGTACGGGAAAGACGGAGTGAGCCGGGTGCGATGAACGAGAAGGAGAGGAAAGGAGAAGATGCGAGAACGAAGTTAAGGGTAGGGAGGGGGCGAGGCGAACGGAGATCGCTCTCGGTCCCGATTAACGTGAGTTATATTTTGTACCTTGATCGCCCCGACGCCGGAAATTTTTAATTAGGCGTATCGACGATCGATCTCTCCGATCGCAGAGAAGACAGCGAGAAGAATGGAGTACGGTACGTGTGAGAAGCCGACTCGAAGTTTCGATTCTGCATTTAACGCAGTACGGAAAAAAGAGATATCGGTCGAAGCAGCGCGACGATAAACAACGAAGTGGACTCGCGTCTTGTCTGAAAGAAACGAAACGTCCGCTCTCTTCGGGAGCGACCTCATCGCGAAGAAAAACATGAAGAGGGAGATCAACCGCACTTATTCACCCCTCAACCCTCGACTACCGACGGAACCTTCCTCTTGGAATAATCTACGCTAAGATATAGCGAGCAGACGAGAGAACCCGGCCCGCAAGGTAACGCAGCCGCCAAGAAACTAGGCGAGCTGAAAGATCGCGAACTACGATGTCACGTCAGAGTTACCCCCGCGGAGGGCTGAGCATCGAGTCCTCGTCGAAGACTCCGCGGTTGACAAACGGCTGGACGCGGCTGACACCTTGGATAAGCAAGGTGCGACGTGATAAGCTGCGTCTCCTCGTCGCGATAAGCGCTCACGTAGTATCTAGCCGGCTCTCTGGAGATATTAATGGCAGTCGTGCTGGGACCGCCAGTTCTCGTCTCGGTAACGTACTGTCGGGAAGTCCAGGTCCTCCAGGTCGGCGGTATTAGCTAATGTCGTCGCGATTACCGCACCTGGAGTAGCCCAGGCCCCCTCCCCCCCCCGGCTGCAATCGCAACGACGGCACACGTCGCCGTCCACACGCGCGCACGCGTTCATGCCCCCCACATGCACGTATCGCCCCGAAGACAGGAAGCGTAGAGCGTTGATTGGCTGTCCGGAGGCGGTTGGAGCCGACTGTGTGACCTCTGACCCCACCCCCGTGGGGCGCGCGCGCACGTCTCCAACCCCGAGGAAGTAATTACCTTGCCACCCGCGCTCGATAACCGTCGCTATCGGCCCATCCTGACGGCCGCTGATGCGCCAGGGTCGCGCGCGTGTTCACGAGCACGCGCCCTCGACAGTACACATGCGTCGCGACCGAAAGAGCCTTGGCTGCGATTAGGTGCACAGCGGCGAACTACTAGCTAGAGAACTGTCGACTGTGAAACCGTCGATCGGACAACAGGACGAACCAAGGTAACGCCGCGCGACAAGGAGACTCGGATCGATCGCCGTGAGCTCCGAGACGCATCCACGTCTCACAGTGGCACTCAGTGGCAGGAAGTGGCTCGAATCTATCTCGAGTCTACTCTTTTCAGCTGAAACAGGCTTTTCGTCTGTTCGTGTGTTAGGATGAGACAAGTATATGTTATATGACCTGAGCGTTGAAGGGGTGGACAAAATGAAGAGTTCCAATGAAGAGTTCAGCTAAGAAGAGCAGGTCTGATTATCTTAAGACCAGCTCGGATTGCACTAGGGAGGGATTGGGTATATACTCGAGTAATACAGGGGAAAAGAAAGATTCCCAAACTATGCGCCATCGCGTGCAAAATCGATCGACACGCATCTCGTGAATGTCGAGACTGGCGCTGCGTGTATGTGGGTGTGTTCGTGCATGATGGGTTGGTTACCTCTTGGAGTATTACGTTAAGCTGCAACCTTTACTCATCGTGACGCAAAGTTACCTCTGTTGCGATGCAATCCAAGCTTCTTCAACCAACGGTCCCTAACGGACGAAATTAACGATGCTTCTACCTTGACAGAGATGAGATAATGGGATGGTATGGCGAGACACCCTTTGATGTGTGTAAATAAATACGCGCTCGTTAATACGTAAATAATCGCGAGTCTCGTATAATCGGTCCTTTCATCTCCGCGTTAGCATTATTACAGCCTGCCAACGTTCACCTACGGTAGCTCTCCCTTGTTATTGCGGAGTAAAGTCGAGCGGAATTTTATTCCATGACGTTCGCCTGCGACAAATTCAGCCCCGAAGAAAGAAAATACCAGCATTTCGAGGAGCAAGCGCTGCTTGCACTCGCGTTATTGCAGAGCAGAGGTAATCGCGCGCAGAGCAATGCTGCAGTCTCAAGTCTCTAATCGCTTCAGCTCTACGTACATAATAGTACTATAATTAGCGCTATCAATCATACGCGATCAGCGCGGCGAGCGGCGCGCGGCAATCGATGAAACACGATAGCATATAATAAACAGCGTTATCGATTGCGTGCAATGATACTCTATTTGCGCGATTCCCTTCACCCGAGACTCGACTGCTGCTATATCTCCGACTGTTTGACCGAAACGAGCCGAGCGGTGGCCGTCGACGAACGGATGGAACGATGGTGGGTTTCGGCCGACGCGAGTGATTTCGCCGACGAACGTGGCAGGGTGAGGAGGAGGAGGAGGAGGAGGAGGAGAGGAAGGGTAGATCTCGCGGCGCAAAGTGCAAGAAGAGAATCGCGCATAAGGTCACGCCGTGGGGTTACGCCAGGCAGATCCCCATTGGCAGGCCAGTGCCAAGCAAGAATCGCGATTGGCTGAAGGTCGTGGGTCGCCTCACCTACCCCCAATCCAACGTGACCTCCCACGCGAACTCGCGAGGTAGTAACCGCCGCCACCCTCGCCGGATTCGACGTTGGGGTCGCGCTGCCTCATCGCGCGTTCCGACACGCCGCGCGCAAAAATCCGCTCCAACGGGGGAGAGGAGCGCGGTTCTGCTCGGTGCATCTGATAACGGTGAGATTAATCGCGGGTGTTTCAAGGGGGCGAAACGCAGTCTTTGCATTCGGCCTCGAGGATATCGCGGGCGGCGACGATGCTTTTCTCTCCGCGCAAGGGTTGAAACGCGATCGGATATCGATTTTTTATGCAACGTACATGTTCGTATGATCGGTACTCATAATTTGATCTTATACTTAAGCATCTTCAAACGTTGCGAAAGCCAGTTCACTGGCTCGCTTGGCAAGTGTGAGACTTAAATCTCATGAATCTTAAATACAAAACTAAATACCCCACCCTATATTTTCTATGGAAACCTTTAACGTTCACACTTTCTATTCCCTAAACTGCCGCTTTGTTCTTTACTTTTCGAACTGAGGATTTTCAATACTCGACTCTCCATTCGCAACTTACGTTGCATCCAGAGAATCAATTAAAAAGCAAAAAAAGACTAGGACGACTGTTCGTTAGATGTCCCTCTTGTTTCCGACTACCCCTTTAATGGCCTACGCGCGAGGATCAAGTGATATATCCTTGCCTGCACGACGCGCATCCAAGACGGGAGAAGGTAGGAAAGAAGGATGGACTAAAACGAGCGTAAAGTCATAATGCCATTCATTAGGAGGATGAGGAGACGAAGGCGGAGGAGGAGGAGGACAACCGGCAAACCGCGGCAATTAACTTCCACTGGGGGCTTTTTTATCGCGTCGCGGTATTATTAGACGAGCGGTCAACCCCCGCTGAACACGAGGGTGAAAATGTCGCGCAGCGCGCAGATGCGGTAATCCAAATTTAGTGCGATATAAATACAGCAGATTAGAGCGACTGTTCTACTTTTTTTATTGTCCCCGCGATCCGTGACGAGGCGAAAAGAATTACGCACGAACGAAACGAGGCGTGACGATAATCTCGTTACAATCTCGTCGTCATCTCGTGATAATCGATCGTACGATCGTAATTGTGACGCGGATTTCATCTCATCGCGGAGTCTTTTTCTTTTTCAGTTCAAAGTTGAAACCTGGCGCACATAGATGTGCGCAAGCTCTGAAAGTTTAACGCCATTTGCATCGTTTAATATTATATAGTGAGAATTCTGCTTCTCGTGGAAATATCACATCACACGCTTCTATTTACATGGCATAGATATCAATATGTTTATATATAAACAATTAACATGATATTGTAACAGATATCATTAGGATAAGCAGGAAAAGCTGAATACGAAATATATACGTCCATAATGTATTCAATGGATCTTGGGAAGCTTCTGATGGAAAACAGCTTTTATTTCGTATTCTATAGTAAATTTACGTCATTATACAACTATTGCAATTGTAATCTCAAATATAAAATTTATTAGCATATATATAATAATCATTATCCTTCGTATGGCAATACTCAAGCTACGTAATTAAATCTGAAGCGTGCGAGCTTCAGTTCAATTATAATGGACCTTTGCAAATACGCCGCTCATTACGATTTAGTAATTGTTTCACGTATAATAACATCTGTACAATATTATTATTCGGTAAGATGTTATTGCCTGAAACGCGTATAACGCAATTACTCTAACACAATTAGGAGCGCCGCGCATTGGTCTGTTTCTTGTCTCTGGAAACAAGTCGCTCTCACGAAACACAGATTGAATTAGCGAATATTATAGAATAGGCATCGAAACCGAAAGTCGATAGCGCTATTCAAAACAGTTATTCAATCTTGTATTTAACGATTATTGCATATAAAAATATTAGATCGTGCAAGAAAAATATGTGACACTATATCTGACAAAAGATAAGCTTCATTTTATATATATATTCTTGAAAATTTATTGAATGTATGATTAAGCGTTATTAATAAAAAAATATTATTAATAACGATTAATAATGACGAATGAATAAGGATTAAAATAAATAATAATCAAAAATAATATATTACATTAAGCGTCAGAATTTTAAGATTTGTCGTTATAAGAAAAACTCGTGTTTTTAAGTATACTAGCTTGACATTGTCGTTCAGTACCACGTTTATAAATATCGTTAAGTCAAAATTAAATAACTATTTTATTTTAACATGACTAGAAGTTTCATTATCAGAATAGACCATCATTACAGACTTTCTGGAGATATCTTTAACACGAAAATATTTTCTTTGTATATAATTGAATATTGGTTTCATACAAAGAAACGGCAACTTTCGACGATCATTATCATCTGTAAGAAAGAAAGATTCGTTATATAAAATTCTCCGGAAAGGATGCCTCGTTCTATACAGCTTATTGCTAAAAAAAAGAATAAGGATTAAGAATTATACCACTTATTATGTATTCAACGTTTCCGTTATCTATTTTTATGTTCTTGAATGTCCAAAATTTGCAGATCTAAAGATAGAAATTATAAAGATTCTTTCGTTAAATAATGTTCGTATCTATATCACAAATTTCACGCTTATACATATATATATATATATATATATATATATATATGTAACTCTGCTAAAATACCAACAAAGTACACACAGCATACTATCACAAGAACGAAAGAAAGAACAAACTGAAAATACCAAATGTTCGTTAAAACAACAAAATATATGCATGTACACAGATATTCCAAATCCCGAGATCACACGTTATCGAAGGTCGTAAAGTCAATAAGAGATATAAGAATCTAAAGAAGTATTGTATTTTTTCTTCGTCATCTCTTAAACATAAAGTGATAAAGACTTTAACATAACAATGGACTTCATCTTTAATAAAAGAGACTTTCTTTCCATACAATTTCTTAAAAAGAGAATGATGTCTCTTTGTGTGTGAAGAATCTATTTTCTCCACAATGTGGATATGTATGTACATATATATGTACACAACATATATATATATATATATGCATATTAAGATGTCAGATCTCGCAATTTGAAATACAAACACCAATATGAATAAGTAAGAAAATAATAATAACAGCAATTAGCATTTCTCCATACCGCGAAAATTTCAGACACACTAAAAAAAAGTGCCAATTGTAATGTAGAAATGTAGAATTGTAGAAATGATTATTTTCAAGCACAAGTGCACATAATTTCATCCAGACACATACTCCTCCCTGCGTCGTGTTATTATTACGGTAGATACATTTCAAGCGTGACACACATGATCATGCGAGGATATATTTACAAGCAGGATATTAGGTAACGACGAACTCTGGGTATTTTCTTTCGGTTTTAAGGTTTCTGACAGGGATCTCTTGGTGTCCGAGCGACTCGCAGCTGCCAGACCGCAAGACCGATAGGAGAACACGCCGTTTCCGCCACTGCCAAAGCGCAGCCCTCCTTAAAATGTCGTGAGGCGCACGTGCGCGTGGTAGGAAACCGCAAGGTAAAACTACGTGACTTTTAACTTCCACGCGAAGGAGAGCCATATCGATCGGCTTTTGCATAGAGTGTCCGGAAACAGTGCATCGCACTGAGACACCGGATGCACAAAAGAGAAGATAGATTTCGCGTTGTAGCGTCAGGAAATTTCCATTTACCTCCTCCCCCCGTGTCAGTAATTCCTGCGTCAATCGGAAATAAGCAGGAGAAAGAGTGAAATAAAAAAAGCACATGACGGTATCGGACGCGACGCTGTCGTTCGCGTGTCGGCAATGATGTTTACAAGGAAGCTCCTTACTAATCGGTAACGAACAGCGGAATCCACTCGCAAGTCAATCCAATTGGACAGACTCGAAAGCGAACAGCGACGGGCAAACACGGACGATCGGTTATCGAAGCGATTAAACGTACATATCGCCGTCCGTGTCTGTCTATCCCGCGTCGCGCCGCGCCGCGCCGCGCCGCGCCGCGCCATGCCGTGCCGTGCCGTGCAAATATGCGCGGGCAAACTCGAAAGCTGCGCTTCCAACAAGGAGAAACACAGCGTCCGTCCGTCGACGTGGCCCGCGCGCCAACGTTCGTATGCACAACCGGCGGCATCGTGCTCTCGTGGGAAATGCCGTCAATTATATTTGCGCCATGGCGAGCGCGGGTGTCCAAGGTACGCCGGAGTTCCGGACGAGGGATGGCTGTGGGTGGGTCTATCGTCGTCCTCGTCCTCGTCCTCATCCTCCTCTTACTACTACTCTCCTGCCGAACCTGCTGTTTGCACCGGCACTCTAATTAATTATCCGGCGTCTCCGATAATGTAACACCCGACGCGAGCGCACGCACACCGGCGCGGCCCCGCTCTATCCGAATATGCCCGGAATTGTCGCGGCCACATCAGAACGACGATTTTGCGATGCGCGACTGTAACCCCTCGACGACGACTCGGCGAGAGAGACCTTTCGCGATTCCGTGTCCGCGAACAATGTGAACTTCGTCTTCGAGGTACGGCCGTCTGTTTCGTAAAGCGATCTGCAGCCAAGACGAATTTCTATGACGATATAACCGCCAAACTAATACAGCTGACCACTCTTGTCTGGTCTATGCGAATGGAATCATGAGAGAGAGAGAGAGAGAGAGAGAGAAAAGGGGGTAGGAGAGCCGAGAAAGAGCCAAGTCTGTTCGATAACTTCCTCTTTGCCGTTTCCCGGCGATGGGCGCGGAGCGTGCAAATGGAACGCATGGAAGTTATATGTTGACGCTCACCCACCGGATGGACAAATATCGTCGAGTACCACTCGGTAACGCGGGGAGCTAATAAAAGGAGTCGCGCTGTTCCATTATCGAAGCTAAGGGCTCACAGCTAACCGCTTCTGTAAATGGGCACGCGCTCTCTCATGCGCGGCATCTCGTCGAGCCCTTCTTATTACAATGATGCACAGGTCAAACTTCGTACGAGCAATGAAGCTCGTAGCGAAACTTCGTGCGTAAAATCACGCGATTATCCGGAATACAAAGCAGTACAACTTTCGCTGCAATTCGCAGATTTCCACGAGTTAAAAAATTCGACCCGTATTTTGCTCAATGGAAAGATTAAGATCAATGATTTTCTTTCGTTGCCGCACAGAAAAGAGAATCATTCTACCGAAAAGCAACTACTCAATTTATTTTCTTTTTACAAGTAATAGTTATTCCGTGTGAACAAAAAATATTTTCTCGATATTAGTTTCTTAAAGATCGTTACAAATTTCAAATTCATCAACTTGTATTAAAGAAGAGAAAAAAGAATTTTTGTTCTCTTCTCTTAAATATTATAAAACTTGTATTGTATAGAGGAAGCAAATAGAATTTCTGTTTCAATCTAGTGTTCTTGATTGAAATACTAAACTTATTGAAACTCAGAATTTATCTTGACTATATTTCAAATTTAATAAATTTACGTTTGTAAAGTGTTGAACTTTGCGTTTAATGAACGATAAATTTACAGATATAATATCCTATGAAATACTTGAAAGAAATAATATTGATTTGAATGCAATATGTATTTCTCTGCATGCATTCTGGTCTCATTATATCATTAATTTGTTCAAAGTCAATCAATTTGTTGTTGATTAAAGCGGCTTTAAGGCCGCAAAGGCGAATGTAGGTCTTGACAATTAACACGGGTATGACCGACAACGGATGGGACTTGTATCTGAAGTACGCACTCGGTAACGTAGAAGGCTAATAGAAGAAGTCACGCAGCGCTATTGTTAATGGACAATACTGCAGATGGTTAAAACGATTCCCGTCATCCTGAGCTCACTCTGCTCGGCGCGAGTACGCGAAGCCACTTGGCGCGCTTTTGTATGGCCAACGATCTCGGTGTGGATATCGATATGAAAGCCGACTGATAGTGAGCCAAAGTATTTTATCGCGAAGAACACCGATTAAATATAGTATTTATTTTTTATACACTTATATATGTATATACTCAATGGACCCGAGAGATATCAGAGAGAGAATGCACATTTATAAATACCCTCGATAATAAAATATTCCACACTTCCATTATCGGGCAAGATATCGAATTCGGACAGTACGTAAAAATTTCATGTATGCTATAAAATGCATTATGCTTTTTAACATAGACTGAAAATTTTAATTAACTCTAATCGCAAGGAATATCTCTTTTTGAAGTAGACTTGTATTAATGAAACTTTTGACAGTAACGTTTCGAGAAAATATTATATGAACAACTTCATATAACATTTTACTTTGTACCACAGCAATGTATTTTTATTATTCTAATAAAAGAAGTGTTCAGTCTTTATATACGTATGTCTTTATATACGTAATAATAATATATACGTAATAATAAAAATAAATTAACTTATTCACCCCCGTTAGTTTTCTATAAAATATAATCTTAAAATGAATTCTCAAGCAATATATAAATGTTCATGTATGCATCATGTGTTATATACATGTAATTTTTGATATCTTAGTTATAGATATTTCAGTTTTTAAAGTTTTTTTATATATCATGTAATGAAACTTCATTTAAGGAAGGAAGAAAACAACTTAACAATAACATATAAAATGCATGCAAGCACAGAAATTGCACAGAAATTGTGCACAGATCATTAATCCTAAAAATAACAAAATATTTTTCATGTAAAGTAATAATAATTTGTATAGTCTGTATAATTGTATAAATATAACTATATGTTAAATGGCATAGCAAAATATAAGTGTTATATATTTTATAAGAATATCTAACAAAAACTATATAAGATCATATATTTCCTGACATCAGACTTTCCTTTAATTACCAATATGTTCTTATAATTTTATGATAGGATTTTTAAATTTTTCAGCACTTTAATTACAGATATATATATATATATATATATATAAATATAAATTTCATGTGTATATATGAAAAATATTTTGTTTTTCCATTATCGATAGATTTAAGATTAAGATTTTGTTTATAGCATACTTACGGTTTTTAATATTGAACTTTCACAACATACATTAAGAGGGGAATCTATTAAAGCCACTGCAAAAACTCTTTTCTTAAAGTGTTCCTCTAATATCATCCCCTAGAACAACATAGATTGTCAAAAATTACAATAAAAATGCTACTTTGTATGTAAGCTTAGGTTAAAATAAAAATTTACATACATTTCGTATTACACAGTCCCCTCCAAAATTATGAGCGATAATAGCAATATTCTTAGCTTGACAATCTTGAATGTAGTTTTTCCACACTGTCTTGAAATGTTGATAACCATCAATACTACCCTGTATAAAAATAGAATATTTGAATAATAAAAAAAAATATAGTCCTTGCAATGAGTTACAAGTATTGTAATTATCATACAAATCACCTGGATTAATTCTAGTTTTCCGTCTATAATTCTTAAGTTGTCATTAATATTGAGCAGTAAGATGCCATAACCTAATTTCTTTGCTTTATCAACATATGAGATCTGAGTCCCATAATCAAGACCATAATTAATTATTGTTTGCCTAGACCATTGACCAACCACAGCTCCACAGCCATTGACTATTATTATCAGCTTATCATTTGTAAAACTATCTGTGCTTGCATATATAAATGATTTTTCTAATGTTAAATCAGAAGACTTTTTTGGCACTGGAAGTTTCTTCAAACCTTCTTTTTCAAGTAACTTGTATACATATTCATCAAGAGCCTGTAACAGAATACTGAGTTACAATAATCTTCAACTAAATGGAATATATCTGTAAACAATTTACATACATTATATACTTCATATCGCAACTCCTTCGCAAGATCATTAATTATATTTTCCTTCTCTGTGTTGAACATGACATCTTTAAATATTCCAACATGTTTCAACTTTCCATCTGTAATAATTTTCAATATTCATCATTTATTATCAGAAAATTTAATTGATTTATAATATATATAAATCAAATAAATATTAAATTTATACTTCTGAAAATATAAAGAAGATATATATATTTTCATATTGTTCCAGCAGTTACAAAGATCGATAAACAGAAGATATAAAAACGAAACAAAATAACTTTAAAAAAAAACCAAATTGTGATGATAAAATTCTATATGACAACAAAGTTAATATTGTTTACAATATTGGATACAATAAAATTCTCGATACATCGTCCTTATTTCGTACATAAATTATAACATTAAACGTACTCTTAAATATATAGCCAAGTTCATCTAAGGTTCTCGCCGTCTTTGGTAAATGTCTCTTGTTCTTGGCAAACAACTATTAAACATATTTAAAAAAGCATTGTTTGAAGATCGTACAAAACATAACCTCTATCAAATAATCTGAAATCTGTTCTTTTTAGCTGCACTTTCTGCACTCTTAATAGATCTCTTCTTTCCCCTCCAATTTAAACGTATATTTATTTTATATTAGGTGACTTTTTATAGCTGTATTATGTTATGTATTATATTACACTTATGTTTGCGTTTAAGATGAGACAGATATGTACTTGAAATCCAGTAGAGGAAAGCTTAAGATAACTATAAACAAAAGTACAAGAAATATAAAATTCAAAAAAATCGATGTATTTGCAGAAAACGCAACATGGTGCATCTAAAAAGAAACAGATCTAAAAGTTTTATATATATATATATATATATTCATATTAATTATCAATTAGTGTGTAAAATATGTGAATATTCGACGATTAAAACTTATCACACACACTTAGATTACATAATAAAATGTGAATACTTAACCTTTTTCCACAGAATATAAAGCAAAACACCGAAAAAAGGTTGCCATATGGCCATTAGGATAAATATCTTTTATAGAAATTATTGACAAATACGATAACGTCTCGCACGAAGTGTATCGAATAACAATCTCGGAGCAAGAACGCTACAATATATGTGTATTCTTCTCTTATAGCTACAAGCTTTTTTTGCCGAATCACGTGATTATTATTCAAATATAATAGTATAACCTCCATACACACATATATATATATATAGTGGATTTATTAATTAATGATAGAAATTTTATGTACGTATACATGTGTAAAAAAAACATCTATATAATTATAAATCAAAAACTTCCTGATTTTCTGATCAATGAGTTGAAAAAACTAAAACATTACAGTTTAAACTTCGAACTGCCATTATTGGCAAATGCCGCGTCGTGTTCCAATCAACCGTCGACTTGATCTCATTACATAAATACATAAAATTTACTTTCGACGTTCTCGACGATATTCTGCGCGAGTATCTCCTTCAACGGTTTAAAAGAGCAAAGCTCAATAATTTAAGCAGCGGACGTGTGTAACTATTCGACACTTTCAACGCTTTATTTCGCGAGATGTTTAATGAGTGATTTATTTCAGCGATCACTTACCGATACTTTACCGCCATCAACGCAAGGTATTTGCGGCATGCTCGGCGCTAAAATGCTAAAATTAACGAGCCAAAATTACTAGAAATATAGAGATGTAAATCTTAACTGATACGTTGCAACTGTTCTATAATTGCGTATCGACGAGACGGTTGTATCGGTTGCGATTCTCGAAATATCAATGTATGCCAACTTCACTCGGTACTCTCAACGAGATATTTCATGATATTATTCTAAGCGATTATTCAACCATATTTCGCTACGACGAATCGTCGGGAACTTATTTTTCATAATAATGCATGCGCAAAACTCGTTAACGGCAAATCGGAAACGTAAAAATCCGCGATTAAATACTAACCTGAAATGTGTAATGGATGTGCTACGTACGTACATCATGTTCCGGTCTTCCTGACAGAACGATACGCGAAATATTCATTTACAACGATTACTCGGCATTGTTTTATAACTACAAACGCATGAATCTTATTATTTTGGGCACTTTGAATGACAAATTGTACGCAAAATTCATCAGATAACGTTAGATAGCGCAACCGTTACAATTTCGGATTCTACATACTCTAAACAGTGAAACGACCAATCACAATGACGCGTCTGCTTTCTTACGAGACAAATGCATGTGATTGGCCATACAAGAAGCGCGTTAATTAAAAAGCATAGGAAAAAAAATGATATTTCTCAAAATTTAGGACACATACTTATATGTATACGCATACTTTTTAAATGATACATTTATTCGCACACTTAAATTATCCTCCTTTAGATCTCTAAATATATCTTTATATTCTACTTGTTGCAAATTAATATAAGACAAGAGACAAATTAACTTTTAAGATGAAATGGTATAAAAATAAAGTTCTGTTTTTAAAAAATTATCAGTTTATTTTTATGTATCTTATGATAATATTTGTATCCTGGGAAAACGTCAACAAACTCAAAAGATAGTCGTTGCTTAAATTTACTATTCATTTTATGTACATGCAGATTTTCTTAAACTATTGAACTTGATTGAGATTGATACATATTTACAATAACGCATTATATATTTACGCGATTTTTATCGCAACAGTATTAAAAAAATTAAATGTTGATGTTTTAAATTTCATTAAAATACTCAAATACTAGACATTAAATTCAGATTGATATTCGAGTAAAAGACGTATAAATTTGAATTTTAAAGCACATTATTATGCGAAATAATACGGGTCTACATATTGACAATATGATAATTGTATCTATCTATACGTAATTTGATAACTCATCAAAATAACAAATCGTAAAAATATGAATTTCATGAACTATTAGCATAATTTATTTCGTGCAAATGTAATCGTTTGCCATTTTTTTGCACCTCGTAGATTAAAATAGACCATTTATAAATTTGAATCGGTCGTTTATCATTTATAAGTTTTAACATGATAGTCAATTTAACATACTTCAGTTCAACATGTCGAGATTTAAAAATCTCTCATATGACAGTTTCACTCCGGCTGAATTTATCTACAATGAATCATGACTTTAATAGCTCCACCTGCTCCAGTTCTGCTAGTTTCGAATGCTTTCATAGTGTCTTCTATCTTATAGTTATGGGTGATCAAAGGCTTCACGTTTACTTTGCCAGATGCGAGGAGGTCCAGCGCATCGCCGTAGCTGTAAATCAAAACGAAATCATATTGTTACTATATGTTAAATTTGATAATTTTTCCCTATTTAGTGTATATGTAATCCATTATTTTCTTTTATCAAATTCATTATAGTCCAATCAGTATTTATAGTCCAAACGAGAAAATAACTTAAATTCATATTATGTTCTCACATATGTGGAAAAATAGTATATTACTCATTTGTATATATATAATAATTTAACAAGAAACTTGTCTTCTTACTCATTAACGTATCGGAAAACACCTCTGATGTCAACTTCCCTGATCAGTGCGTTAATTAATGGGACTTGCACTTCAGGAGCACCCATACCCACTAACACTACGACTCCACCAGATTTTGTTACCTAATTATAGACATATATAAATATAATTTACAATAAAATATAGTAACATAAACAGAGAAAAAATATTTTATAAAATTAAAAGGAAAAATTTATATAAAGATATAAAGATACACTTAATGGGATATTAAAGAGATGTAAGATTTGCTATACAGGATATTATAGAAGTATATCTTTTTTTCAAAACATACGAGGATTGCTAAGCGTATTGAGGACTGTGCACCCGAGGCATCTATCGTTCTATCAGGTTCATCTCCAAAAATCGCGTGTATATCAGCCATTGTTTCCGATTCTGACTTATCCTTCTGCACCAGATATGTATCGTCAGCGCCGAGTTTCTTCGCTATTTTCAGTCTATTCTCTATAATATCTGTAAACATAAATTGTATTTATTTATATCTCGTTCGCAGATCTTACGAGATTATATTCAAAACCTATGGAAAAAGGAATAACAACGAATGCAACAACGATAGTTGTAACAATATGCAGCAAATAGATTGCAACTATACGCTGTTGATAACGCATGACCTCGTTTCACAGCTAACGTCTCTCTATCATGCTAATTGTACTTCATCTGCTTATCTTGCAATCGATTGCAACATCATTGCAGTCACCCATATCTGGAACGCGCGATGCGATTAATATTAATCACGATGTTTTCCGCTTGTTATTGTGTAATTCGATAAACACTTATCATGTGTAAAATATTCCATTAATAACGTGTTAAAAGTGCAATTACTGCAGAATTTCTCTTAACGATTGTACATCACGCGATTTGTTTTAATTCACGACAGATAAGGAACTGATAGCTTATTAATAGGCACCAAACATATCAAACATACATATACAAGTTTGAAAAATAATAATATATAATAAAATGTAAAAATATTCTCGACATTTTATGCGATAACGTGTTTAGTTTCGACGTTATAATTCACTATAAAAAAATAACGTCAAAGTACAATTTTAATTTTGCATCACGATAGAATTATTACAAAATTATTTTTCCGCACATATTATTTCGATTAATTACAACTTGTACTATAGTGGTACTAATGAAAAACAAAAAATTGAAAACAAGCTCAAACTTGAATATATTTCTATTGAGTTTCTTTCTACTGCACTAAGCTTGATTTTCTATACGTACCAGTAATAACCACTTTGCTCGCACCCATGGCTTTGGCTACCAGTAATGTCACCAGACCGATTGGACCAGCTCCCAGAATTAGTACTTTAGAACCGATCCCGACAGATCCTCGTTTACAAGCGTGCACTCCAACTGACAACGGTTCTAAGAGCGCTCCTTCTTCTAAGCTCACGTGGTCAGGCAATCTGTTGCAAAAAGTATGAGGATAAAAATCAATTGTCTTAATATATGATATACTTAAAAGAAATCATTTAATTAATTATACTTAAAAGAAATCATTTAATTTAAGTTTGCTATAAAATATAAAAAAAATTGCTTCTGTTTAAATTAATTATTAATTTCAAAGTATAAATCAGCGTGGACAAAATAGGCAAGCTCACTTGAAGCAGAAATCAGCCGCATGTTTGTAAAAACGTCTCAAGCTGCCATGCACCGGCGGCGTCGCGCAAAACACCATATCCTTGCAGAGGTTGTAACGTCCTGTTTTGCAAAACTTGCATATTCGACAAGACACGCCAGGCTCGATGGCGACGCGATCGCCTACCTATATAAAAACCAAGAGAATGTATCAGGAATCAAGAACACTTCGAACAAGAATAACACAGATAAGGTTTATTGTTATTAGCTCTGTGTCGATCCTGCCAAAATAAATAACACGAGCGGTATACACATACTTTCAAGTTCTTGACATTTTTCCCGAGTTTGGTGACGACACCGGCGGACTCATGCCCGACGATCATGGGTTCGCGCACCACGAAGTCGCCAATTCTCCCGTTGACGAGATAATGGACGTCTGATCCGCAGATGCCTACACATGCCATTTCCAAAAGTACCTCTGCAAAAGGATAATGTTCGTCCTTTATTTCATATCATTCTTCATTATCTTTATCATTATGATAATAATGAGAATCTTAATTATATAAATCTTTATGCACACAGCTATCTTGATAAGCTCAACTTTAATTCTCGGGCGGAGGATTTCTTTCTGCGACCTTATCGTAACTGTACACACAAATGGCTTTTCATTATTTATCTATTCTTTGTATAATCTCACGTATATATTTTCTCATATCACAAGGCAATTTGCGAAGCTGTTAGTTAGTTAGAAGTGGAGAAGAAGAGGACAAGAAGACATGCAAAAATGCAAGGAGCCTTAGATAGAAATTGATCTCTGTGACTTATCACGCCACGGGCATATGTGAAATGGCGTTCCATATCACTATGACGAGCGTCATCGTGCACATTAATCGCACTCAACGTATATTAGTCCATACTAAGATGTTATGCAATGTCGAAATAAAGTGCCTTTCCTTTGCGCCTCAAACGAGTACAAAACTTGCGCGATTTTTTCACACACACACACACACACACACACATACAGTAGATAGGATAAAATTATCTGTACGTAGAATAAAATAAGATTGCCAAGAAAAACCACGAAAATATTATCGCCAGTATAAGTAAACATATCCTAATAACACATTGCTTATCGCTGATAATTTTAATGACTGTTAGTGAACATTGATAAAGGGCATTCCTCACCATCGTCTCGCGGTTCCTCGATAGGCGTGTTCTCCTGGAAAAGAAAGAGAAAAATCACAGAAGTTTTATTTACAAGAAATTTTATACAATATCGGGAAAAGCACACGGTGACAGAAAATCTTTTTAACATGGATACGTTCGAATAATGAGAGAACTAAAAAGTCAATTCGTTGGTTGATCAACAGCACGTGCAAGGTGCAATCGATCTGCGAGCCGGCTAGTTTTATGTGCGTAGCCGCGAAGTTAAGAAGTCAGGGTCACCACAATCGATATACGATAACAACATGTAATGTAAACATTAAAAAATTCGGATAACGCCGGAATTGAATTCGCTATTTTACACGCACATATCTTGTACACTTTACGCAAGAACAAAGTAAAAATATAATCAACATAAAATAAAAGAAAGTATCTATTTTTTCCTTTTTTTTTGTTTAGAGAATACTGCGAACGTAATTTTATATGATGTTGCATCATTTCCTCGTTAAAATCGTGTTATCTTAAATTACACTTCGTTTTCAATAATAAATACTTTGTTTCTAAAATGTTTTAAAAATGTTTTTAAAAATGTAAGCTCTATGCAACGTATTGCTGACGTTGCATGATAATATGTAAAATAAGTTTACGGATAAGTGTAATCGTATAGAAACGTTTAACAGTCGGTAAATGTATACGCAAATAGTGCGCGAGTTTTGCAAACTCTCGCACGTCTATCATGCCAAACATGCCGAACGAAAGATCGATAGATCGAGACCAATACAGTTTGCGATTACAGGTAAAGATAAAACAAGCCCAAATCGATTGGAACATGAATCAACGTTTCAAAGCACAAGCTCATGCAATATGGTCGAGTGTGTGCGAAACTAACGTCGATTTTTCTAACACATTACAATGACTAGGAGAACGCTCGCACGTAACTAACAAATGTTCACCATTCCAACTATTAATTTAACATCGCTTGTTCACACGCTTTGGTGACTCTATGACTTTCCTTGCTAATAATTAATGGCAGTCAGAAATCAAGTCGACCAAGATTCAATCAGCATAATCATCGGAGTAATTCGAGCACCAGAAAGGCAGCAAAGTACAAAAATCCGTACTAACCAGCCGTAAGTCGTTGATCCCGTAAAGTATAGCGGTGAGATTGTCCTTGGCCATGATTCTCTCGCGAAAAATTCGGATCGATGCGTGGTCTTCCTCTACAGCGTCTCTCCGTCGGCAGAGATCCACGCTTTCGGATATTTTGATAAACACTGGCGGCACCGCACTCGTGCTCAAGAAAGAACTTGCTGGTGGTATATATACTCGCGACTACGGCTATATATAGCTCATTGTCGCGCGCTATCACGGTGGACGTGCTATCTGTTCTAGGCTAGACAGCTTTCCCCATTGCCATCATCATCACCATCACCATCACCATCACCAGCATCATCGTTATCACCAACAGCAGCAGCGGCCGACATCTCTCGATGATGATTCGTCGAACTGTCCTATTTGCCGACGACTCCTTCCCACAGCCGCACCGACCACCACCGTCGTGTGGTATCATTGCGGAATACGCGCTTTGCCGGACTAGTAAATCGATTATACTATATACACATATGTATATGTATATATACATATGTATATATATCATCTATATATACATCCTATTTATACGTACATACATATGTATATACACACATATGTATATATGTATACATGTATATGTAATATAATATATATTTCTAAGAATCTTTCAAATAAAAATCTGAATAAAGTGAAATAAAAATCACTGTTTTATTACAGTCCCTAGTAAGACTAAACAAATTTTATCTGAAATTTTTTCCGAATAATGCATTTTTCCAGGATATTTTAAATAGGCATTTAAAATGAGTCACTTTATATACGTATATGTATAGGCAAGCATATATCTATATATATATATATATTTTTTTTTTCCTTCTACTGTCAATCAATTCTACGTTAATGCATTCTACTTTATAAACATGAATAAAGCATGTATTCAAAGATATGGAAATATCCTAATCAATATTTTCGCTAGAAAATTAATGTTCAAAGTAGAGCTGTTTATTAATAATTCACATAGATTTGATATAAATCTTCAGTAACCAGAACGAATTACTATGTAATATCGGGAAATGAGACGATTCGTGTAATTTTATATATTGGTTCGATAGTGGTCGGTGCTCGCGTGGATGTTAGAAAATGACCTGCAAGTGAGACGAATGAAAAATCGCACATCCAGTTCTTGTAATCTGGGAGTTCAGAAATACTCGGCCTTTTGATGTAAATGATGCTTCGACTTCTTTACGACGCGTCTGCTATCTTATCTATGTGCAGCTAAATTTTCATGGGATCTCAATAACACACAACATAAACGGTAATGTCAAAAGAGCAAACACAAGTTGCAAACACAAGTTGCAATTACGTAAATCCTGTAAACTCGACTGCGACAACATATTACGCAAACAAGAGTTATATAAATACGTTGCAAACAAAAAACATCTCTCTCTCTCTCTCTCTCTCTCTCTTTGGAGATCTCTGTGATATCTCTGTGGAAATGTGTATATTTTTTGTATCAAGTTATATATACCAAAGATATACCGTTAACCCTAGACCGCTGACGACATTCTTATAGTTAATTTTGTAAACTGGCTTTACTCGTCGTTAAAATTAAAAATAACATTGCTTATCCACGGCTAACTATAGTTGTTTATAATGTGTATATATGTATGTGTTATCTTACACATTACCTTACTGTGTAGTGATATATATAATGTACAACAAACGACCAAAGTCGATACGTAGCGTTAGTTCACTTTCACCCCCATATTCCCGTGGACTCTTTAATCGTAGCTCTATTGTCCCTTCGTATTCTCGTTACTGCGCTTGCTTCTCCCTTAGCCACTACTTTCCGTTGATTCTTCCTCTCGCGTTTCTCGCGCTCCAATTTCAATCTTCTCCTTACCTCGTGCCGCGGGATCGTGCCAGATCGTGTCGAGGTGCTACATATGCTTTGCGTATCGAAACAATCCTTGATGGACGCTGCTTTGTCTTCAGTATTCGAAACGTTTTGTTCTTGCGTATCGAAACAATCCTTGATAGAGGCTGCTTCGTCTTCAGTATTCGAGACGTTTTGTTCTTGCGTGGCGAAACAATCCTTGTTAGAGGCTGTTTCGTCTTCAGTACTCGAGACGTTTTGTTCTTGCTCATCGTAAGAATCAACTTTGGATGGTAAAATACGCAACACTGTCTCGTTATGTTTTTTGCCGGTTCTTACGTTTCCTACAGCTGCGGTTTCGTCATTTAGTTTGCATTCACTCTTTGTATCGTTTTCTTTCTCGGACTGTGATGTCGCGGATATATTCTCCGAATATTCGTGATCATTATTTAATGTTGTTTTCATCGTCGTTTCAACTGTTGAAACGTCACACCGTGTTTCCATGACATCCGTAACTTTTAATTGTAAATCTTTTATTCGAGTTTCAAGATTGATACAGGCCTCGTACGTTTCATCTTCACTACTGTCGTCTTCTTTTTCATTTTTCTCTTTATTCTCAAAACCTATTTCTCCCAAGAGGTATTTTTCCATCTGCTTTGTCAAACCACTAGCTTTGACTTCAATGTCTATGTCGTCCTCGCGTCTGAGGATAAAATATTAATTTGTTGTTGAATCAATATAAAATATAATTTAGGTTTAACAATGGTACATTGTACCTTTAATATACTCTCTTTTTCTACTACTTACAATATATCTTGGAAAGTCGGATACAATTCGCTTTCATAACCAAAACGTTTCTTAAAGAAATAGTGAATGCATTTCACATCCCTTTCAAAGTAAAATTCTGCATTGGTATGCTCAATGGAAATCATCTGTGGAAAATCAATGATAACAGGCTTGCCATCATCTTTAATCATTATGTTAAATTCATTGAAGTCTCCATGTATAACACCATGATTTCCCAGTCTCACAATTAAATCCATAAGGTTGTCATACAATGCTTCCACATCATCTACTTCATCGTACTTTACATTGCACCTGTGAACAACCATACAATTAGAACATAATACAATTAGAACAATGTATATTGCATAATTACAGACATCTAGGATACATTGTTGGTGAACTTACAGAGGTCTACCTTCAATCAGCTCCATGACAACACAATGTCTGTTATGAGCAATTGGTTTTGGCACAGGGAATCCTCTATTTAAAAGTACTTTCATATATGCAAACTCTCTGGTAGCTGAAATTCTTGATAGATACAACCAGGATGCTGCACGCCTATGCTGATAATAATCTCTGTTTTTCTTTATATTTCGGAAGCATGTTCTACCAAGTCTGTGTAGTTTTAAACACAAATAAGTTTGCTCATCATCAGCAACAACATAAATATTGGATTCCTTGCCAACACCAATTTCATTGCCGAAGGAAGCTATTGTGCCTTTTTTTGTCAAGGCGTTCAAGGCCAAGTAGTCGTAGCCCGCATTTGTCAAACGATAACCATCATCTGAAAAAATGATATGAACATTATTTAATTAGTTACATCTTTAGTGAAGTCTATAGTCACATATAAACAAATATTGCCCTACATCTCTTTCCTCGTTCGTAGCTGAGTAGTTTGTGTTTACACAAATCTCTTAGCAATTTATGGACTCCACCATGGTGTAGATGCGCTATTTGCGCAGCAAGCGGTGCAGATACAAGTTCATGATTCTTCATACCCATTTCGATCTGAAATGTAAAGATTACAAGATACAGTTCCAAATTATATATCATCAACGAAACGTGTCATCGTAATAAATATGATATTTATATTCGCAAAAATTTATTCGAAGTCTCTTGCAAAAAGTATCTATTTCTTGACAAGTAGAAATTTCTTACCGCTGTTAACACGCGAAAGTCATCATAAGTTAAATACTGCAACATTGTGACGTCCAATTTTCCCATTTTCGATTTCGGCTCGCAAACGAAAAGACAATAATGTAAATATAATTTCAACCGATTACCCGTTAAAAAATTCAATTTGTTCAATTATTCGCTCACGTCTATCGACTCGCCTCACGCACGTTTGAACACGCTACCTAACGTTTACACATGTACATGAAAATGAAAAACATATGATGAACAACCCCGATATCCAATATTCTTTAGTCTCAAGGACAACCAATCATCATGTATGAAAGATGGCGTAACAGGCAACTTTTGAATCAGAATCCTTATTCTTGAAATATGTCACACGATATTTCATGAATGTCATTAGATATCACGATTCTCAGCCAATTAAATTGTCCCATTGATGAAATATCGAATGCGAATATTTCTCACATATTTTCAAAAATTAAGCCAGCGGCACACAGTGCTTGTTTTCGTGCTGGATTGCTTGCTGGATGAAAATACTGCGTTCTGATTGGTGCATTTCCATCCATCTTCGGAAATGTACTGGCTTTAGAGAGCCCTATGAAACCGGAAGTTGCAAGTAAGGTAGAGACATCTATCTTACTGAGCTGCACTTTCTGTACTACCTTGCAATTTTATCTTCCCCTCGTCGATGATTCATCCAGTTTGATCACTACTATCACGCGGTGAGGTTACAGATACATCGCTCGCTCGCCCCTCCTTCGTGGCATTTGGGCGGCGCAAAGAGCGGCGGGTCGGCGCGTGTGAATTTGGACAACTATCCGTATGCGTGCGTGCCTGTGTGTGCGTGGTTGTCGTATGCCTGTGACGAGTGATGCTGAAGTTGGCGTTTCGTAAGCGGGGGCGAGTTATGAAGTGTTCGCGCGCGCCGATCCGATAAAGCGTCAAACTCGCGCGATCCGGCAGTTATATCGCGGGCAATGGGCAGATCCAGCACGTCCACCATCCTTGCGCTCATCTGAGAAGTTCGTCGCTCACCGGAGGTATTTCATATTCGCGCGATCTAACCCACGCTACGAGGCGAGCGTTCCTCCGAATGTCGGTGCAACGGCGTCAAGCTGACAGGGAGGTGCATATAACCTCCATTTCGTGTTTTCCGTCTCGAAGCCGTAAGATTTTAGCCGTGCACGAACGAACGAGCAACCGATAGGTCTGGACCGGCCGGCTAGTTGAATAATCAGAAATCCTTGTAACATTATTCGCTGTCGCAACATCTACAAATCACCTGATTATCACCTAGCTATCGGGGCGATATTGATAAGGTTACGGGCACTTGCGTTATCGGTGATAATAAGCATGGAATTCACCCGTAGTTCATTAGTTTCCACCACGATTTGCCGCGGCGATGCCCAAGCTGCTCTGTTGAAAAGAGACACTCGGTATCTTAAGTCATAATTCTATCGAGAAGGCCTTGTGTTTATCCGCCGTGATGCTCCGACCTGCTATTTTTTACCCGTCACGCTTCGGTTATCAGCTCGCTATTTACATAGAGTTCTGAGTCACTTTGTGCGAACCAGCTCTCTCCCGACGCTTGAACATTGTACCAGGTCGTCGTTATTAGCGTTTCTATTGAAACTTCGGTCGACCGTGACATATAAGTAACAACGACGTATGTAACTATATTCGTACGCAGATATGTGTGTATCCGTGTGTGCACGCGATGGCAGAAATGAAGGCCAGATTAATCTTTCGTGTGAAGTTCAAAAATAGTTGCTCGCATCATTCATTGAGAGTAACTGCTGCAATCTAGGTTAAATTACTCTCTTAGATCAAATTCTCTCTATTGTCTTGAAATTGTACGACAAGTGATATTTGCATAAAATCAAGAGAAGTCATTGTGCTTCTGATGCTTTAGATTAGACTGCATTATGGCCTGAGCTTGTAAGTGTGATATTCACCGAATGTGTTCTAATTTTCAGGAATAATGTTGAACAGTATAGCAAAACACATTTTACACTGCTGCCTATTGCTCGTGGTCATACTTGTATTCGAATTTGTATCTGGTGGGCTTCGATGGAACACTGACAAGAAAGAAGAAATCGACCCATGGCTGCGATACGGATTCTTAGGCACAATCACTTTGTACCTGCTGCGTACAGTGACATTTCTCTCCTTGCCACAAGTTTTATTCAACTTCATAGGATTAACGATATATAATGCATTCCCCGACAAAGTAGTCTTGAAGGGCTCGCCGCTGCTCGCGCCGTTTGTGTGCATAAGGATAGTAACACGCGGTGATTACCCGCAGTTAGTAAAAGCGAACGTGAAGAGAAACTTAAACAAATGCACAGAAGCTGGCCTTGAGAACTTCCAAATAGAGGTAGTAAGTGACAAGCCGGTAGGCTTGACTCCTCACCGCCGAGTGCGAGAAGTCGTCGTTCCTCCGAATTATCGCACAAGTAGTGGTGCCTTATTTAAGGCTCGTGCTTTGCAATACTGCCTTGAAAGTTCGGTGAATGACCTGGCCGAACATGATTGGATCGTGCATCTCGACGAGGAGACCCTGATGACTGAGAATTCCGTTCGCGGTATACTGAATTTCATACTGGACGGCAAGCATCAGTTCGGCCAGGGACTTATCACATATGCTAACGAAGATGTCGTTAATTGGATCACGACATTGGCTGACAGCTTCAGAGTGGCGGATGACATGGGCAAGCTAAGACTACAGTTCACCATGTTTCATAAACCATTCTTCAGTATGAAGGGATCTTATGTTGTCACGCAGGTAATTAAAAAAAATGATCGCCTTCATAGAATAACTGATACTTTGTAATCACTGTAATAATATTACATCTTAAAACATATAATATTAGGAAAAAGATTAAGACAATAATTTATCTCAACTTAAGCAGACGTGAAATTATTCGGACCAGTTTTTGCTCGAAATTATTCTGCTTTCCTCAGAGGATAGAAATAAAAAAAATCTCCCTTCAGACAATTTGGGAAATATAAGCGAATGGTTTCATAATATTTGTCCCGATCATTCTCTTCTATGACATCTGCTCTCTTACGATGCAGATGGGAGCAGAGAAGCAAGTTTCGTTCAACAACGGATTAGACGGTTCCGTTGCGGAGGACTGCTTCTTCGCCATGAAGGCGTTCTCTCAAGGATACACGTTCAACTTCGTGGACGGCGAGATGTGGGAAAAATCGCCCTTCACCCTGTGGGACTTCGTGCAGCAAAGGAAGAGATGGCTGCAAGGTATATTACTTGTTGTGCATTCCAAAGCGATTCCACTAAGAAACAAATTGTTATTGGGCATCTCGTGTTACTCGTGGGTGACGATGCCATTGTCGACCTCCAACATCATTTTAGCCGGACTCTGTCCGATCAATTGCCCGCCATCGATTGATTTTCTGTGCGCGTTCATTGGCGCTGTGAACATCTACATGTATGTGTTCGGAGTCGTTAAGTCGTTCTCCCTATATCGTTTCGGCGTAGCCCGATTTATGTTGTGCATATGTGGCGCGCTATCTACTATTCCGTTTAATATAATCATCGAGAACGTCGCCGTGATATGGGGCTTGTTCGGTAAGAAACACAAGTTCTACGTCGTCAACAAGGAATACAGACCGCCGATCACCGTATGATGCGCTGTCGGTTTAGAAACCTCATCTAAACTGACGCGTATACTTAGCAGCGATGTAAAATTTCCATTGTGCATGCGCATTATTAGTACCTGTACATCTATATGAGGAAATATACATACACACATCATTGTCACAAAAACGAAATATTTATAATTAGTATTACACTGGAGTAATGCTATTGATAGTTAGATAGAGATTGATCGGTCAATTTTAGAACAGGTAATGGAAGGTATATGTCTCTGTGCAGCAATAGATAGGTGCAGTATTAAAAGTATACTTTATATATTTTGGCATTATACGGAGCCAAAAATCTGTTGAAAAGTATTCATCCCTGTCAGACATGTATCTATGTCAACATTATATTCTCATAGTGCAAAGTCATACATGTAATATTTCCTTTGATCTCATGTAAACGTGTTTAGCGTTCATTAAGTTAGCATTCGTATCTCGTTTCACGTGTTCCTCTTCTTACATTAGACTTATATCTTACATTTTTTTATGTTATTGTCAAGATAATCGATTTTTATCGTGTTCAAAAATATTCCGTTTCTGCCATGTTCTGTACTTTTTTTATTTGATTTTATTTCTTTATTTTTCTCTTTTTAATAATTGACTCACGAAGTATTTGGAATAATTGATAAATATTCCATCTACAGTATCTACAATATTTTACTTAATAGCAATAAGCACTTATACGCATCACTAATTCGGACTGCTGTGATAAATCTTGCTTCCCTATACAATGGTAACTTCTTTTTACATATATTTTAGAAAAATATACTTTCCTGCTTAATGTTTTGATACAAATTTAAGAAATAAGATGAATCAAGAAACTGTTCATTAATTAATTGTTTAATTTCGCATCATTTTGTTATAGGTGATATAACAAGGCACAATCGTATGGTGTTTGTATAAAACAGTACTTAATAAGATCAATTCAATTGTTTAATGAGACATGAATATTTTTAAAGTTTTATATAAATATATATTTACGCGTTTTTCTTGATAAAATTGAAAAGTACATGTCATACGATTATCTCAACTAGCAATTTAAAGATAATGAATACGTTACGTATATATATGTGGGAAAGTTGAAAAAACTTTATTTACATTAGAAGAATATATAAAATAAAAAAGTTCGAAATTAACACAAATTTTTGGATATGAGAAACGACTTTTATGAAATTTTATCTATTATAATCATTAATATGTATTTGAACAAAAGATGTAAATTTATTGCGAACAAAATTTTTAAATAATGTTTTTATTACGCACAGCGCATAATATTTTATGTAGTAAATTACATATAAGAAAATCACGAAAACATATAAATTATCATTTTGTCAGTTATACATTTTTTCACAAAGCATATTAACGTTTTTTTTGTTTGGAGGGGATGATTTACAGTGATCTATTAAATTTTTTTTTTTATTTTTTAACAGAAGTTTTAGAGTTTCCCAATGTTTAATATTTCAATATAAATAGTACTATGCTCTCCAAATATTACGAGTTTCGTATTTTTGTTAACTTATGACAAAATGATAACAGTACGACAAAGTGAAATGCTTTAGAAATAACAAAGCAATATAAGTTTAGCAAGACTTATTGTATCTAGTCAAGATGATATAAAGAATGTTGAAAAACACGAAGATATTCGTCATAATACGCGTATAAGTAACTAATGTAAATTTTTATTGACGTTGTGTTGATCCACTGTAAATACTTCTAAATATTGCGTTTAGAAAAGCAAAAAAAGAAGAATAAAAAAGATCAACAATTTTACACTGTATTTCACGAGGCAGTATTTGCACTAATGCATAAATCATATTTCGTTTGCAAATTTTGTACATTAAATAGAGCATTGCAATGAGAACGAACAGCGCAGCTTCTTTCTTAAAGTGTTACACTCGTCGCTGTTGCAAAATTTACATCTCGATTACAAACATCACTACGAAAAAGTCTACGCAGTATCGCTGCGGCGTTATACATTTTTCACATAATTACTGTTTATTACAATTATGTGTCATTGCACGACGATTGTACATCTCACATCATTTGCGATTGCGTAATTATATTACATAGTATTATTATGTAACCATGAATCATATATACCGCGTTGCGCCTTACCGGTCCTAAGATATCCTTGGTCTGCGTTTACATTTTATCTACATACAACTGTCGGTCTTGCGCGTTTATATTTTATCCTTATTCCACATCGCATGAGAGAAACGAGAACACAAGCGCATCTATATACTAGTCTCATACGTTAGCCACTTGTTACATTTACTCCGACAACAATGCCAGTTGAAATCAATCGAGTATAAAATACGATGACCACAGCACAGACACGTGTTATGTATTAACTCGACAGGCAAGTGATTGTAACCAGGAAGAGTTCGCGATAAAAACGCTGCAAAACATACCGCGCAATTATTGACTGGGCGGGAGATTTTTCTGTGTTTTATACGACGAAATAAAATTAAGGAATTTCTCGACTGGGCGTCACGAATGCGAAAGCGGGTTAAATTGACTGAAGCGAAAATATCGTGTTTAGTGTCGCATGAAGAATACTTCGAATAATAGAAACAACTTTAGCATAATCATTTTTAGCGTTATGTTCTTGACTGGAAACTCGTGAAATACTTACACGGGAGAAAAGACTCAATCGGGGCAATGGAATAAAAACTAGATTGAAATTCCTTGATATAATATTTCTGTGGCCGTGACCAAAAAAATTTATCTATATATTTAGATATACTAAAACTCGATTGAGATAACGAGTTGAATCTGATGTTTACTTTTTGCAGACAATGAAACTTTATTTACACCAACGGAATTTTTTCCATGCAGATCTGAATTTAGGATTAGATTTGGATTTTTCATTTGAATTAATTCTAATAAATATGACATTCTAATCGCAATTTATTTGAAAAACTTACGTCTAACTCTGAATTCAAATCTGAGTGTCTCACTTGAGGCAAGTTTCACTTCCAAGTCCGGGTATTTCACATGTCGCAAGTTTCAAGCGGCGACTATCGATACGAGTCTTAGATAATTATCTACGTCTATTTACGTCTTATCAGAGAGAGAGAGAGAGAGAGAGAGAGAGAGAGAGAGAGAGAGAGAGAGAGAGAGAGAGAGAGAGAGAGAGAGAGAGGGAAAGAGAGAGAGAGAGAGGGGGAGAAAGAGAGAGAGAGAGAGAGAGAGAGAGAGAGAGAGATGTAACTTCATTGCACGTATCGCATACGTGTATTCATTAAACTTCGTTTCGAGCGATCGCGGATTTCTATCGCATAAAGTTTCTCTCATATCATATAGCACATCATACATTATATCAAGCGAAGAAATTTACAGTATGAAGAAAATCGTAATCACTGTAAAATTCTGGTCTGTTGACAGCTGTAACCGTTGTATTGAACTTATAGATAGTATTAAAAATTGTGAAAAATACGTATAATATTGAAAATTAAAAAGAAATACATGTGAAAACCCAACCTCAAGAGAGAAAGTATTGTCCTCTGAAAATATTCGTATTTGTTCATCCTCGAAATATAACGTGATCTATAAGACCGAAAATAATGCCAGTATCCAGCAGTAGTGAATTAAAGAATGTTTAGTTGACTGAAGCAATCGGCAAATCAACAAAGTTAATTAGTCGTCATATATAATTACAAATGCTAATTGCGATTGATGATAAATTGAAATAAATTGATAAATGATCATTAATCAGCGTATAATCAGTCAAAAATCCAAGTAATCGGCTGAAACAATTATATATAATAATGATTTACTCGATGTTAATTTTCATTGTTTTAATCAGCCCTCAAACTTTTCAATCAATTGACGCCCGATGCTGGTGTGAGTTTTTTTTTTTTTTTTCAAGCGTTTTCAAGCCGCTTGACGCTTTAATGCCGTTAACATAGTAGGAAATACTAGGCGTTGGAGAGCAGCGATCCTAGATCTTAGAACTAGTCTAGCCCTGCCCTGCGACACTGGCGGGGAGAACTGGATCCTCGTCGTCAGTGGACGGGCCAGTTTAGGATTTAGTGGGGATGCAGCGGTGATCGTAACCGGTGAACGTTCTTGCCTTGGACGTTTGCTGGCTCGAATATAAAACAGTCGCGTATGAAGGCGACATAGAGCGATATCCGCGGAACTGAATGCTTACGCAAAATCTATTATCTCTTTGTTAATTTCTATCTCATCAGAGAGAGATTGGTTTCCGCGAAACCAATCGCTCGAAGGCTATCCGCGCGATAACGAGAACGGACAATGTTTCAGATATATTCTTTCGTCTGGAATTCATACGAAAGCTACGGAATGCATATATATAACAGAGCAAGTGGGAATAAGTTGCGGGAATAAAATCCACGGAAAACTTTTATTATTTATTTCCGTTTGTATTATTACTTGTAACATCAGTAACTGTGTGTTGAATTCGAACTCAATTGTTCCAAAATGTTTCACAATATTGTAATTATTATTTTTACTAGTGTATTTCGGTTATTTCGAACTTTAACTAAAAATTTCAAAACTGCAAATTCAAAATTCGAAATTTGAATTTTACGATCCTATCGAACATCGCGTACGCAGTTCGAGAAGGAGTTAAACAAAAATATGAATGGAGTTACCATAGTTCGTTAAAGGAAACTTTTTACAAGACTGCTTAGCCTAATTAGATGATTTAAAACTAGCCATTAATAGGCTATTATTAATTGTCTGCTTTGTTTCGCCGGAGAAAAGAAATTACAAATCATTCGATTATTGTTGTACACGGAAAACAACAGAACTGGAAATTAGTATTGGCAATTCTGTGATCGATTGTTCAGTCGTTTCGAACTGGCTCATCGAGCTGAAATTTGATGAATCATCGAAAGAGGCAACAAAAGAGGAAAAAGGACCAATGTGTATCGTCATGTTACACAGTGGGGTCCAAAAATTCCAGCTTGACAGGCATGCTTTCCGAGTCGGTTGCTGGCGGACGCATGCCATAGTGACGCGTTTACCTTTCCTCTCGATAACGCGTGTCCCCGATTTCGTGTCGCGCGCGCGCGCAGGCGCACGCGCCCAGACGGAAGCGAGTCGCGAAGGCCCTTCGAGTCGAGGAGGAGAGCAGAGGAGAGAATAGTCGCGTCGCCTGCTTAGCGGTGTGTCGCTTTTCCGCTCGGTGGTCGCAACCGTCGCAACTGGCTTTGCTTACAAAGCGAGCGCGGGCTGGCTGGTGAGTGGCGACGGTGGTGGCGAACGCTGGCGTCGCTATGACGCATACTTCTCGGTCGCCATTCGCGGAACACGTCGAGGTCGGACCGCGTCTACCCGATTTGCCAATTGCTGTCTCCGCCAAGATGTCGCATAGCGCCCGAGGAAAATAACGCGCTCACGATCAACACAATGGGACTCTCGGTGGGTGGACTCTGAAAACGAGGACAATCGACGACGGAGCGTGTGTGTGTGTGTGTGTATGTATGTGTATGTGTTACACGATTCTGTACGATGCGTGTGCGACATCGACCACCGTGTACGGAAGCAACCTGTATCCCGCTTCCTCGCGAGCAGCTCGAAAACTCGCAGGCACCTCGACCTACGCGAGCGTGATCGTCGTCGAGCAACATCTGGAAAGTGCGCTCACGATCGCAAACCGTGTTCCGTGACCGTGTTCTGCGGTATTGGATCTTCCTGGAAAGCCGTGGAGGACACGCGTGAGCAGCTTCTTCGTTGATATGCTGTGCGAGCGCGCACAGGATTATCCTTTTTGTACTTAATTTTACGTCGGGCGAGAGAGAAGGCGCGTGCGTCCTGCCTCATCGTGATCCCGACGGTAGCGCCTGTGAGGAGGCATCAGAGAGATATGAACGCCTTGTGTATCGTTTATTATCCGCAACGAATGTGTAAGCATTGAAAATGTTACACAAGACTGTTACGACTTTCGTGCTGTTTTTCACCCTCGTATCCGCCTACGAGCATACCACCGCGGATCAGTGCGATTGGTCCGGAAGGTTAGTGCTTTCTATAGTCTTATTTTCTCCGGCGCGTATCCATAAATCATGCCGGATCACCTGATGAAGTTACATGTAGTCATCAATCATTGCTTGCCATTAATATTCTGTCAACAAAAGCTCCGATACGTTCAATTTCAATTAATTTTCAATTAATTTTCAATTAATAATACTAATTGATTAATAATTTTTATTCTCAGGCAGTATTGAATTGCCCGATTATGTTGAATGTCACATTTTCTATTAACATTACGTATTGTTGCTAAATATTAATTATTATTTATCACGCGCTTTGTTGTTATTAAATCTGTATCACTATAATAGTGATAAATAGATAATATGAGATTAAAGTATGTATATACATGTGCAGCGGAGGAGGAGAGCATGGTGGTGTCCGACCAGTGTATCTGCGCTGTGCCCGAGGAACGGTGTTGTGGCGTTATCCTCGTGGAGCTCTGAGAGTGGTTCTCTCTTTCCCGGCTTCGTCCTCAGAGAATTCTATTCCTGGTCGCAGTAATCTAGGTTTCCGCGCCTGTGTCAAGATCTCGGGACCAGTACGAGTGTTCCTAGAAGGCAACGGTAAACTGAGGCCTCTCTATTCTCCGTCCGATGGCAAGCACGAGTTATCTCATCGCTGCTTCCACTCGCGAAAGCTCATAGCTGCACTCTATATGGAAGCGGAGGACGATTATTCCTATAAGAGGGAGAAAGTCAGACTGCAGTATGACCTGGAGCCGAATTCGTTGAAAGGAGGAGCATTGCATATACCGGAAGAAGAAGAGGAATGCAGACCTTGTTCTATGGAGGAACTTGCCAAGGCTTATTGCCAGAGTGACTTGGTCGCCAGAGGCACTGTCAGTGCGGTTCAACAGCGGTTCGATTTGGAGGCTGAGGAATTGGTGCTCAGGGTCACTAAGATCCTGCGTCAAGTGGTCCAAGAAACTGAGGTAAAGAACTTTCGACATTTTTTGTACTTATTTGTTAGATAATTTACATGATATGTAATTTAAATTATATACTATATATTTAAATGTAATTTAAATTATATACTATATATTTAAATGTAATTTAAATTATAATTATTTTACATTATATAAAATGAAAGGTTTTTCTTTGTTCTTTGCTACTTTTCCTATTCTTTCAAGTCTGTTGTATAATCGAGCCGAATCAATTTATCCTGCGATAGGGTAACGAGACGGTATCTGCGAAGAAAAGTGTACGTGTGAGGGTGCCAGCGGCGTGCGACGCACGACACGGTCTCGGCGAATTCGTGATAATGGCCAAACGACGTCTCGGAGACCTGATCTTGGTGTGTGCGCCCAGACTGGAGGCGTGGGCGAATGCTGTACGGGAAATGGACACCGCGCCTTGCGTCCTCAACAGCTAGCGGACGTGATTTAAGGCGACCGCGCATTGAGAAGCTGCATACAAGCAACTGCAAGTTGAGCGTTGCTGGATCACAGGTACGGCTACGATATTGTGCCAGACGTAACCAGAGAATGTACGAAAACGCTGGCTAGTGATACCGTGGCGCGACCAGCTACCGATTTTTTCATACAAGAATACATGCACATTGTGTATACATAGGGAACATCCATTCTTCGTGTACATAGCGCGCACTGTCCATCGGACTGTCGATCTCCAAACTGTGATATTATTGTTGCATTAAGAGGAACGTGGAATAGCGCGCGTGAGCAACTAAAAGAAAATTGCTCTAATACTCGCTCTAGAGAACAAAGACCACATTATATAAAGAATATCTCGCGGACATCGCGCACTTTCCCTCAGCGGATTTTTCGATGCGCATCCTTTTCTACCTGTAGTCTTTTGTAATTTTTACACATTGTTGCGGTACAGTTCAAACATCTAGAAAAAGTTGTTATAAAGTTGTATTTAAATATTGTTATAAAATGTGATACATTCCTTACAGAGAAGTAACGAATCTTGTAAAATTCCTCAAATCTTGTAAAAAATTTTATAATGATAATATAACTCACAAATTGTGTTACATGTATAGAGGATAAGAAACCGATTTTTTCGGCTTATTCTGTTAAAGAAGAGCTTAATATATGTTTAATTATCTTTTCTCGATCTGTCTTATCGTTCGAAATGGGCGGTTTTTCGTTTTTTGTGCCATCTGAGAGAAAGCGCGCGATAATCAGGACACCCTATGTACATCGAAGTTTTCACGTACCACGAGTACGTTGACTTGCAGCGGAGTTGAATATATTTTGTTTTATATTGGTTACAGTTATATAACATTGTACAGATTTAATAAATTGTAAGCGTTTTCTTTTTTTTTCTATAATTCCGATGCTAATCGGGATAAACTGTTTTTGTCAGTATAACAGATGATATGTGCGATATAAATAAAGAAGTTGTCTGGAAAAGCGAGTGGCATTCGTACTTCTTTATCACTGTACGAAACACATGAAAATGAGAGATAATCACTCCTGTGAAGTCTAGTACTTTGCTAGGCTTCTGGTTTCATGGGCTTAGTTTGAGGCGATTAGAGTAGGTATCGAGACCATGTATCTCTCTCGTGTACAAAAGACACACGACTCGTGTAGCAATTCCGACCTATCGGATCTTCTCGATTCGATGGAGGAAGAACTCCGAGGAAACGTCTGGCAATTTACAATAATTTATTTCTGCAAAAAACATTACAATATACAGCTTTGTGTTTGAACTCTAGAACCACAACGTGAGATCGACGATGGTCCAAATCTTGAACGTAAAACATCGTCTGAAAAGTTTTTACAAAATATATTTGCTTTATATATTGCAATAAGCTTTATATATAATGTTGTTGAACTCATGAATTTCGGCCCTTTCAACATAATCCCCTTACGATACGCCCCGTATAATAAAAAACTCCCCTTACGTTTAAGAATATTGCGGCTTTTATCTAACAAAATCACGTTGTGACTCCAGGATTTACGTCTATATTAGAATCTCCCTGAGACACGCAAAAAAGACACAACGTTCACACGTATCTTTTTATATGTATCAAACAAAATGACACAGCCCACAGATCAAGCAGCCAGTTAATACATACAAGTCGTATACTCCGTACACATATGATTATACAATCATGAACGTTCTCTTACACACACCCGCCTTCTTGCCGCCCAAAGATCCGTCTACATCCATCGTAATATCAGTCGTAGCAAAAAAAGATAGATCTCCCCTTGAATCAGACGTTTCAGGGATGACACGCCGTTAGAAACGTCTAATTGGCTATTGCGAAGTCGAGCAAATCATAAGAGTTGCAGATCGTAAGAGTTTTGAAACTTTTATGATGGGTCCACGATAGCTCCCGAGGATTGTTACGACGAAAGTTACGATCGCTCGCGATATGACGATAAACGTAGACCGAACCTGATATCGTTGAACGAGCAAAGGCATTCACTGAGCGATCTCCGATTTCGATTGGAGACGGTGAGTGAATCTCTCTGCTGCGATATCCGTTAGAAAGCCATCTGCACAGTCTATGGAGAGATAAAAAGTTACGTATTATTTTTAATCGTTGTATCCGCGCGCGGTTAATGTAATACGGTTCCGTATTCTCGTATAACGGTTCGTTCGCGCAAAATCGATGTCTTGGCTGCTGGAGACTTGAGTTTCAAGCGGTTATTGCGTTTTATCATCAGCGATATATATATTCGAACATAAAACGCATCAGCGCGTACACCGCATCATACATTTCTCTTTCTCTTTTTCTTTCTTCTACATGCTTTATTAACCGCCAACTGTAACATTCGCTCGTGCCCGTTCGTTGCTGGTCACAAAATCAATTGTTAAAGTGCGAAAAGAGAGTTCTATCGCTTTGTGGCTGTTTTTATTTCATTTCATACACGTAATTCTTGACTGTTCGACAGTTGTATCGATCTGACTTGGCCAATTTGCCGATTGTTTGATTTCATTGCGACGGCATTCACACATACGATACCCGTATCTTAACAATAAATTAGCAAAATACATCTCCATCAGCTGCCGCGTGGTTAAATGATTAATTAAACGGTCACACAAACGTCGACGCATATCTCTGCCCCTTCTAGAACGACGCGACGGCTGGCACCGAATCGATTTTCTAATATTTACAACTGTACAATTAAACAATCTGCGAGTTTTTTGCACTTAACGTCGATTAAATCACTTTCTATGTTTCTCTCTATATCTCTCTTTCTCTCCTTTTTGTTTACTATATTTTCTTTTATAATATTCTAATAAAAACAATGCTCACTTGTGGCGAGTCTAATCTTTTCCTCCTTTCTCCCGTTAATTTTTACAAATGTAAAAATAATATCCGTACTGTAACTTATAACGGACGATATCACAATCTTTCTCTCGCTCTCCTTCTTCAACACATCCGCGTAACACGTAACAAGATGAACGCACTCGGCGGTGTGTACGAACAACGTAATAACGGTAACATTAAAAAATCGTGTAAAAACAGCTAAAGCTACATCATTCTCGTCCACGAGGTTCGAAAGTCTCTTCATTTTCTCTGTTTCTCTCGCACAAAAGTCCTGATAAATCGCTGTATTAAGAAAGAAAGATATTAAAAAAATTTTTCCCCAATCGATACGATCGTATAAGAAACGTGATCACAGAAAAGAATCACAAGATACACGAAGTCAGTAAAAATGGAGAGTACAAAACTAAAAGTCTAAGTTCTAAACGAGGAGACACTTTTCGCCGACATAAGACGATCTTGCACTTTTACGTCGCGACAAACGGATAATTTGGGCAGAGTGGCAGGACTAAATCGTCCATATTTGGCAGGACAACTAGTTTCTCGAATTCCCTGAGCAGCTTGGTCTTGATCCATTTGGTCACGTACATGATATTCACGGCTCTCTCGCCCAGAGCTGGCTGCACGGTAAGAGCGATCTTCGGCACCGTCTTGAAGCCGTACCACAATCGGTCCGACGGCGGCGGGGGGATGTTTACCGATAGGCAGCCCTCGATACCAGATACGCTGACCATGAGACGAATTTCCGTGTTGGACACACCCTCCATCGCTCTCCGTATGTAAGACAACTCCGTAGCCTGCAAAACAGTTGGTCTTGTTTAATTAATCGGTTCGACGGCAACATGTGAGCCGCTTTCGTCATCATATCGAGAGCGATCGAACACTTGCTGGATTTGATTCCCGGCTTGAAACGTGTCTCTGCATTATTTCCAATGTCTCATGAACACGCTTCAGAATTCATTTCACTAGTGACGAGTAACCCGATGTTATATATTTCGATTGGAAATATACAAACAATAAATGACATAACAAATTCAACTCTGATCCAAAAGCCAATCTAAAATATAGCATTCCTTCATATCGCAAAAGCCTCGAACTTGCAGATCGAACATTTAATTCAACAAGCTGCTAATCGCTTACTTACGTGACGGAAATACTTGTTGGCTGTCAATTTGTCGACCATGCTGAGGAATTTTTTGCCAGAGGATTGTGTAGCCGGCCTGTGACACACGGAATTTTATCAATTATTGTCATCTATCACGAGTTATATCAATCATATCGAAAGAACGACGATTATACATTTTTAGATAATCTCAAAAGATTACGTCTATCTCTGGTAGAAATATATCTCTCTCTGATTATATCTGTCTTTTCTTAAAAGAGAAACGTGTTTGGAAGAGACGTTAAAGAATAATAATCACGTAACTAGATGGCAAAGAAAAATAGCTGAGAGTTGAAATAATTATTCGATTTGGGAATTGACTTACGTGCCGTCCTTGTCGCAAGATGCGATATTCCCGACGTCTTCATCTTCCGTGGACGTCTCCGGGCTATCCTCCACGTCGCTGTCGAACATCGGTGACCTAGTGGGGACCGATTTCTCGCCGAGAACGTCGCCGGAAACGCTGTTGGCACGCGTCAGCTTCATCAGATTCAGCTTCGTTTCTACGGTCATCGTCAGATAGCCCTTGTAGGTAATGTTCAAATCGAGCCAGAGCCCACGCTCGTCGAGCGTCGGTTTAGTGACGTTGTGGATCATCGGAGCATCTTGTCCGATCACCATTTCCGACACTAAGAGGCTTTCCATAAAGTACGGAAGCTTTATATTGGAGAGTTTGCGTTGAATTTTGTCCTGAATAAGGTTGATCGCGTCTGGGCAGCTGTGCATGTCGAACAGTAGCCGTCCCAAAAGGCAGTTCGCCCAAAGAACGTCCTGTTCCCTCGGGGAACCCTCGGGGTCCACCTGAAAGGTCAATCGCTTAATCAGCGATACAAGGATTCCAGAGTTCATTCGATTGCAGCGTCGCTTACGTCCAGGTACTTGCTCATATACGTGTTGTAGCTGACTTCGGGAGACACATCGAGCAATTTCGCCTCTGCCACATCCGAATGCACCGAAGTTGCGTTCATACAAGTCGTAGAATCGTTTATAAAGCTGGCGGAGTGTCGTTTCTTCGAAACGGATGTTGCTAATGTCAATCTTCGAAACCTGAAAGAAAAAAGCATTCACTGAAATCAGTGCAATGATTGCATAATTCTATATTCTAGGTTGTCCTTAATTTTAAATTCTTAATTTCCTCTTAAAATTTTTTAATTTTACGTTTTGGCATCCCGATGAAGATGAAGAAGGTAATTTAACAAGATCCTTCAGTGATTATTTTGATATAGAAAGTGTTTTGATAAAAATAAATAATTTTACCAGTCCTCCTTTTCTCGATCGGCGCGCGTAAACACGTACAGCTTGCATTTGGTAATCTCTTCGTCGTCGCGACAATCCTCGTAAATACTCCTGAGGGATTTCGATTGCGAAAGATCGTCTTCGTCCTCGTCTTCGTCGATCTTTAACTCTTCTTCTTCGTTGTCCTTGAAAACTTCCAATCTGAAATCTTCATCCTCGCTCTTCGTCTCCTCGCCCAAGGTACTTTCATCGCCATCTTCGTTGACTCCTTCCACCTGCGGAATCTTCTTCTCGTCGTCGAAAGTCTCCTTTTCGGATCCGTTTGCCAAGTCGTTCAACGTCGTGCTGTCTACCAGCGCTCCGCGATCCATCGTAATACAAATTGGATATTTCTTGCTCCACCTCCTACATAGAAAAATAATTTCGTTCAAGAAGACAATTCGTTCTACAATTGACAATTAATAAAAGAATTATTTTATATTTACAATTTTGATTATGAATAATTATGAATATAATTCATAATATTGAATATCAATACATGTTCATAATAATTACTGTGCGTGAATACATATTGTATTATATAAACATATTACGTATACATATCACAATATATATTTCATGTTACGTAATTACCTTCTTCGAATGAGCCCATCCGGTAACAGCTCGACTTTCGCACCAGTGAGATTGTACACACGTTTTCTGGTGAACTTGTACTTCCTCTTAGGCTCATCCCATACTGTTCTCTTTGGTACTTTCATCCTGGTCTCCATGACACGCAGCATACCACCCTCCAGGCTGAAGAAGACTGACTTTGTGCGTGCCACGTGATAGTTGTTGGGGTCGTAAGTGTACGGCAATTCGTTCAACCATCCTTCGTATCTCTCTTGAACCGCGTGCTCTTCCGCCGCGGGTATTTCCAGCACGGGCATCACCGTGTGCACAGGCTCGTTCTCCAACGGTGTCGCTAATAATTCCTTGATTCTCTGTACAAACTTGTACACCGTCAGCGTGGCGGAAACTCCAATGAAAAAGCCGACCAAATGCGCAGGCAATGGAATGAGGTAGCAGAAAGCTAACACGAGAAACAGCAGAGCGGTCAGTTGCTTCGTCAGCTGCCGTAGTACGTGATCCTTTAAGCGGGAGAGCAACTCGCTGAACTTCACTTCTCGTCGCATCGGGACATATCCATCCGACTGGCTGAAGAGATGACTTGCGTTGCTCCTCTTGTCTTCACTATTAAAATCATCCTGGGACTCGAGGGGTAACGCCTCAGGTACATCTTCGGCAAACTCTGCAGCCTCCACACCACTTTCCACACTGTCGTCTCGAGAGTTTTTGGTTTTCAAGCCAGTTCTCACCTGCGAGAAGCCCACGAATCTCGCGGCGTTGCTCTTACGATGACCTCCGCCCGGTTCCTTCTCCTGTTTCTCATTGACGTTCTCGTCGGTCGGCGTGACATCACCGAGATCTTCAGGATCGCTGATGCTGGAGTTGTCCTTGTTGTTGAGTCGTTTCTTCTTCTTTTCGTTCTTAATCTCGGAGAGCTTTTCCTCGAACGTCTTTGTGATCTTCCCCTTGATCTCCGACAGCATCTTCCACGGATCCGAGGATGGCGGAGTGCCTTCCGACAAGTTGCCATCGACAGATCGTCTGCCCGACTCATTCTCTGTGCCATTGTCGCTGCCTTTAGAAGGGCTCGGCGGAATTTTCGCTTTGTCGAACTCCGGGGTGAGGCGCTTCTCCTCGTCCGAGGAGCTCGGATACAGCTCCTCTAGCTCGTCGTCATTGGCTCGATAATGGATCACTGGCACAGACGTGGTGATCGGCTTGCCTTGGTGAGAAGAGCGAACATCAGTTCGAAACGCTTGATAAAAGATTTGTCGTGCGTGATAAGAGATAATTGTATAACGAGGGACTTTTCACATTAGTGTACACACTTACCCTTTATCATCCCCAGTTTAACCCTACCCGGACTGTGTTTGCTGCTCATTGTCGGTGTTCCGGAAACTGCTGCTGGACTGAAGCTAAAAGCTGTCGTTGTGCTGGGAGCTTATCAGCAAATACCGCAACATTGAGTCAAGTGTTCTCGGAATCTAAGCAAAGTCCGATGTTTATTCGCAGTGACGATAAGACACTTTCTTCTACCTCAAGCAAGCCGTGATCAGGCAATTAAAATCGCGTGACGACACATCGAGCACGATCGTTTTTACAGCGATGACTAATCATAATCAGCGATCATAATCAGCAGGTGCTATTCGCGCGGTTAAACGTTCATACATCTGACATCTTTCGAAACGTTCGCCACATCGTCCGCTTAGCACTGTGTCCTGTGTCCTCAAAGCGGATTCGCAACGGAAGATAATGAGATTGAAGGTAACGCCGCTACATGCGACAGACTCGACGATTGGCTGCGCGACAATCAACATGAGAATTTCTCGCAAAACTTCTCAATAGGCCTGTTCGTTTGGTCTGCACTGCTGAACTGGTGCGATAAGTTAAAGTGAGACAAACGTAGGTTTTCTCACTCTAACTTGTTGCACCAGTTCAGCTTCAGCAGTGCACACAAAACGAATAGGACTATTGATAGCGTTCAGTGTGTTTTATAACCTATCATTGCAAGTGGCACGATGTCATCTGTGTGATCAGCGGAACGTGAGATTTGTATCATCTCACATGTAGTTATTCAGCTTATTTCCATTTTGGCTTCAATTAAAAAGTTTTCGCCGCGTCATTCAGCCGTAATATCAAAAGTAAATATTCGCTGTTTGTCGTTAGGACGTTATTCTCATTGTGTAATTTTAGTTTAGGCTGTTTTTCGAGTTTATTCTCGCAATTGCTGATAAAACGGTTGACTATGTGGAGCTGATGAGTCACAAATTGATTTCAGAGCGCTATCGAGATTTATTCATGAACAGCATAGGCGAGGCGTGCAACGAGGCAAAACATCAGTATGACTCTTGCTTCCATACGTGGTTCTCTGAAAAATTCTTGAAAGGTTATACGAGTGACAACACATGCTTGCATTTATTCAAAATATATCAGCAATGTGTCAAGGTAATTGAAGCAAAGCTGTTATCTTACTTGTATCTTTAGGTGCTCTGCGAGCTTTTGACATATGAGAAAGATAGAAAGAGTGCAACATGGAGGATTGCAGTGAATTGAAACAAAAGTACGATGCCTGTTTCAATAGTTGGTTCTCTGAAAAGTTTTTAAAAGGGGATACCAACGATTCAATGTGTGCTTCTTTGCTTAAAGTTTATAAAGATTGCGTAGCGGTAAGTCTCTAAAGTCTTTTCTCGCAGAGTATATCTTTTATAAGTTGTTGACCATTCTATATATATAAAAATATCATGAAATATTAGATATAAATAGGGGAAGAGAGAGAGACATTTAATATATATTATTAATAGTTTTGCATTTGTATGTTTTAGAAGGCCATGAAAGAACAACATATTGAGCTCAAAGAAATGGAGACAAGTTACTTAGAATCTGAAAAGGAGAAGAAGCCACACAGTTGACAAGGAAATGCTCAGAATATGTACTTGGCTCAAAGTTGCATTGTATATAATTCGTTTAAAAATCATTGGCAGTAAACTTATAGTAATTATATCTTATTCCTGCTTCTTGTTAGGGAACAAAATACTTTGTTTTCAATTATATTGATAAAATTATTGTTATCTAATTCCATATCTTGTATTTACTGTTGCAAAACTTGTTTACTCTTGTAATCTTACACATACTTGTAGCATTTAAACACACAAGTTGTTTCATGGTGGACACCATGTAACTGTTTTCACATTACACTCTGTAGGAAATCATTGCAGAATTACTTGGTTGTATCTCAAATAGTGTGTAATTTTTATTGAATTTTCTCAGCTGTTTTTTTTTTATCTTATAAACAAATTTGTACAAAGAATGAGTGTTAAAAACAGTGCACTAAGTGCAGTGTACTAAATGATAATAATATAGATATTTTATGATTCATAGATGTAGAATTCTTATTCCTGACACACCGGTCTTTTTTTTTACCATCAAGAAGAGATACATTTGTCTGGATGACAGATATTCAATCATAATCGATTACGAATATTAAATTATCTGTTGAAGATATTTGATTGAAACGAATGTTCTAATACGTTGCAATATCTACTATTTTGACACACATGTATGCCCACAAGTACACACACACCTGTCTCTCTTCCTCACTTCATGTTGACTCTCATATTTTTATATTAACATTATTATTATAATTAAAACTTTAATAAACGTTACAAACGTAACATTTCTAAGAGTCAGTGTGCTCGAGTGTTCCCCTGCTAAACTTAGTAGAAATAGAAAAGTTCTTCGTTAGTGGAAGAACTGCAATTACGGTGACGCGCAGCTGCAGCTTGTCGTTCGCCGCCCGACAGGCGAAGAAACATTCGCTCGGATTTTCCAGCGCACGCACATCGAGTTAATCGCTGTCTTTGGAGTCCACGTCGGACGAGGGTGGTGTGCTCTCGATCGGTTCTTCCACCTCGCTGTCGTCTGACTGATCCCGCTTCTTCTTCGTCGTTTTACTGGAGTCCTCAGCGGGCCGCTTCTCGTTCTTCTTCTTCTTCTTCTCCTTCTCCTTCTCCTTCTCGTCTGCACTGTCGTCGTCGGAACGTTTCTTCTCGGATTTCTTGCTCTCGTCACTACTACTACCATCGTCACTGATGTATTCTTTACTTTTAAAGAAGGAGCCACTCATTAATTTACTGGGCGAGTCCTTCTTCGTTTCCTTCTTCTTTTTCAGCTCTACTTTTTCCTTCTTGTCCCTCGATTTGCTGCCTCCACTCGCCTCGTACTCCTTCATCGACATCATATATTCCTCTTTGGCTTTAGCCGCTTTCGCCTCCCACTCGGGCTTATCCTTCAGCTCTCGCCACATCTCGCCGCCCTTCTTCGCGATCTCCGTCACAGCGATGCCCGGGTTGTCCGCCTTGATGCTCTCGCGGGCATTGTTGAGCCACAGCATAAACGCCGTCGGCGGCCTCTTGGGCTTGTTTGTGTCCTTTTCCTTCTTCGACTTGCGTGGCTTACGCGGCTTCTCTGGCACAGTCTTCGCTGACTTCGACTTCTTCTCCTTTTTCTCCTTCTTCTCCTTCTTATGGCTAGCCGCGGATGCGTCTGAGTCTTCGCCGCTGTCGGAACTGTTGGGGTTGCTATCATATTCCTCAGCGACATCGCTCTCATCTTGGTTCGGGTTGAAGTCCTCGTCGGTCGAGCCCTCCTCAGAATCTTGATTCTCCTCGCCATCCCGTTCCTGCGCCTCCGCTTTCACACGCGCCAGATAAGCGTCTGGTTCGTCCTCTTGGTCGCTGTCGCCGAAGTCTTGGTCGTAATTGAGCTTGTCGCTCTTGCCGCGATTCTTCACGCGCAGCTTCTTCAACGTAATAAAGTCGAACAGTTTACCATATTCCTCCTTCTCGATGCTGCTGAACGTATGCACCACTCCGCTCGTCAGCTCGATTTCGAAGTCGAATGATCTGGTCGAACCGCCGCCACGGGCGAAATTTACCGACGCGATTTCTTCGAAGCGGATATGTATCGGCGGCTTGTGCACGTAAATGAAGCCGCGCTCCAGCGGATACAAATAGCCAGCGGCGGCTTTGAATGAGCAGCCGATCGCGGGCGTCCCAGTGTGACCTGTGAAGTGTCCTGGGCCGGTTAGCTTCCGATTTATAATCACTTTCATCACCTGTAATGTAAACGAGTGGTTTTCAAGCAGTTACGACCAAGGTATTGAGGTAAACAGCCTATTAATTTACCTTGCCGAGCACCTCGTATGTCGGACCTGCCAATTCCTTGGTCAACTTATCCTCGTATTTCTCTTTCAGTTCTTTCTCAGTAAAGGGCAATTCGATAAAGGTTTCTTCCTCTTGCTTAAACAGCAGCACCAGGTAATGATATCGTGTTTGACCTTGCTTTATAGGAGGATCCAGGCTTACGACGAAATACATTTGTCGATTATCTTTGTGTGGCAGCAGAAAAAGTCTAAGAACTGCAGACATGGGAATTTTGTAATCAAATGTCTTTCCGTGCAGCTGGAAAAAGGTCTGGAAGATTTTAATGTCGTAACGACCACGTGGCGTTAGACAATAAATTTCCTTGAATATGGCAATCGCATCGCCGCTTACGCTGATCACAGAAGCCTTCTCCATCACCTGTTCAGATCAACAAGCAGATTAGCCTTCTTTGCTTGATGTCAATTTTTATTGTATGCAGATAGATTCATTCATTTAGTCAATTTGTAAATGTTATCTGACCTGTTGATGAAACGCCTCCACAGGATCTTGATCAGCACTGTCACTTACAGGAATATGAAACCTCATTTCCATCAAACTAACTGGAGCATCATCATTCTGATGGAATTCTAAGGTCACTTCATTCTTCCCAGTGTTACACTGCGAAACATCATATAGAGGTATCTCAAAAGCAGTATGATGGCCCACATCAAAGCTTAAAACAGAACCTGTAAATTTAGCTGTACCCCAGTTCCAACCCTTCAGGCTTAATTCCTTCTCCAAAGTTTCTTTCTTATAATTCACAGAGAAGAATTTTGCAATCTTTTCTTGGTCGGCTTCTTTGAAGCCTCTGAAGCGATGTAAAGTTCCATTTTTTAGAAAGATCCGTAAGCCCCAAGTACCAATAAATTTCTGATAATTTACCATCTCCATGTCAGAGGCAGAGATCTGCTCTACCTTTCCAGTTTTTTGACTCTTAAAGATCAGATGCTGATCGGTCAATTTTAATTTACCTGGTGTCTAATAAGAGAAAATAAAGCGATCTTAATTAATATACTCACATGTCTTCGCCAAACTTGGAATCACAAGGATGTAGTAATTATATATTAGCATAACGAATTTTCTACGTAACACAATCGCCGTTAACTCATCATATTGGTACATTACGGATCGTGGAAAATTCTTCTTTTTATTATTACGACTAATTATGCAAGATTGTTTGTCAGAATAACAAAGATTTCTTACCATAGCACCTTTAACTTCAGCGACAATGTCAGGATATTCTAGAAAATCCATTTTCTTTTCCGTCAATTTTTCACTCCAAGTATCGAAAAAGTACTCGATTATAGCAATTAACAAATAAAATATCTCGTGCTAAACTCGTGTAACCGAATTCCAAATGCTCGTTCCTAACCTTCCAAGTTTGCCGCCGACGCGCTCTTTGAGAAATCGTTTTACGTATCAGAGGCAGTGTTCCAAAATTCACTGCCAGTACTGAAAATATATAGTTCGTGTCACGCAAACTATAACTTTTCAGCGCTGGCAGTGAATTTTGGAACACGGCCAGTGAGAAGGAGAGGGGTCATGTGCCGCTTTTAGCCGAGCAAAGTGCGAAGCGCTCTCTGTACAACCGTGCACATGAACTACGATGACTACATGGTTGTGCAAAGAGCGCTTCGCATTTGGCTTGGCTAAAAGTGGCCTGTGGCCCCTCTCCTTCTTCTCTCTGATAAAGCTCACGTAGAAAAGGACTTTTTTTCTACGTGAGCTCTATCCTTGTTTTTGAAATTCGGGAGAATGCACAATCTAGGTATACTGTGTCTGATTTCTTTGGTACTCTGGATCCCAACGGATAAAACCGACAGTTTTTATTAGTATCTTGTTGATACCAGAATCTAGAAGGCATTTCTAATTCTTTCATGATTATCGCCGAACATATTTGCATATGCCAATACAGCATGTGAACTGCAAATAATTCATACGATATAATAATAGGTGCAAATAATTCATACGATACAAATAATAGGTGGATCTTAACAAATACAATCTTTTATTGTTTATTAAGCAATTGTCATGTTAATCATACAATGAATAATATAAATAGAATATATAAGTAAAATATATCCTTTAGTTATACTGAGATTCTACTAAGCTATTATCATTTTACATTTTCTTATAATTAGGAAAGGATTTCTCTTACAATTAGGAAAGTAAAAAAATAGTTATAATTTATACTTAACTTTATATTCTAAATAAGTAATAACACTAAATAATAAATAACAAAATTTACAAATCATTGAATTAAATGTCTATCAAATCTATCCAATCTTCATAAATATTTTTATAATCACTTGTATCATTCAAGACATCATCCAATAATTCATCTATATTTGAGTCATTAGCATTTGTATTATCCAGTATAGAATTGTATAGAATTGTTGTATTTGAGTTATTCATAATACCAATATTGACTTTCTCATTTGTAGCTGATGATACATTTATGTTTGCACTTGTACCAAAGTAATTTGTTACTTCATCTGTTTGTACATTGTTCCTTTCATTTTGTTCTTTTTCAGTTTTGTCTGGTGTATGCGAATTAGATGCATTGCACCATGCCATGGCGCTATTGGCATCATGCAATGAAGTACCATAATTTTTTACAGGACCCATTGCAGATATTGGATGTTCTTGTGTTCTCTTATTAGAAACATTGTTGTCTTCAAAAATCTTAGTAATATCAATGTTAACTTTTTCAATATTAATTATTTTAGGCATCAGTTTATCAGTATTTATGTTTATATCCTTTTCTTTTGCAAAATTATTATTTGCTAGCTCAGATATAACATGTGGCTTATTACAATCTGCAATTTTGTTTCTTAAACCAACAGTTTCATTTTTGGAAAATAATTCATCAAGTTGATTTTCCATTGTAGAACTCGTTACACATTCAAGAGCTTCTCCTCTAGGGGTCATAGGTGGTGTATAAAGTGAAAGTTCTGTCAATGTGGGTGTATATTCTTTAGTAATATCAGGTTCATTCCAATTATGTGAGATAGCTGATCTTTGAAAGAACATCAAATCTTGGTAGCCAAAGGGCCAAATACACTGAAACACAAGTAAAATTGTAACTACAAATATGAAATGTATAAGTTCAGATTCAGAAAAATTAATAATAGTGGTTAGTACACAACAAAAAATAACCATTGATACATGAGCTAAAAATTCATATGTTTAATAAATTATAATGCTTCAACATATGTGTACACACATATACGGGGGTACAAGGGGGGGCCTTCGGCCCCCTCCCGCACCCTCCCCGTCCTCATTGCGCGTGGAAAGTTGCAAACCCATCCGGAATCTTATTTATCTGTCGCCTCCGTGACAGGTTTCTTAACCTAAATTGCCATCAACTTTAACAATTTATATCTCGCTCCACAAGGCAGAGTGACGATTTTTTCAAATAGAAAAGTTGTTTCTCTTGCAAAAACGCGTCGATTAAATATTTTTTCGTCGATATCGGAGATGAGGAGGATATTTTGTATAATTATCAAATTAATGTTTACCTTGATATTCTCACAGCTCCATATTGTTTCTTCCAAATTTATTTGAAAGGCTTTCATTTTATTTCTAATACCATTTTGCATACACAGTGGACAAAATTGCATCTTACAATGCGTGTTCGGAAATGTGTAAACAACGACATTCAGTCACGTTGCTACAACATACTATTATAGCTGTTGAACCAGCCTGGCTCCATAGACATAGGATTCGATTCAATTCAATTCAATAAATGGCTCTGGGCAAAATAAGGTACTGCTCCAACGCCACTCTCACGGTGTAGATAGATTAAAGCCAGCGGTACACGGTGCTTGTTTTCGTGCTGGATTGCTTGCTGGATGAAAATACTGCGTTCTGATTGGTGATCTCCGATCTCCGGTAATTTCCGAAGATGGATGGAAATGCACCAATCAGAATGCAGTATTTTCATCCAGCAAGCAATCCAACACGAAAACAAGCATCGTGTGCCGCTGGCTTTAAATATAAAAACCTGACTATGAATACCGACCATAGACATAGGAATATAGGGACAGAGCATAGAGTTGCGGGCGGATAACCATTGCGGGACGGTGCGACGAGTAAATTGTGCCTAAATTTAATTGGTGGTTGCGCCGTGTGTAAGTATTTGGGTGCGTTCCGTCAGGCCGAAGGCCTGACATTGACTACGTTTACACAGCCCAATTTACGCCAAAGTTATAACATCGATGTTATAACTACTGACGTTAGATGCGTAAACACTCCTTTACGACGAAGTTATTACATTGATGTAGTAACTCAAAGTCATTTGGTGAAGAAGCTTAGAGTTTCTACATCGACGTAAGGAAGACGTGTAAACGGACGTAAATATGACAATAATACCAATATAAAAATTGAACATCTTAATTTGATTGTAAAATTGATTTATGTTGTGAAAATTGTAATACGGGTCCGAGATCATGCAAATGATTTGGTGGTGTTAAATTCAACAAATGTTGTAATATAATTTCTTTCTGACGCTTTCGCCGTTTAATCAAAATATTTCGTACATATAGTATATATTGCATCGTCATATTTTCTACTATTTTCAAATATATAGCAACAAACAAGCGTACGCTTTCCATATTTTCCATGATTAATTTTTTCCAAAACTGATAACCTAGAATTTTAATTTCATTTTTAGTTAAATATTATATTTTATTATATAAATTTTACTATATAGATATATACATATTTTATAATTTTCAAATTCATAATATAACCAAAAAGTTCACTTTATTTGTTGATTTATTTACATACTATTCTTTTCATATTCTAATTCTTTTATATTCAAACTACAATCACAATCATTTCATTTTTCGGCCTTTTATATTGGTACTAATGGGAATCCTTGACTCACTCGAAAGTTATTAAGTTATTTCAAATAGATAAGCGTAAATGTGTAAACGCAACTCACCTTGAGTAGGAGTTATAACATTAGCGTTATTAAGGCTGCGTTCCGAAATTCACTGCCAGTACTGAAAATACATAGTTTGTGTCACGTATACTACAGAATTTCAGTGCTGGCAGTGAATATCGGAACGCAGCCTATGAATACGGGCACAGTCGCCCTCCACATTTCAGCACAACTCCCTTCACCTATCTTACGGGCTTATGCTCTGTCCCTATATTCCTATGTCTATGACTACGTTTACACAGCCCAATTTACGCCAAAGTTATAACATCGATGTTATAACTACTGACGTTAGATGCCGTGTAAACGCTCCTTTACGACGAAGTTATTACATTGATGTAGTAACTTAAAGTCATTTGGTGAAGAGGTTAAGGGCTAGAGCACAGACTTCTGCATAACGCATAATACACAACGCATAAGAGAATCAACCAATCAGAGTTCTTCATTTCTGTCCTGAGGAGGGAAATGAAGAAAACTAATTGGTTTATTATATGAAATTATATGAAAGAAAAAATGTCGACGCAGATCATCATTGGACAAACGTAAGTATCTAATATATATATATATATACTCAGTTTCTTTTTACAAACGACATTTAAACTATATTTTTAATTACTTTTTATAACGTTTTATTAATTATATTTACAAATGTAACATGCAAAGTAGAATATTATAACTTATTTATAAATAACTTTAAGACTTATATAACTTATTTATACTTAAAAATATCTTTTTTTCATATTTTCAGCGGTTATTCTCCAATGAATGGTCTGACAATTTGTTAAATTTTGCGATATTTATCATTGTAGCGTACGAGAATAACTTCTCTACTAGTGCCGAGGAAGGTAAATATGTGTTATATTTAACAAATAATTTTTTTACTTGTGGGTATTCATGTAACACATTTATACTTAATTTAGTATTGTTCAAAAAGCGCATTATTTGTATTGTATCTTCACCTTCAGATGAAAAAAGATGTGATTGTCTATTAATATGGGCAACATTTTCGCCAAAATCATAGAAGTCGTCTAACAATATATTTTCTTCTAATTCCAAGTTATTTACTTTTTCCGACCTAAACGCTGTAATAATTAATTGTTTTATTTTGACTTTCTTCTTGTTATCTAAGCAATTCAGCCAGCAATTTTTAAATCGCGGATATGTAATCGCAGCAAGTGTCGCTGCTTCCTCTTGACCGCGAATTTCAAAAAAGTCATTGAACCTTTCAAATAAACGTAACTACATTCCTTCCACCAACTTTTCACAATATGTCGAAGTGTTGCTTCCAAGCATTGTAATCCACTTGTTATTTATGCTTACCAGCAATGGCGTTAAGCAACCATAGCAAGCATTAGTCTCGGCTTGAGCCTTATCAATTGCAATAGCCAAAGGTTCCATAGATGTTACTTAATCCCTTATATAACGAAAAATATGCTCCCTGTAATCAACTTCAAAATTTAAATAATGTTGTATATTAATATCGGTGAGTTTATCTTGTAATGAGATTATTTGTTTAAGACTGTTTAATTATTTAAGATTTGTTAATTATGTAAAGAATACTATCTTGTAATAACAGGACGTTTTAAAGCGCAATTTAAATATTTTTTCAAGGCTTCGCGATTTTTCGGTGATCTTAATTTTCTCCATAGTTTTTCGCATTCTCCGATTGCTTCTTCGTGCAAGCGTTTTAATTTATAATCTTCTTTTATTATTTTTATTGCATCACTAGATGCGATTAGATTTAGTGTGTGACTCGTACATCTTAAATGTCGAGGTAAGATAATTTTAATTTCGTCGTTAATTTCTTCACTAACTACAGATTCGTCATGAACATGATCGTAATTATTGTTGTCATCATCATCATCATCATTATTTTCGTTTGTTTCAATAATGTTTCTGTCATTCGTTTCAGATAAGTCGTTTATTTCCATTTCTGTGTCAAGATAATTTGTACTTGGGCTTTCATTTCTTGAAATGGCATTACTGCTTAAGCCAAACATTCGGAATCTTTTTATAAAATTAGACCCATTGTCAGTAACTGTAGCTACTATTTTTTCTTCAGACAATCCAAAAAATGCATATATTCTGGCTAATTTGGCAGCAATAGCTTCAGCTGAATGAGTACCTTTTATTGTTTTGCATGCTATAACAGCAGATTTTCTCTCCAAAATTTTGTCACAGAGCTACAAAAGATAATCGCATTAGATACAGTAGGAATAAATTTTCGATTTTGTTAAAAGTTTAGAAACATTTACCCAGTGAGTCGTAACGCCGAGAACTCTACGATCGGGCACAGTCCACACATCTGTTGTAGTACAAACGTGTTTGGTATTTTTTAAGTGGTTTTTTATGACTTCTATATGCTCGTTATAAAGAGCGTCAATTCTTTTAGTTAAAGTGTATCGAGTAAGATGTTTTAAAGTTCCTTCATCATATTTTATTTTGAAACCTGTAAGATGAATGCATTATTTTAGAACATTATTTTAGTCTTCAAATACATCAATGACATAATGAAAAAACCTCTTAAATATTTGTCTGTTATTTACTGTTAAATATTTGTCTAAATGCTGGAAACTCAACAGTGCTGAATGGTGACATGCTCTGTAATATATAAGCAGTGACATTTTTTTCAAACAGTTCTTGTGAAAAAGCTCATGTTGCTCTACGATTTACGTTTGATCTTTCCGCCAACTTTCGTTTATCGTTTTTATAAGTTAAATATTCGGAGCATAAATCAGGATGTTTTCTCTATAAAAATATGAATAACTATTAAACTAGTCTCTCATTATGTATTCCTTTAAAGAAAATATATGAAAAGTCTTGATAGATGTACCTTCAAATGTGTTATGTAATTAGAAGATACTTTTAAACTCCCTTTAATAAGTTGCTTAGGCGTGCAATTAGTACACGCGGCATACACTGCAGATCCATCTTGAGACGATTTCCCGAAACCCACGTCAAAAAATGTACCGTCTAAATACGGAGTTTTATTACACGCAATCCGTAAATTTAATGGTGTTTCCTCTGCACAATTATCCGTTAACAAATCGATTTGTTCATTATTACTATAAACATGAACATCTTTGTTAATCGCCTTATTTTCATAGAAGACACCAAATAATGGTGTCGACTATACGCGAAAAAGGATAAGTCGGTTAGCACACAAAAATCGCGAAAGCGGTAGGCAGGACTCGAAACAAGAATATATTTGCAATGACCAAAGTATCATAAATTATTGATTTTAATATATTTCCATTATACATTCGTATGAAACATATACTATTTGCGAAAAAAACGCACGAAAAATTGGTCAAAGAACGAAGCATATTGTGGACAAGAACAGCTAAAGGATCTAACAGGAAACATGTGAATTGATTCAGCGTGATTCGCCGCATGTCAGCTATCTCTAAAAGGAAACTGAGTTTATATATATATATATATATATATTATATACTTACGTTTGTCCAATGGAGTTCTGCGTCGACATTTTTTCTTTCATATAATGTTTAAAAAATACTTTTGTGACCGAAACAAAGGATCTAAGTTTTTTAAACTTCTTGTGTATCACGTTATATTCAGCTCGGTTAGTTGCTATGAGTAATGTAAACATTGAATTGACAGATTAGTCAATTGTCTTACTGCGCTTTTCAATTAAATTTGCTTATACCAATTGTCAATTAAATAGCCTTTAATTATATTGACTATGTTCAATCGTTAATCGAACAATCTTTAATTACTTTTGTTAGTTTTAATCGTTGATTCAATGGTTATTGATTGAATTCCTTCAAATCAATCGTTAATTGAATAATTTTTAACTAGATTTGTTCAAATAAATGGTCAATTAAAATCTTTTTAATTGAATGGGCTTATATTAATCGTCAATCAATTAAATTAGAAATTATTTCCTCAAATCAATTATTAAATTGAGGAGAAGTTAATTAATATTTTTACAACTCTGCTCCCATTTTTCTGGCAGCATACGAATACCATGTCGAAAGAACAACTCATCCTTTGAGGTTATCCACGAATCGACCCATTTTTTGGCTTCTTCATAAGAATGGAAGTGCTGCTCAACCAGGCGTCATGAGTCATCGATCGGAACAAGTGGTAATCGGAAGGAGCAATGTCCGGTGAATACAGCGGGTGAAGTAGGACTTCCCATTTGAGTGTTTTCAAGTAGGTTTTGACCGGTTTTGCAACATGTGGCCGAGCGTTATCAGGCTGAAAAATTACTTTGTCGTGTCTCTCCTCGTATTGCGGCCGTTTTTCCTTTTGCCTAATGTTTTTAAACGTTTGGCAACTGTTGTGTGATCGACTCCTAATGATTCTGCAAGTTCATTTTGCGTCTGACATGGGTCTTTATCGAGTAATGCTTCCAATTTTTCGTCTTCAAACTTTTTCGGTGCGCCAGAGCGTTCTTTATCTTCAACATCAAAATCATTATTTTTAAAGCGTCTAAACCAATCTCTGCATGTTGTTTCCGACAGAGCATGGTCGCCGTAAGTCTCCACAAGAATTCTATATGCTTCAGCTGCAGATTTTTTTTGAAAAAAGTAATGCAGTAAAATTCCCCGCAAATACTCTTTTTTTGGCACGAAATTCGACATGTTTAACGCTATGAAAAAATATGTTGTTTACGCTTCGGCGGAATAACATATACTGTCACTTCGAGCCTAATGGTGGAGCTTCACGATGAAGTTGGCTGTAGTATTGCCCGATACAAAAAGACTAAGATAACACCATCTGTCGGAAAACAGCGAGAATTTATTCAAGTTCCCAATACTGACCAATTATAGCCGATTATTTTTGTAATAATCGACTGTGATTCGCCAATTCTTACGGCTTGCAACTTACGACACGTATTGTAGAATAACTTTTACATTCAGACCAATAACGTTGACGAATTAAGCCAGCAGCACACGGTGCTTGTTTTCGTGATAGATTGCTTAGGTGAAAATATTGCATCCTGAGAGACCACCATCTTGTACCACTAGGTACATGTAACAATAGCCGCGTTCAGTAGAACAAAGTGATCAGAGAGCGCTTAGTGATTATTATCTGTGATTGGAACATTCTTTTAGATCCTTCCCAGACCCAGAAGTATTTACCAATCAGGAGCGGGATTCAGTGGAAAATCTAGTAATGTTGTCCAACTGTTGAGTCTGCTGAATGCAGTCAATGACTACGTTTACACGGCTTCTAACTTCGACTTAGTAACTACCGTAGTTAGTGCAGCTCGAATTCGATTAGAGTATATTTTTAGATCTAAAAGTATATACCAATCGAATCAAAGAATTCACTAATTACGGTTGTTACTAATCCGGATTAACCTTGCCGTGTAAACGTAGTTAATGCCTCTTTCTGTAGTCGCCGTGCGCTCAGGATAGCACTAGAGATGTCGCTTCCGAACGATATCTCTCAACGTTATCTAGGGAGAAGAGAGTGTCGTGAGCGTGGAGCGTCAGGTAGTTCAGTGGCTTAGAGCAGTCGCCCGGCCAGCGAAAGACCCGGGTTCGATTCCCGTTCGAGTCTAGCTAGCGACTACCGCGCTCTCGATATTTTTCTCTCTTCGGAACGAAAATAAGATGCAGGTCCCGAACGCATGGTGTCCCGTCGCCCGCCACCTAGTAGTACGCCCTCCTTCTTTCATGGTCTGATCCTGATTGGTGCATCTATTTCCGGAAATATACCAATCAGAATGCAGTATTTTCATCCAGCGAGCAATCCAGTACAAAAACAAGCACCGTGTGCCGCTGGCTTTACTCAATAGTTGCGCAACTGTTGAGTGTCGTGAACGCACCCAATATGACGATTTGAAACTCCAATGCTCATTGGTCCACACGATCTTATGCCATGTGCAGTTTTATCATTTCATGTGCGACGGGCATAAGTATTTCACTGAGAATTGAAAACTGCGCATGTGCGAGCAAGAACATTCTATCTTCTTTTTCTTTATTCATCTTCTGTCACTGTTTCCTATTAATGCATTCTTTTATTTTCTGTAATCTTAATATTGTCCTTGCCTGTATTATAAGTGTATAAACGTAATCCAATTTGACGTAATCTGACTTTAATATATGTCAAGAATAAATAAAAATGAAAATCTATAAAATACAATTATTTAATAATTAAGTAATTATATAAATTTTCAATTGTAGAATATAACAAAAAACAGTTATATATTATTGCATTATCATGAGCGAAACTACAGAAACACAGATTAGAGACAATACGGTCTCTGTTATAACTGAGCAGGAACGTACTTTGGCACAAAATGCATTATCAGATTTTCAGAAAGGTTCCTACATATCATGTTTGTCACATTTAAATAGGCTAGAAAGCCTCAGGCCTACGGATCTTAAAGTTACACATAATAAAGTTGTTGTGGAATATTATAAGAGTGATTTGAAGAAAACTGAATTGATGCGAAAGAGTTTAAATGCTATATGTGGTCAGATATCAACAACAGACTCTAGTGAGGCTATTGATGATGTTGAAAAGTGTGTTATGAGGTATAATCAAGCTGTATTATTATATCATACTAGACAATATAATGCAGCAATTCAAATTATGAATAGGCTCTTTGCCTTTATTGAGCCAATGGGTATGTATAGTGATAGTTTCAAGAAGTGATTAAATCCAATTATGATAATTGATATTCAGATCTATAATACTTTTTTGTTTAATATGTATTTATATATGCTTATTGTTTACAGAAGAAACTTTAGCACACAAAGTTTGTCTACTATTAATCGAATTATATATTGTTATGGAGCAACCAGATACAGCTATTTCAATATTAAATTATGTAGAAAGTCAATTTGTATCTACTGACAATTCTAAGATATCATCTGTTGACAAGGATGGTATGATGAAATCTGTAAAGGATCAGAAAGAACAAAAAAAAGGTGTTAGTGATACTGCAACAGATGCATTTAAAATAAAACTTTTGAAATATAAAGCAAGGATATATCTTCTGACTCATCAACTAAAACTTTGCAAAAAAGAATGGAAGACATTAGTTTCATTGGGTACTCCAGTGGTGGTAATATTATTTATTGAAACGATATATAAGATGAAACCAGTTATTGCAACATTATTATTGATGCATTATATTGATGTGCTTTATTATATTTTTTTTTAATTAATTTCTTTTTAATGAGGTTGTAGAAAATTACAAAAATTTTATTACTTTATTATTGTTTTCAGAATACATCAACAATTTTTTTGAAAGCTAATCTAGAATATTTACGAGGAAATCATAAAAAAGCAATGAAATTGTTGAATTCTGCAACTACGGAAAATTTAGATTTTAAGTATGTCATTTGCAAATTCAATTAGACATAAATACATAAGTTCAAATTGGGGATTTTTATATATATCTGCCATATATAAAATGTTGTATTATATTTTAAAGATAAAGTGACTGTGATAATTAAAATATTATATTAACATATGATTTATAGATCATGTGGTGAGTCTTTGGCTGTTTTATATTATAACAACATGGCATGTTTGCATTTTGCAATGAATAAGCCAAATTTGGCTTGTTTCTATCTGCGGAAAGCTCTTCACGAAAATAAATGTGCAGTGGAAAGTGTGCAAGTTAAAGATACTGGTGAATCTTACAGTTATTATTGAATCTGTATATATTTCTATTCCATGTAGATTCAGTTGAAATATTTGATACAGATGCCTCATCCTCTCAACCATTGTATACACTTGGTAGTAATAAACACTATGAGCTGATGTACAGTTTGGGAGTATCATTGTTGCATGCTGGTCAAGCATCAAAAGCCTTCGATTGTTTTACGGAAGCAGCACAGAGGTTTCACAATAATCCTAAGCTGTGGCTCAGAATGGCGGAATGTTGTATCTATTGTCACAAACATGTAAGTTATAATTGATATTGTTGGTATCATTAATTTACCTATGTAAATAGGAGATTTCCATATGTATCTGGAGTATATATTATTTAAGAATAATAAAAGAATTGTTTATATCTTTAGTTATACTTTTACATTCAAGCAAAGAATTAAATTTATGTAATAAAATTATAAGTCTCATTGTTGACATGTGATGATGTGTTATTTATATATTTTCAGTCAAATGAAGTCGATTTTAAAATTTTACGTCGACGTGAGGATCTGGTGCAGAAAATCATAGGTTCTGGAGTTTATAAAAAAATCATATTAGCCACATCTCTTTCCGAAAAGGTGAACTATCATTCCGAAGGCTTGTCCTACGCGATTCCACAGCCAACATTAGAATTCGGATCTTTGTGTCTGAAAAATGCATTATTTCTACTGCCAAACAACAACGAGCCAAATATACCAGCGACAACTACCACAAATTCACAAACAGTATCACTATCGTTAACACCTGGTCATAACTTGGGTATGGATTTCAAGTTACAATGAACACGAGATTGCACGTGATTTTATAATTTGTCATAATCTATTTTATACAATCGTTTTCAGGTATCCAGCATAATACTACGCCAATGTCTCAAGCCACGGCTATCGAATCTTTTAATTTAAGAATCAGCGTGTTGGCTGCTAGCGCATACGTTTCTTTGTGCCTTGGAGATTACACACTTGCCCTTGAGCACGCAAAAGCACTGCTGAGCTTTAATAAGCTGCCTGGTGCATATAGAATGTTAGGTAACTTATATGCTGCCGAAAGTCTGATATTTATCGACAAAATTAGCGAAGCTCTTGAATATCTGAAACCGGAAAATCTTCAAGATTTAAATACATTTACGACTATGCCGGAAGTCCCCGAGAAGGATAAAGAGAAAGCGGAGGAAGTCGTGATGAAGCCTATAAAAAGTAAATTTAGAAAATCTTCGTATTACTTCGTTATACTAAAATGTAAAATGACATTATAATTATAGCGTGGTATCCTACAACAATTTCTACGGGCATTGCCGTGTTACGTTACAACTTGGCTGTGGCTTATGCCATACGTGGCGAATTAGATAAAGCTGGAGAAACTTTGAAACAGGTGAGTATATATCTTAAAATTGGCTTAACCTATTATTTGAAAGCCGTGATATATGGTAACAAGAATTTTTTATTCCAGGTATGGGTGTCGAAACCGCAAGATTGTGATGTACCGATACAAGTGATAATGTTAGCTTTGTACATAGAGTTACAATTAGGTAACGTTTATTTTGCATTAATATTAATTAATATTTGTTACACATAGATTAAGGTGCTTGTGAAGGATGGTAGAATTTGTTACACATATCGCGAGCACTACTATGATATATCGAACATATAATTAGAGTAATTATAAAATACTTTGTGCGCTTTTCAATTCCAGGTCGTGCGGATATCTCCAAATCGATAATAAAACAACATTGTGTACAATGTCGTTAACGATCAAGATTTACACGACTCTAAAAGTTACAGACTTTTATGTCTGTTAAGTTAGTGTATACAAGAAGTCCAGTAAATTTCTATCATTTATGAAACTAATGACTATAGAAGACAATGTTGCAGATAAGAGTTACTTGTGATAAAGACGTCCTATAACATAACTTTATCCTAAGCAAAATCATTATCAAGATATGAGTGTTACCTTTTTGTTTATTTTTATATATAAAAGAATTTTCTTTTTATAGAGAATTTATCGAAATATAATTCGATCTATATTTATTATAATGTAATTTAATTTGCCTCAAGTGCGATCATGAACAACAAGAGAGCAAATGAAAAAAAAAACAATTTTATGTAATATATATTTCGAACAAGAATAACATAGTGTTCTCAATAAAAATTAATAAACATCTTTTTTGTACAAACTACAATTTACAATTGCATACTTTATGCGAAATATTACATTTGCAATATAGTGTAGAACGTTCTTGACAAATATTTGTTACATCCAAAAATCCGATATTTTTATCAAATATTTCGATTAAAAATCCTATTTCACCATTCAAACCTCAACGGAAGAACGTTAGTGAAATCTCAATGCGCTAATTAGATGCGTGAAAATCATAAGGCATTTTTACAATGGCTGCGAGAATAAGGCTGTAAGCGTAAGCTGTAAAAATAGACCAAACACAGTCGATTATTATAAGAATAATCCAGACCATAGTCGATTATTAGAGTCTTAAGCGTCGTCTACAATGGCAATAAGCAGTAAGAAGTAAGCGTGAACAGTAAGAAATGGATCAACCACAGTTGATTATTTTTGTCATAATCGACTGTGATTAGTTTATTTCTTATCATTTACGCTTACTTCTTACTGCTTACTGCCATTGTAGACGGCTTTTTTGTAGAAGCCACTGTAGCCATTGTAGAAGCTTTAGCTTTGCAACGAACTCTAACTGAAATTTCTACGACTCCTAAAAGCGAAAATATCGACGATCGATCGAGCCGCGTTCTGCAGATTTCTTGGCGCTAATTATACAAGGTCAATGCCACTTGCTCGCTTCCACTAGGTGGAAATGGAAGAGAGAAAGCGTGACAATCGTACCCCTGCACTACGCCAGACCTACCCCAACTATTGCCTCTCTGACTATTCACCACTCAGCGTGCGAGCTAGGCGGTCGTTCACCTCACTTTACGAAATTCCGTAATTCGTATCTTAGCAACGTGTAAAGCCACGACGTCGCGGTTTCCACGGAAATGAGTTATTTTACCTTCAGATTAATTTCTGACTACAGCCAACTCAGTGCCGTGTATCCCGAAACATCGGATCCCGAAACTTTTTCACCGATCTATTAAGAACTCTTTCGTAATCGATATCTTAACCCAAGCAGAAGAGAAAACCATGATGACATCAAAATGATGTCAAAATTTTGAGGAAAACTCTTTTTTCCACCATGATTCGATCATTTTGATGTCATTTTGATGTCGTGATGTTCTGTTCTGCCTGGGAAGAAATCACATGGCTACGTCAATGGGTGTCGCTCAGAAATTCGTTTTCTTGTCTTCCAATTCGATCACTTCCGCAGATACCTCGGCTACATATATTTAGGGACGCTCCAGTCTCGCATCGATATATTTATAAAAGAAACTGTTGTGATTGATATCTCGGGAATTCATTAAGCATCATCAGTACAGAAAATTCGTTATTTTGTCTCCAAATATCACCCTATATTTTAATGACGCTTCGATGTCAGTTCGTGACACGCGGACGTTCGTCTGAACGTCGTAGCGCGATGCTTCGACTACTCCCTAAATTGGTCACGATAGGCAATTTAAAAACGGACACGTAAGGTGGAAAATTTGGAATTATGTTCGATCCACCAAATGGGGCCAAGCTCGTTCTCGAGGCCTAGCGCGGCCGCTTTATAGTATTTTCCCGACGAGTACAAGAGCGTTAATTAAAACGTACGATAAGCAGCGAGTGATGAAACGAGAGGTGTTATAAGACACACGGTGGCGGCGTCGTGGCGTAACGGATAAATCAGATTAAGCGGGGGAAAGATTTACGTAAAAGTGCTTAAGTGAGACGCGCGCTGTGTTTCTGCGCTGCGTACGGCTTCGCGGATTGCGCAACGCGTATCGAGCCTGAAGACCGCATCTTAGGAGTGCATCTGCCGTATTATCCGCGCTTAACTTCGACCTGCTGATCGCCGTGATTACGCTCGGCACGCGTAAGCCGCGTTACGCAAAGGTAAATGGCGAAGATGAGGAGGATGACGCGTAATTTTCAGCCACACGCGCGGTTTCGGCATGAATCGCGCTGCGTAATTGCAAGCCGAGCGGGCGAATAATTACTCGAGCAACGTCCAACGCGGCCGTGCACTCGCCAGCGGCGTGGAGGGCGGCGATCCCTCGAGGCGATTTTTGCCGCTTGTCCTATTCGCGGGAGACAGGAATCTCTCTCTCTCTCTCTCTCTCTCTCTCTCTCTTTCTCTCTCTCTCTCGAGCCTGAACTGGGTCAGGGTAGCGCGGCCGAATAGACGGATCAATTTTGTTTTCAATTTATCAAGCCCACGCATGCGGCCGTACGACCGGCGACGCGAGCGAATTTCACGCTGTGCGAGAAATTAATCACGATATATTGTGTCGATTGTGTTAACGCGTGCGTCTTCGTGAGCGGAGGATGCGGATAATCGAGCCGTTGGTCGCTTGCGAATTGGAGGGGACGAGTTTGTCGGCGGTGCTATTAATTCGCATTAATCTCGGGTGTCGGCGAAATGAGAGGCGCGCGAGAAAGAAGCGCGAGCGAGCGGATTATCCTTCGCGTTTTGAAGCTCGCCGTTTCCGGTTTCGTCGGACGGAATGGCCCGTTTGCACAGATGATACGTTATTGATTAACTTATGGAATATTTTATCTATCGATTTAATTCATTCTCTCCTCCTGCATATTTATTATATTTCCCTGAGAAATATCAAATCAATTTTTAGAGAGGAAATATGAAACTAATTCCTTATTCGGTATCTCAAGACCCCTCGGTATCCTTCATCAAATGAATGAAGCACTGTTCTATCGCTTCGAGGTTCTTTAAGCAGGCAAGAAAACAACCGGCTGTATTTTTTAAACAAGTCTTGATACATTATATATATATATATTTTTTTTTTTCTGTATTCTGTAGAACATTTACATTTCTCGCATAGATAAATTCTCCCCATCGATCTACGTGTGAAAGTGAAATCTCAGAATGAAATCACCGCGAAGTGTAGACATTTGACGGCGTTAAATGGTGATTCGTTGTCGCTCCGTCACCAAGGATTCTTGAATCACGGAATCTTCATCGAGGATTCTCATTCACTCTCGCGATTTGTTTGAAGTTCATAGGTAATATATAATAGAGAACCACTGAAGACACTGAGTCAGCCGTAGTAAAAGAGTCGATGTCAGGCCCTGGATGATTCGCATGGATGGCCATGACCATATTACCGTCCAGAAGCCCCTAACGATATAGCCAACGGCGAAGAGTGTGTGAAATTAGTCCGACGTGTGAGGACAGAAACACAGCGCTATGTGTATACACACAGAGGCAGGTACAATTTTTTTTCTACCGACTTAATTCACTCTCTTCTCCTATAGATTTATTATATTTCCCTAAAAAATATCAAATAAATTTTAGAGAGGGAATTAGGAAACTAATTCCTAATTTGATATCTCAAGATCTCTCGGTGTCCTTTGAACCAAATGAACGAGGCACTGTTCTATCGCTTCGAGGTTCTTCAAGAAAGCAAAAGCCACCTGTATTTTTTAAACAAGTCTTGATACATATTACATACTTATAATACGATACAATACAATATTTGCTTTCGCGCAAAAATTCTACGATTGCGCGATTTGCTACGAACATCAACGCATCATCAATTCTCTGGAAGAATATTCCAGGATTGATTCTATTTTAGCCAAAATCGCTTCCGAAACATAAGACTCGCGATGCGATATAAAAATAACACAATATAACATTCGATCGATCCCTAAAGCGGTCTATTGAATGCCCAGCTCTCTTTTGGTTTCATTATATTAAAGTTACACGAAACAACAAAACAATCAGAGTCAGATTGCAGGTCTGGTTTGCATTTGCAAGAAGTTCTGCGGTAAATTCTGCAGTAAATTCCACCGATAAATTCCACCGATTATCTAATCTTCAAGTGTGTGAGTCGTATCTATTATATCGGTTGCATTAATTACATTAATTGTATAAAACTTTCAATTTCCCATACCGTGAAATGCCCGCGAAAGCGACACACAAAGCGGTGCGCCAGCAGGAGCAAAGTAAAGCGGCGGTCCACCTAAATCGAGCGAATTTCACTTCGGGATCATCCGCGGCCACGCGTGCCTACGCGTTCGCATCACGGCCGCAATCCGGCGTGTATGGTCAATGGCCGACGTAAGCTCGTTCATTACGATTTCGCTCGTTTCGTCGGCTCGATTAATTACGGAATCACTCACGCTGCCGACGTGTGCTCTAGCGAGCGGCGCAACGTGTAGCTTGTGTATGCCGGACGATTGTCGTCGGTCGTCGTACGTCATCCGCGAGGGACACGTGGGACGTATGCTCACACACGCGGATGTGTACACACACACACACACACACACACACACACACACACACACACACACACACACACACACACACACACACACGCGCGCGCGCGCGCGCGCGCACGCACACACACACACGCACACACACACACACACACACACACACACACACACACCCACACACACACACACACACACACACACACACACGCGCGCGCGCGAGCGCGACTTTTCCGCCCGCGCCTCCGCCGCTCTCTTACCTGCGTCGATTTTCGGCGGAGAGACCAAGGTTATCACCCTGTCTTTCAAAGCCGCAGCCGCAGCCCGGGCCGGGCCGGACCCACCGCGAAGCGACGCGACGCGACGCGACGCGACGCGACGCGACGCGACGTTGCCCCGAGGGGCCCCAGCCGAGGGGCCGAACCCTTTCGTTTCGACGACTCCGCGGATCGCCTTCGTCCTTCATGGCCGTACGTGGCACCAGCCGCACTTGACCTATATATTATTATGCTGCCAGCGTACGGATGCAATGCGCGTCGCGTTCGCGAATAGGCCCGCGGGGCCTTATCCGAGGTGAGGAGGCCTGGTCGGTGAGTTTGTCGTCTTTCCTTCCTGCAGCGACGAGTCAGAACTCCTCCATCCGTCCGATTCGTTCCGATCTCTGACCTTCCGTGACGGACGCGAAATGCCGCGAAATCGTTCCTCATCGTCGGCCAGGACGAGATCGATAGATCCATTAAGGATTTACGTTCGGAATTAACATCCACCGCATGCCGCGGCTCTTCTCTCTCGCATTGAATTAAAAAGTATAATCGCGTGATTCTCTGTCTCCCTTGCTCCACTCTCGTCCGCGAATATGATCTCAGGCGTTCGTGGATAATCGCGAATAAATTATCTTAAGCGAACAGGGAGGAGAATAAGAAGACTTAATTATGTAGCTTGTTTTGAAATGACAAATAATTAGCGGGCGAGTTGAAAGTCGGCTGTCTCTAGTGTTCGCAAAATATTCTTGGAATGTTCGCTGGTCCGTTCGGTCCTCCCGACTGAAGATCCGAAGGATCGAGCCGGGAGACAATCGACTCGGCGACCGACTCGAGTGAATAATCCGAACGAAAGGGAGCCGAGTGAACTTACAGCGAGAAAAAAAAAAAGAAAAAAGATACTCTCGTCCTCCACGATCGGACGGAAATTTCGTGAGCGCTCCTTAAAATCCCTTTCCTCCGCTCAAGGCCCGGCTTGAGTGCCCTTCGATCGTTCGTCGCTGCCTCACTCTTCACGGGCATTCAAGAAGGCCACGAGATCGCTGCAGCTTCGCCGCGCACCGCACGCGGCCGACCGCGGCTATAAAACGAATCGCGCGCCTCTTGGAAGGCCAGTATGCCAGTGTGACCGAGTACGCTCTTGTACGATCTCCCGTGTACAATTTGCACCTTTGCGATATATATAGATTCTCTCTTTCTCTCTCTCTCTCTCTCTCTCGCTCTCTCTCTCTCTCTCTCTCTCTCTCTCTCTCTCATCGCGCCGCCTCGACAGCTCCGCCGAGATCTCGTCGGCGATCACCTCTCCTCGTTCGCCAAATCTCGCGACACGCTCGGCACTTCTTCACGCGTATAAAACATAGTGATGTGATCTCGACAAGATGTCCGGTGCGGGCACATTCGCGAGCAAATTTATATGACACGCGTGATTCGCCGCGGCTCTTCTCGCCCGTCACGTTCGCGAGGTAAAGCTCAAGCGAACGGTCGTTCGTTATCGGCGAAGAGGTAACGTCTCTCAACACTGAAACTACCAAGCGGTGAAAGACGACCAGTTATTATAACAACTCCGATTAATTATGATAAAGTCGTAATAATATCAATCACGAAAATGATCGATGACGAATCATTTCCTGAGGAAATTACTCGGATTTGCATAACGGTGGAATTTAATATTTTTAAGCGACGATTTTGGATATATAAAAGCCCCTCTTGAAAGAAATGAACTATTTATCTTAAATTTATTTTTCCTAATTTTCTCCTAATCTGTCTCCTTTCAACAACCGTTCAGGCTCAGGAAGTAAGTCGGTGGTACCGGTGTTAATCCTTCGTGGTCCTGCGTTCAGCCTGCCCCGTCACCGCGTCTCGTTTCAGTCGATGCTATGAATCAACTTGCCATTAATTAACGGTATACCCAACAAACGTGGCCATTGTAAGTTGTCGCATCAGTGAGTACTGAAGTATCGAAAGAGAAAAAAACAAATCACGGCCGCGAGGTAAACGAATTTTTAGTGGATCGTTCGGGACGAACGGCCGCAGACAAGCCGGCCACCCACGAAAGGGTGGAAGGCTGGAACGGAGCGATTCCAGCCGGTAGCGTGGGAGCGCACCGATTAACCCCACGGCTATTAATTTTCCCGACTAGTGTGTGCGTCCCGACGTCGACGGGGCTGGTGATGCCGGTGAATTTTCCGATTTAGCGCTTGACGTCGTCCGCATCCCCGCCGCGACGAGACAGCCGTTGGCAGATCGGGGAGCATCGAGCGGCCGAGAAAGGTAAAATTGATTTTACGTTGATCCCGCGGTGACGTTTACTCTCATTTCAACCGATGGGCGCCGTTAGAATGTGAGGCTCTCGGCACGAGACGGGAGGAGACGGTTCACGGCGCGTTCACTGGCATGTCACGGGGAGACGAGGGAGAGCAGGCTTAGAGCTCGTGAAGCGTACAAACGGCGAGTCGTCACCGAGCGGGGCTTCCGCTCTGTCACGTGTTCGCCGGGACGCCTGACGTCTCCGCATTTCCTTGCTCAAGTATCCGGGGATGGAGTTGGAGGTGCAGCAGGAGTCGAAGGACGAGATCGGCAGCTTGCCGTTTTCACCTCCGCCCATGAAGAAGTCCGAGACGAGGGACAGCATCTCCTCCGTCGACAGCGACGTGAGCCTCTCGTTCGACAGGAGAGGCTCCAAGGGCGAAGAGGCCGACCTGTCGGACTACGACAGCGAGATTAGGCCGACGAAGGAGGAGACCAGCGGCGATCAGGACTCGGGCGCGGACTCGTTGGACGACTCGGCAGCGAAGGAGCCGGCGAACGGCGGTCGGGAGCAGCTGGAGGAGGTGTCCTCGGTTCCTGAGAAGAACGCGGACGACTTCGTGCCGCCGAGCGACGACTTGGCCGACAAGATCTGCGCTCAGGTGGAGTTCTATTTCTCCGACGAGAATATCGTGAAGGACGCCTTCTTGCTGAAGCACGTGAAGAGGAATAAAGAGGGCTATGTGTCCCTCAAATTGATCTCCAGCTTCAAGCGGGTGAAACACCTCAGTAGGGACTGGAGGGTCGTCGGTGCGGCCTTGGCGAGGTCCAAGAAGCTCGAGGTGAACCCACAGGGCACCAAGCTGCGCAGGCTGGACGCTTTGCCGCCCTTCGACCAGACCGCGCCCTCCAGGACCATCTTGGCGGCGAGGTTGCCGTTGGAAAAGCTCACGGTCGAGTCGGTCGCCGAGATCTTCAAACCCTGCGGCGAGATCGCGCTCATCAGGGTGCTCAGACCCGGGCATCCCGCACCCTCTGAGGTAAAATTTTCCAGCTTTCGGGAAGAGCCAAAATCTAGGGTCGTGTCATGTTAATATCGCGCGCGCGCGTGCGCGATTCAACGGGTGTACAATTCTGGCAGATTATTTCGTCGTGTTGTGTGCTTTCGCTCATTGGTCCCTCGTCTTCGATCCGGCAGCTTCTCCAGCAGGCCACAGGCCGAGAAGGTTGCTGGTTATCGATGAGAACGCTAACGTCGTCGCCATTACTGCTGTCGCAGCTTGATAATTGTTATTTGCAGTTCAACCGGAACGCTGCGCAGACAACTGCGTCGATAATGACCAGTGCCTACTCGAATAATACTTGTTTGTACAGATTTCCCCATCAAAATTTTCCACAATTGCACCGTGACATAACGTTCGCACAGGTTGCAATTTTACACCTTTGATGTGACGCTCATTTCCTAATGGGCTGTAATTGGCCGTAAAAGCTGAAATTTGCGACCGCGGTACCTAATGACTACATTAATGTTTGATCCCTGTGATCTGATAACCTGGTTAATCCTTACGTCATCTGTTTGTCAGTCGAGATTCAATTGACCGTTAATTCACTCACTTGATGATCGACCAACGAATATTATCGATGCGCTGTACAATCAATGTACTATCTCCGTGTAATCACCGGCACATGATTTGCGATATTTTTTTTTCATCTAGTTCCACTGCATTAAGTGGAGAGGGAGAATTTGTCTTTAGTAATTTTCGGAAAATGAATTAATTATTGATTATTGATTTTCATCGTCTCTCTTGTTTTTGTACAGGACGTAACATCAATATATAGGTATGACGGGTTGCCTGCCTGGATGGATGATAATACAGAAGCTGCCGAAAAGGTCACTCGTTGATAATGATATTTACAGCGCTCTCAATTATGATGAGTGCAACTTGACACTGTGGTTATTATGACAATTTATCGACCGTTTATGACAGGAGTCGAGCCTTATTGAATTAAAAAAAACTGTTTAAAAAAATGAAACTGAGAAATAAACATTAAGGATTTAAGTAAATAGTAGTAAATAGGAAGAGAGTAAATAGGAATAATAGTTAAGGAAATAAATGATACAACATATTTTCTTGTTTCACATAACTTCCTAATTTCTTTCTTGCGTTAAAAAGGTTTCGATAGGAATTGGAAACTAGAAAGGACGGTTTAGAAATATTTAATATTTAGAAGTCTTATATACTATATTTCATCCATATTTCTACAAAAGATCGCCTCTGATCAACGACAATTATCAAGTCTCATTTTCGATAAAAGAGGCGATAAGATACGAGACTATAATGTACTGAAAATATGTCGCTTAATAGTTGTCGTCGATTAAGTTGCAATCAATATTTATACTGCGTTTCTGGTCGATTCGTACCTTTGTACCCAATCTTTTGTAGAAATATGGGTGGAATATAGTATATAAGACTTGTAAATATTTCTATACCGTTCTTTCCAATCTTCAATTCCTATCGAACTTTTCAACACAAGAAAGAAATTAAAAATATATGTTATATTATTGTTATGTTATGTTATGAAACAAAAAAATATGTTATATTATTTATTTCATTATTTATTATTTTTACTTTTATTACTATTACTTTTATTATTATTATTTTTATTTACTCTGTTTAAATCCATAATGTATTTCTCAGTTTTGTTCTTTTACACATCTTTTTTAATTCAGTAAGGTTCGACTCCTGTCACAAACGATCATGGTGCAAAGTTAGTTGCATTCGTCATAACTGAGAACATTGCAAATATCATTATTAACAAAGTCAACGAGTTTTTCGGCATTATTGTCCGAATAGGGGCAGACAAACCGTCATATTGACTTACATATATTGATGTTACACCCTCTATACAGATAATAATATAATACATATAATATATAATATTTCTCGAATGTTTTTTGGCTCAGGTGCGACAGGCAATCTCGAAGAGGCCAGAACTGGCGTCCAGCGACGAGTGCGCTATGGTCGAGTTTACGGACTCGAACTCCGCGCGGATCGCTATGCAAATGACGACTTTGGGTGACGCCAAGGTGTTCGAATTGCATCAGGCAGCCGACAAGAAGAGGAAGCATCAGCCCACGAAGAAGAGTGTCCTCAATAGAGTCACAAGAGAGGATACACAAGAGAGGGGCCACAATTACAACTCGTCTAGCTGTCCGAGCGGCTCCGAGCCGGAGGATGGAAGAATGAGACACAAGAAGAGCATCCCAGGATATCCGATGTACCACATCCACGCGGGTTATCCTTTCCAAGGTAGAGAGAAAGAGAAATTTCTTTCGCCGTTCAATCCAATTTTTTTTATGAAAATGATTGACCATTATTATCTCGGTAAGCAAATGTACATAATTTGTCAGCAACTTTGCTAGTTAATTTGTAAAGGCTGCATCCTTCATGATGTTCGATCATATTTGTCAGTTTGACGAAGTACACTAAGAAAAAGTATTTAATATCTCTAACAAAACTGATTAGTTGAGGCATTTTTTTAATAGCAACCAAATATCTTGTTTTATATAACAAAATATTTAGTTGTACAACTAAATATATTTTTCTGCTTTGTTCTCTGGACCAAATGATTTTATTCTTAGACTTCATATATAAAAATTAAGCATTTTAGTTATTTTATCCACAAAATAATTACATAATAACGAAATATTATTTTATATAAACTAAAATAATGCCCAATGGATACTATTTTGTCTCTCTGTGCACTAAAATTTACATTTTATATATTAAGAAAAAATTATATAATAGTATTTTTAACAAAATTCATATAGTTCAAGCTCTTTGGTTGCTATGACAAAAGTATTACGTTATACGAACAAACCGTAATCAAATAAGATATTTGTTTACAGGAACTAAACAGTTTTGTTGGGCATATTTTAACCAAATCTTTTTGTTGTTACAAAAAAATTTTGGTTCACGCAACAATAAATTTTTCCTAGTGTAGAAATGTGCAAGAAATACAAGAAGAATTATTGAAATCTACTCAGAGATATTATTTCGCTATTAATTTTATTTTAATTTTAATTATCATATAAATGTCATATAAAAATCTGGGTGCAGCTTTTAGTAAATTTGTTGCTGCGTCAATGTAAAAAACAAAAAATTCACATCATCGTAAGATGTAAATTTGACGATCAACTCCATACGGTATATTTACTTCCTAAAATCGTAACTAAAGAAATCGTAAGGTTTCCGTCATCGATTGCGTCTCACGTTATGATAATCGCGAAAATCTATCCAGGTAATTACCCGCACCTCAAATATCAATTAACCGCTTGTATTTTATCACAGCGGGGCCACCGTCACCGGACGCATGGTTGTCACGGAAGCTCTCCTCCTGCTCCGTATCCAGCTCGGACAATGGCTTCATGTTTCGGCGCTTGTCCTCGTGCTCCGGTTCCGGTTCCGGCTCGGACACCGGTAGACGTTACTCCACGTGTTCCTCCGGCTCCGAGGCACCCTTCTTCCACCCGGGCTACCCGAGCAACTTTTACCACCACGAGAACCGCCGTTACTCCTGCTGCTCTTCCACCGGTTCGTACGATCGTACAATTGTGTTTTTTTTTATTTGGTTCGGAATATATTATATATATATATATATATATATATATTATATTATATTATCGGAATATATTATATATTGCATATTTCGAGTTGTGCACACGCCTGCTACGTGCCGTAGGCTCTCCGATGGAGTGCGGGGGAGGCTGTTACGTGACGAGTCGTCGCGGGTCGGCCGACTACGGGCCGTTCTTGAGAAGAATGTCGACATGCAGCCGCGATTCCGGCTATGACATGAACATCCGCAGGCTGTCTCTGTGCTCCTCAGGCTCCGAGCAAAATGGATTCTGCCAGTCAAGGAGCAACAGCGGCATCGCGATGACGCATCTGCCCGAGAACGTGACGAGAATGCCATCGGGACCTGACGGCACTCGCGGTTTCTTCGGCCGTTCCGCGAGGATGCCGGTGCCCATAGAACCCACTTGTTGAATATCGCCGAAGGGCTCACGTCCTCTGCCGCCGATGCGGCAGGGCTAATCCGATTATGTACTTATTAATATCGATACATATCAATAGTTGCTCGAGCGACGGGTTAAGTCGACTCGTGTCACAAGTGACTCCCGACGAAGATAGCAACTTATCTCTCTTCGTCCGAGAAAGTCACCTCTTTGTCAGTCGAGGACATCAGTCGTTATTCAAAATGGCCTGTACTCTCATTCCAGGCCAGACTCCACCGTGTCCGATGTCCCTATAAAAAACATCTGAAATATACATATACAAAAATATTTTATACATGCGTATGAATAAACTGGGGGAAAAAGAAAGAAATAGACGGGAATCATACGAGACTCGATTCAGCGAGATTGAACGACTACTCGTTCAATCTACCTACGTGTGGAAGTACACGGTGGTATAAATCGACCATGTCGATGGAAGGCACTTGTTGACGCCATCTTTCGATTGTTGAATAGATACGATTATCGGCTGTCATCGAGATGTTAGGGAGCTTTTGCCATATCATCTCTCAGGCACGGTAAACGTTGATCGTGAATGTTATTGGTCGCACACATGGCTACGTTATTTCTGAGCGAATAACGTTCATGTTTTTACGTCTACCGTATCTGAGAGACGGTACTGTAAGAACTCCCTATTTACTTATTGTTAGGCGTAGCGTTCGCACGTAGATCTTTTATATAGTCCTCACTTTAAGGGATACTTCCCAGTAAACACAAAATATCATCGATGTTACAATGTCAGCTAAATCATATGGTATGTTACGCAACTGTTACTTCATTATACAACAAAGCAACTGTTATGTAATATACCATATGATTTAGCTGACATTGTCATCATCGATGATACTTTGTATTTACTGGGTTGTAGTAGATTAGCAGAGCATGCAGGATATTCTATATCGATAGAGCGCCTTACTATCGTACGATACGTTCAGCAGAGTGTTCGGAAATCCGAGTACAGTCGGAGATAATTCGCTACATCTCGTGGTGTTACTTTTTGATATAATAGTGATAGAGGAAACGCCAAGCGTGGAATTACAACCCGGATCTGTCCGAGATTCTATGTAGCTGATTGATTAAGGATTTAGTTCTTTTTTTTTTTGCAATACACACACACACATACACATTGTAGTCTTTTCAAATTTTTCTTACATAGAATGCAAATGTACGGATTATACAGTTGAATTATGTAGTTACTCGTGAGAAGGATAATTATTTATTCTTTTTTTCTCGAGAAAAAGAGAGGAGACAGGAGAGGGAGAGCGACGAAAATTTACAGTTACCCCAATGAATTATAATGCATTATATACAACATAAATACAATACCCTAATATATAAACTATTCTATTGTCTGTGATTGATTGTATTTCGCAAAAGCATTATTATATTAGCATAGTCGCAGCAAACATACATATTGATTGTATTAACTTACTGGAATATAAAAAGGTTTAATCCAATCCCGCAATTCGAAACTGGACGTCGTTTCGACTTATTGAAAAAACGAATGATAGAACAACGTCGATGAGCGAGATTGCACAGTTACGCAAGTCGAGCCGCGTCGATCACGCAGACGCGACTCTGTACGTCAAGCCATTTAACGAAAAAAAACATTAACTAAGTTGACTACATTTTTTAATAAATAATTTATCATTAACTAACTAAAGAGATCGGTTCACATTAAAAGCTGCCGAGAGGGTCAATTTAAAGATCAATTAAAAAATCAATTAAAAAAAGAAACGATTTCGTTCGTACGTGTCTCCTTCACATGGAGAGTCATCGCGGGCAGAAGCTGATACGCAAAACGTTTGCATCCGCCGCAAGAAGCGGGCCATTAAACAATATCGGCTCACAACTGACCGGATTAATTATCGCAGTATTGCGTCTCTCTCCTCATAAAACTTCAGCATGCGAGCGTCACACATACACACGCGCGGCGGCACGTAAATCCCCAGCGAGTGCGATGCATTATTCCGCTGGTGTTTCCTCCGCGCCGACTTTCGTGCCAGATAGCTCGACCTTTTCTCATCTTCGTCTTCATCTGGTATTTCCAGCGAGTGTCTTCGTCTCGCGCTCGTTGCCTCTCTCTTTTTCTCTTCAGTCGCAGAGACGTCAGAGAGGCACCGCCACCGCCGCCGCCACCGCCGCCGCCGCCGCCACCGCCGTCGCCGTCGCCGCCGTCGAGTCGGTGCGCAACTTTGGCGGAACTCAGTGTCGCGGCAACTACAGACGATCACGCAGGGTGCGCGGCAAACAGGTGCAGGAAGCACAAACAGGTAAGCGCTGACTAACGAGATTCCTTTGTTCCTCCGTGCGAAAAATGCGCCACGTCAGCGTCGTCGGTCTCCGACAAACAACGGGCGGATCATTGTTGCAGTAATTATTATCATGTTGTCATGCATCGCTTATTGCGCGTGTTCCTTCTCGCGAAGACTGCGACTCGCGCGGAAACGTCGCGCGGCGGAAGATGTTGCGCAATGCTTTTTCGGCTTCGGCCAATGCTTCGGCGGATCGATAATTCGGACGTTGCGGACGCGTGGCCGTCGTGAAAATCGCGCTCGTCATCGGGAACAATTGTGTCGCGGAGCGATTGTCGCGTTTTTACGTGCGCGCATACATATATGTGCCTCTCCGACTCGTAATTTCTCCGCTCGAAGTCGTGCGTTCGAGGTCGATGCGCAAATACCATCTCGCGAGAATCGATACGTTTCTGGCGCGAAAGTGGAGCGTAATATTTCGCGTCGAGCTCTTGGGCGACTTCTTTAATGTAACCAGTGGAAAGCTGGACGACGCACAGTGTGTATGTGTGTGTGTGTGTGTGTGTGTGTGTATGAGTGAATCCGTACATATGCGTGTGTATACAGTACGTATGTGTGTGGATCAGGAGGTGGATCCCCTTCTTCCGACGACCGCCGCGTCACGCTCGATCCAAGGATAGCAATGGTGAGAGAATAAATGGTTCGACGGAAAAGCAGGATCGTGTCAAGTTGACTTTGCGCCCTAGTGCGAAGTTGAAGGCTTGTCCGAAGGGTTCGTTTCTTACTCAGGGCCGAGCCGCGTTTTTTTGATAGCGCCAAAGCACGACCGCGTGAATCGTTTTCAAGCTGTGCAAATGTCACATGTTAGTTTCACGAATAGTCACGTGAAAAACGAAATTTTTATGAGAAAACGATAATTGGGCAATACTTGCACAGCCAATCGCAACGGTTGGTTGTTTGGAAAGTTTTGACACTTTGAAATTCTGAATGGCCACCAACTTGCCTCTGCAGGTGGTTGATTATTTCTTTGAGCGGAAATATAGTCCGAAGTTGTGGAGCAATTAGCAACAGGAAGCACATAGTTCCTCTCGCGAACTGACCGCAACCACAACATCCTGCCTGTTAAGTAAGGAAATTTATTTAATCCATTTTCAGAAAATGTTTTCACACGTCACGCTCAGCGTTCTCGTCGGAACGTTGCTGATAATCACCAACATTCCCGATGCGGCGTCCTACTCCAGTAAGTAGTACAAGAGGAACAACACGCACGTGTTTCCGTTGCATTGTACGAATTTGAGGAAAAATATATTTTTTCGACGGCAAAAGACCTCATTCTCAAAACGAAAATGTTTCTTAGTTTCACTACATAATGCCGTGCAATATATCGAAGACAACTTTATGATCTTTTTTACTTTTAGAGTATGGAAGAACCTGCAATGATATCGGCTGTCTCAGCGACGAGACTTGTGTGATGGCCGAGGATCCTTGTACCAGTTACTCCGACAAATGCGGACGATATCCGACATGCCAGAAGACAAGCGGTAAAAACTTTGACGATCTCTATCTATAATAATTGATCCGAATAATGTGGAAATTCCATTCGCAGTAATTTCGCAGCTCGCGTGTGCGTTCAGAATTACACAGTTCTGCGCCGACGGTCGAATAGTTCAACTTTTCGCGCTCCAGAGTTCAGATTTATATCTTTTCGCTCGCTTTTATCCAACGTGTATTCATAGTTCATATTCGTATATTAATGACTTCGAATCCGGATATAGAGATGCACCCGGTGCATATCGACAGCACTCAATTTACGCGTTAAGTCAACGTCCCCCAAAAATATTTACAGGCGCAAGTTGCACCAGTATGGTTTGCGGGGAAAACGAGTACTGCAAGGTGGAGAACGGTATGCCGAAGTGCGTGAAGAAGTCCACAGGAACAGGTGAGTCTTCATGATCTCCTACGTACTTGGCGACTGCGACTATACATCGCGAGCATCCGGACGTAAAAACGCTGGCGATAGCTATTGCACGAGACATTGCATGACAACATTCCGGCCATGCGGGTGGTCTGAATCGCTCGGACTCGCGGGGTCCTCCCGGATTGTTTGCGCCCGCGAGAAAAAACGGGGTCTCGTAATTGCGACGGTTCTCTCATGCATTTCACAGCACGTACAAGCTCGAATCGACATAGACGTGTGAATGTTTGATGGGGAATGACGCGCGACTGGACGGCATTTTATTATCTAATCACCACGCGCGCCAAATAACAAACATGAGTCCGCTATCTGGGTGTCTAAATTAGTCTCATTCTAAAAGGAAACACACGGCAGCTTGCCTCTCTCGTTCCAAGTAAAAGGCAGAGACAAGTCTAGTTCCCTCCGTTTACCAGCAAATATTCAGATTGTCAATTAACCGGCCGAAGGAGGAGACGTCTGTTTCTCTTTCGGAATTCCGCGAAGAAATTCGATCTCTCCCGCGAGACGCGTTCTCAAAGAGTAATAACACGAATAATCAAGCCGGCCGGGCTTGAACTCTCATTTCTGTCGCCATCCGCGATTATGTGCCGGCGTCGCGTTCGCGCGTTTTGCACGAAAAAGAAAGAAAACACAAAGATAGAAAAGTACCAACGCGGCACGTGTGTGGCACGACGAGTAGCGACTGGGGCATCTCTGTGTGCAGGCTACGAGTCGGCTGGCGTCTCTTACGTGAACGGCGAGCGGGTCAGCGGCAATAACGGCAATAACGTGAATCCCTACGCGAACGCTAACGCACCGCCGGCGCCGGCCGATCCAGCCGGTGGGTATCACCGCACATCCGCCGGCAACAATCAGGGTTACCCGCCGTATGCGAGTAACAGCGGTTCCTCTGCAAGTGGATACCCGAACTACCCGCAATCGACCAATCAGGCCGGTCACCACCGGGATCTGGGGTACCCGCCGTATCCGACGCAGAACAGGATGCCGATGCCGGGACAGCCAACGTACTCCGGATACCCGCAGGCCCCGGGATACCCGCAGGCCCCGGGATACCCTCCCCCGAACTCCCAGCAGTATCCGGGATACCAGAACAATCCGTACAACCCGGGCTACCAGAACTACCCGAATCAGAATCAGAACCAGCGTGGCTACGGCTACAACACAAATTCGGTTTACCGGCGAAATGGCGCCGCGACCGGCGCGCATGCGCTCGCAATACTCGTCGGCTTGGCGGGTCTGCTCCTGCTGCTGGAGCGAGCTGTGTGATTCGGCTCCCGATTGTCGAGAGACGTCTCGAATTAACGTGTTCTCGTGTGTGATCTTCGGCCTTTTGTATCTCGATGTCGCTGCATCCGATGGATATCGATTCCGTATCCTTCGGCGCAGCGCGCTCTGCACGATTAGTTGAGGGACAGGATCCTCTCTGGACGCTACGAATGCTTCGGAGCAGCCAGTGAGCACTGTCGAAATTGCTGCGCTAACTGGCGCTCGCGAATGATCAAGCTCTGGGAAAGCAGGAAAGCAGATTTATAATTGCTTGAAGTGATATTCATTCGGTTAATTAGGGAGCAAGGGGCGATTTTGCGCTCGCACTCGCTCGAGGATGATTGTCCACTCATCCGTCGCGAACGGAGACTCGCGCGTGACTCTCTCCTTGTTTATCTTTCGTCGTCCTGGGACGACTTTGAGCGACGTTCGCAGCGTCGAGTGGATCCTACTACCCTGAGCGTGTTGCCGTAGCTGAGGCTCTCTTTTCGCACGCTTCTCGCCGTTTCAAGCGACGTGATTCGAACACACGTCACTTACACGTGCCGAGTGACGTGACTCGAAGCGGCGAGAGATGTATAAACAGAGAGTTCCGGCCAGATAACACGCCTATGCGTACAAAAATAACAAGACACTTGGAGTTGCAGTGTGATTACTCGCTAAGGAAACGCACATGAAAGTACCGGGGAGAGATATTTCTTTTGTACAGATATACTTTTATTTTATACGATAATAACGTTAGATCTTTCGGCTGTACGTAGTAGCTCTCTAATGTCTACCTCGCATCGGGCAGAAAAAGTTGTCGTTCCAATCAGAACCGTAACGTTGACTCGACGTTGCTTTGACGTTGATGCATGGTCGTTGTAACGTCGAATCAACGTTAATTCAACCCTCATCGACGTCGAATCGACGAGTTGTGGCTCTGACTGGGGGGGAGGGGGGGGTGTTGTAACCCACCGTTATTCGCCGGCACCAACGAAGACATGGACTCGCGCTGGTCTTGCGTTGGTTCTTTCAAGCACGGGACTCGATTAGTCTGAACGATCGCAATTATCATTGATTGTGACGACCCGAGGCTGTTACGAAATCTCGATCGAAGTTCACTCGGTTCGGAAAAGTTGTGAGTATTCCGAGTTTCCGCAACACGCGCGTCCACGCGTACATAACACGACGCTTCATATTTTTCTGATAAAGTGTTATATCGTAGTATTTCATCTCCAAACAAATGCGTCCTTGATATATTTTTTTACACGAGTCTTCTCTTGCGTGACAAGCGAGACGACACGACACGATGTTGCACGAATTCTCGCGAGTTCTCGTGAACTCAGCTGATGCTTCGAGTCCCTGCATGATGAATCCGCCTCGAGTCTCTCGCTGGTCGGGAAGTTCGTCGAGCGATATCATTGTCATGGGCGATCATTCCTCTTCTCACCGACTTGTTTTGCATGCGTGAAATCCGTCTTGATCCGGCCAATTCATCGCTGTCTGCGCTCACCTGTTATTCTCATCTCTTTGACGCTCGCGATTTCTGATTTCTCCTTTCTGGATTTTCGTTTCAGTGCCTCTTAATACTTCCTGCTTCTTAATGTTACATAGAAACGGTGAATAGTAATGGAATTGCGCTCGAGCCAGGGAAAAAATTGCGTTCGTTTTCCGGAAGCAAAGATTTACGTGTATGTGTGTCTGTGTGTGATGTGTGTGTATGTGTGTGTGTGTGTATATATGTATATGTATGTGTATGCGAGTACATGTGGTGTGTCTATGTGAATGTGTTCAGCGAGTAACACAAGCTGTGGATGTGCTCCGAAATCGCGATGAAACCAAGGAAAGGGTAAATCCTCGCGCAGAAATAACTCGGAGACGGAGATTGCGAAAAGTCGCAACGGTGCGTCCTTGTGCTTTTACTAATCTCGAATAACATTCGGCCTTTTCCCCCGGATCGTACCGCGACTTCGGACGCATCCCGCACACATGATAATATAATATTTATTGCAAAATTATCATTCACGGAGAGGGTGTCGCGATGATTTAGCTATTAGCCAGCGTTGCGTTGCAGTGTACAGATGCAATTCAACACACAATCAGACTACGTGTGCAAATAATTCTACGACGAAAGAGTGCCGATGAGAGAAGTATTTCGCTTCCGCCGAACGATTCACAATTTGCAGCCCGGCGAGAAAGAATCTCGCTTATAGTCGACCAGCCGTCGATTGTTTACACTCGCTCGGAATCACACAGGAGTGATAATCCCAGTAACACAGTGTTTGCTCGCAACTTATTAGAAACGGGCTCTCCGATAACAGCCAATTGATTTCCCCGTACCGTCGCGTCGTGACGCTGGCGGTCCAGCAAAGCGCTCCACGCAGCGTTTCTTGTTCACGAGCTAATGGGTCTTCCGCGAATTAATAGGTTATCAGCTTTAACCTTGACACTCGTTATCTACTCGTGAGCCGTTTAGCCGATGTGAGTTTAAGCGCGCGATCAATTGCGTCTTATGCGCCGGGGGCATAGTGTTTCATATCTTTCGACCGTAAAATCGACTCGGTTACGTCTCGGCAGATACGTCTCCTGTTATTTCTCCCGATTTCGCTTCGTCCGCGATTATTTTCTATCGATCGCAGTTAATAAGAGAGGGAGAGAGAGAGAGAGAGAGAGAGAGAGAGAGATGTGTGTAAGAAAAAAAAGCGAAGGAGGGAAACGCTCATTCCACTTTCCGCTGTGTCAACTTGGAGGCTGCCTCGCGTATTATTGTTTGCACACGAGGGACATCATATATTATCCTCTCTGTTTTCTTTTTCTCTTAATCCCCCCACGATCGTACGGCATTTACTCTCATACTTGATACTACTTTTTATACGCGCGGAATTTTCTTAACATTGTATTGTGAAAACATTGGAGCGGTCAGATATGCGAGAGACACAACAGAGAAGGGGCAAACGCGACGGAGGAAGATTCACATCCTTGATCTGTCGTTCGAGAATCCCGCACCTTGACGCAACCACTCGGCGTCATTTTAAATTGCTAAGCAAGTGTTGTGTCACTTTTCTTGTGAAAACAATAAACACTCGATAGATCGGAATCATGAAGGAGGCATAATTTGACGATGTTCCAAAACTCGCGACCGAGTCCAGTTTACCGAGAGCTTCTCCGAACCAATTTGGTCATGATTTTCCCTCATCGAGCCTGACGCCACGATATTTACGACGACTTTCCAATTTTCACCCAAAGTTGAGAACTCGCAAAAAGCTCCGCTCCACTTTTTCCACCACTCGCATTATCTCGCGAACCATTGATGTGCCTCGATGCTCCCGCTCAGGAAAAATTAACCCCAAGTTGCCCGGAGAGCCTCTCGGTAAAAATTTACATCGTGAGGGCTTTGGGATCTACGTATTTTTTTCATCCTTTTACACCTTCTCCCCCCGTTTTCCCACTACGACGGTCAATCGACTGACACGAAGAAAAGAGAAAAGAGACAAAAGGAAAAAGACTTCGACAAGCGCGCGCTCTTGATTCTCTCCCGCGGTGTTAATCTGACCGATCTCTTTTTTTCACTCATCGTATGATCCGACAGCACGACTTCCGGGCCTAGACCGCCGGGTGTCATACCGAACGACACCGAGAGTCCCGACGCCGCCGCCTAGGTCTTCGTCGTACAATACGATACAGTACGGCAACTCCGGCTCCAGGAACGCCATAGGCAACGGCTCAATTTTCGGCCGCTTGTTCCGCGACGACCGTCGTTCCCGGCCCACACCCAGTCCCGACACTGGCTTTGGCAGGAGCACCTCGCAAACTGGCGGCAACGGTTATTACACCACTCACACTCGCACAGACAGCCATGGGAACCGAGTCTGGACGTTTTCCGGCTGAAAGTCGATCTGCACGTATCTCTATTTTTAGCATTCATCGTTAACCCCGAGATTATGTCGTTGGCGCAAGGCGAGTGTGTCGCGATCAACGTTTTTGTTTTTACCACGTGGACGTATGATAAATTCAAAATAATTACACACCGGGACGGTGTGTGCGTGTGTGTATGTGTGTGTGTATGTGTGTGTGTGTGTGTATGTATATGTAAGAGCAACGCAATGTAACATTGACCGAAGGCTCGGTTTGAAATAAACTTCACCTGTGCGTTACTACTATAACCGACAGTGTGGTCAATTTTGTCGTTCAACTGTGTGCGGGCGCACATACAAGCAGCCACGCGCACACAGACACGCGTATCACGCGTGCTCGAGTCGAGTCACACGCATGTGCACAGAAGTTGCCGCAATCGTATATTTATCGCGTACGCTTCACTTTACGCGCGGAGCTTCTCAAGTTTGAGCAGTGACTCAGACGTGACATGGCTGGCACCTGTTTTATTTAAAATGTTTTAGGGAATCCACACATTCGCGCGATGCATGCCGTAAATAACGTAAATCACCTCTGCAACCCCGCATGCACACACGTCAGGTCGCGTTCGACGGAGAATTGGTGCTGCCGCTTCCTCATGAAAATACGATTACGCATCGTCTTGTTCTTCTTTTCCTCCCTTTTTTTAAATCATCTTTCAACATGTCGCGCACACACTTCCTGCAGCCGTATCGCCGGCTGCGCGAACGCATGACGATGCCCGCTAAATAGGACGTAGATGACGAATTGTTTACAGAGGACGACGAGATGGAGGCGCGAGTAGTTCCGAAACGTCAGAGTGGTTACCCGACGGAAGCCGAGAAGCGTGGTTCGCCGGATACCACCTCGGAAAACTCTGGTGGTCATTCGTATCCCACTAGATCCTCCGGGTACCCGTCTGGCTCGGGATATCCTGCCAATAGCGGCTACCCAAGTTCTGGAGCTTCCAGAGCTTCCGATCCAACTACGACAAGTCATTCCCGCCGGCCCGATAACCCATCTAGCGGCTCATCTGCTTATCCTTCCAGTGGATCATCCGGTTATCCTTCCGATGGGTCATCCGGTTATCCTTCCAGTGGATCATCCGGTTATCCATCCAGGAAATCATCCGGTTATCCATCCGGTGGATCATCCGGTTATCCTACCGGAGGATCATCCGGTTATCCTTCCGGTGGATCATCCGGTTATCCATCCAGTGGATCATCCGGTTATCCATCCAGTGGATCATCCGGTTATCCTTCCAGCGGATCATCCGGTTATCCTTCCGGTGGATCATCCGGTTATCCATCCAGTGGATCATCCGGTTATCCCTCTGGTGGATCTTCCGGTTATCCTTCCAGCGGATCATCCGGTTATCCATCCGGTGGATCTTCCGGTTATCCTTCCAGCGGATCATCCGGTTACCCATCCAGAAGTGGTTCCGGTTATCCAACAGGATCCGGATATCCGAGTGGGTCTTCGGGATACCCGGATAACTCGAGGAATCCATATGGCGAGACGACTGCCAGGCGAACCGGCGTCAGCACTGTGAACGCTGGCAACCCGCGTCCATCTGGATATCCGCAGGAGAATCCTGCGCATCGTGGTAGCAGCTATCCGACTCAAAACGCGGGTTATCCTTCTTCGGGCTATCCGTACGGTAACCAGCGTCCTAACCAAGGCTATCCACAGGGATATCCACAGAGCTATCCTCAGGGATATCCACAAGGAGGTTCCCCACAAGGATATCCGCAGGGAAGGAATCCGCAGGGAGGATATCCACAGGGAGGCTATCCGCAGGGATATCCACAAGGCGGATATCCGCAAGGAGGATATTATCCGGGCCCGAATTATATGACGACTACCAGACGACCTGGCTTCCAAGATCAGTTGACGAACTTCGCGCGAAACATGGCGGAAAAGGTGCTTACGCAAACGATATTAGACCGTGTCACCGGTAGACACTAAAACTGAGAATTTTAGTTAGTTTCTTAAACAGAAAAGAGTGGGGGGGGGTGAAGATGTAGAAAGTGTATCTGTGTGAGAACACACGGCACTCTCACCGTTCCGTTGCGCCGTCGGATCTGTTTCTGGAGCATTCTTAATGCGCCCATATCTGTCTGAGGCATCCCGAGGAAAGATTATTATTACTATTATACATATATATTATTGCTTGTATATTGTTTTTGTTATTGTATTTAATAAAATTACTGTTAACCGCAGTCCGACGTTCTCGTGACTGTTAACTGTTCCCTGTTTATCCAAGCTGTTCCGAACGGAGCGGAGCGTACTGAAGAACTACTGAAAAAGTGCCTACGTACTGAGGTAAGTAGGTAAGGTAAAGTAAAGTACCTACAAAAAACGTGTATCATGCGTGTGAAAGGGCCGAATATATATACCGGTAGCATCGTCATTTTTAATTCACACTCAGAATTCACTGTTTCTTCACATGTAACAATAAGAGTAACAAGATAATAATAATAATAATAATAATAATAATAATAACAAGAATAACAGTAAGAAAATAAAGCTTTCAGCGGCCGATGATCGTCGGTTCATCGGCCATGGCAATCTCCTCGGTAGGCGCCTTGTCTCTCTTCCTTTTCCTCGAGAAAATCATGAAGGCGAGGGCGGCCGCGAGATTGCCTAGGAACACGATCCACGCGAGGAAAAGCGAATAGTCGTATTTCACGATCGCGCCCTTCGGGAAGGTCTCGAACACGTTATTACTCTCGTACTCGATCGAGGAGAGCAACACTTGTATCACCACCATGTTGCAAGCGGCTGAAAGCAAATTAGCGTACGATTAGTTCACGCGTAATCATTCTCTAATGACGCGCGACTACGATTAAATAGGCCTTGCCTTGAGACAAGGCCGGAATAACCACGGAGATAATGCGTATGAGCGTTGTTTAATCCGCGGGCAGGGTTCTAGGCAGGGAGATCAAAGAGATTACGTCGCATTGACGTGGCGCTAATTACCGGTAATGAAGTGTATCCCACCGGCGAGGCGTTTGAACATGTAGCGTGGGTTCCGGAACGTGTAAATCGAAAAGCCGAAACCCATCACCATCACGAAGAGGCTGATCAAGGCGAACGAGACCTGGGTCCTGGAGTAGTCTAAAAATGATCGAGTCGATTCGAGGTGAGTCTCGAAGAGTCGCGCGTTAAGCGGGTCGAGCGGAGTAAGCGGCTGTTGCGACAATTTGTTCGCGCGTGCCGGATTTTCCGAGGCGGCACTCTTGCATGACGTTTGTGTATTAGTATTATTAAACATCACAGTAGATTCACGTCTCGCACGTCTACACTTCTCGGAGGAGATCTTGGAGGAGAAGCTACTTCGGAGAAAGTTAGAAATAGAAATTTCAGCTACGATAGCAATTCCAAGGAATACGTATAAGAAAAAGAGAGTTACATTCCATTGATATGCGATTGAGGTTCAAGCTGAATTTTAACAAGGGTCAAACGTCAAGACTAAAAATTGGAACCACATTCAGCAGGAGATGAGGGAGATGGCTTTACGGGCCAATTATCTAGGAAAGATTTATCAAAGTGCTCGCAGAGCGCCGGGCAATATCTCCGCGCTGAGGAAGCCAATTGCCTCGTGACGAAGGATTTATCGCGCTGTCGCGTCAATATGCCAATTTGAGCGTTTCGAAACATTCATCTTCGGGACACTTACTCAACACGGTCGGGTCCAGGCTCGAGTCCAACTTTATTTGCAGCTCCGTTGGAAACATCTCCAGGTACTTGCATTCCTCTGAATTGAAAACATTGACGTGAATATGAAGGCCGCGAGTCGGGCGCACTTTTACTTTTAATCGCACCGCAGACGAGACGAGGCAAATTTCAAAGGGGAGAGTAAGTAAGACTCACGGTAAGGCACTAGGTTCGTAGAGTTCACCGACTCGGGCACTAATCCGCTGGTGCAGCCCCTCCACAGGCCCATGTGCTTGTAGAGCAACCTTCTGCCAGGCTTGCCGGCACCACCCAGCGGTAGACCCTGATCATCCGGTGCTTCTACCGCGTACCAATGATCGGTGCCTATGGCCACGGACCATATACACGTGGAGAGTCCGACGATAGCGGTGCAGCCCAGAAGGATCCGTCTCTCGAAGAGCACCTGCGAAGATCGGGGATATCAAGGTGAGGGGTTGAAGGTTCTCGCGATGTTGCTGAGAAGTGCTGCATGATTCGGCTGCATCCGACTCGGAAGCTTCCTTCGGAGTTTCCCTTTTTCCCGTGGATGCGCTTCGCATTGCGCTGAACACTCGAAATCCGCGAGATCGAGCCGCGTGTCGAGCCGAAAGACAAGAGATCCCCTCTTAGCGGTCTTTTCTCTCTTCTCGACAGCAAGCAGAAACTCGCGTCTCTACCTCCCCCTCCCCCCTCCCCCCCCCGCCCGCCGTGACTCTTTCTCTTTCCGTCGCCGTAAATTAGATTTTCTCCCGTCGACCGGGGAAAGTGGAGACGCGGCGCGGGTAAATTAAGATCTCAATTGGTTAATGGTCTAAGAGTAACACGAGCTTCGCATGCGTGTGCCAATACACGTTTGCGCGCGGTCGCGCGCTCAAGACGCGACTAATTTAAATGCGGATAGACAGCTATTGTGCATCTCGCATCGCGTACCTGGTTGTAGAGATCCTTCATGCGATTTGCCATGTTGCCTTTAGCCGGTGCCGCCGCGTTTCTTGGTAGCGTTTCAGAAATTCATGTCTGGCAGGTGCGATCTGTCGACAATGTCTTGCCCGCGACGTTCAGCATCGGTACTGCGACTCAATCGGGACGCGACAACCTGCCGAGTGAACGTGAGAAAGAGGGTCTCTCTCAGGTGCATAAGAGGCGAGGACGTTGCTTTTGAGCTTGTGATCCCAACGAGACAAAAGAAAACACGTCTTACTGTATGCGAGCGGTATCGAATATACCGGGTGTCCCGCGCCACGCTACGACGAAAGCGGCCTTCGGAAAGCTGCGAAGCTCCGAAGTAGTGGAAGACACGAGAGAATGTCAACGGGGTAATGCTCAACGGCTCGGAATTCCGCGCGGCGGCTGCGAGCCGCGACTGTGCGTTTCTCACCTGAGCGGAAGCACACGTCTCGTTTTTTTTTTCCTTCTCCTTTTGCACCAATCGATCTCCCCGTTCCCCCGATCCGCCGTCCCGCGATATAAAAGCGCGCGGTAATGCAAGGTCGTCGAGAGAAAAGAAGAAACGAACTCTACGAGGGATATTTTATATATTCATCGCATCCTGCGATGAAATACGCGAATGCGTGTTTCACGAAGTATATAATATACGCGCGATGACGTAAAGCTCCTCGAAATAAAGCTCTCTGTACTGTAAAATTGAGCGTTCAAAGGCCCTATTGAGTGTCTCCTCCGGGAATTTTCATTTTCGGAAAATTCCATGCACGAGGGCTGCATATAATATACGCGCGATGACATTACCTCGAAATAAAGCTTCTGTGCATAAAACTGAAACTGCAAAGTCTCTATCAAGACTCTCTCTTCTGAGAACATTCATTTCATTTTTCGGAAGATTGTATTTCGGGAGGATCGATTTCCCGTCGCTCTGCACATTTCCCGCTGTTGTGACAAATTCCGGCAAATTGTCCCGGATTTCGATACACTCCTTCGCGGGACAATGCGTCCATGCGCCCGGCCGGTTGACTTCGACGAGTCAACCGACAAGGTAAAAGCCTCGCGTTGAGTGAGTCACCATGTACATGCACAAATATATATGTAAATATAAATTAAGAAAGCAGCCTACGAGCTATTCTGCTTCGTCCGGCCAGACGACGCAGCTCCCCATGTAAGAATAACTCGGCTCTTTGGCCGTAGGTACGGCCGAAGTTAATGACATATCCGTTTATCATAGCGGAGAGTGTAGCGAGCGAAGAAGCGTCGTCGTCGAGATTATTCGAGACGTTGCTGTCGCGTTTCCGACTACCTTGCCGCGCCGGCAGCCTTGAGGAATCGCGAGAAGTTCTCGTCACTATTTATACAATTTCACGCCAATTAACAGCCACCGCCCGCGTCGATTCCGATCAACGTCCGTGCCCGCTCCGTACGGATCATCTCCATCTCGTATCTCGTCTCGAGCACGACCGAATCGGACGAATCGAAGTCGCGGCCAATTGTGCGCGCGACAAATGAGCGCAGCGCACAATTTCATACGCGCATTCCGAGGCGCGGCAAAATGCCGCCGGGCGGGCGCGTTTTCCGCATGCCGAGCGTACGCGCGACTAGGCGCTGAGGAAGGCCATATAGTTTTAGATCAGGCGGCTTCCCTTGCGCGCGTCGCCCTGGGCACCAAGAGAGCGCAGTTTAGGCGAACGCCGAAGAAGAATGCGACCTCGCCGTCTCTCGTCTAATGGTCTTCGAAATACGCGAACAACGGCGCACAACGCTTTACGACGACCGGCCAGCGTATATCAGGCGCTATAAAAAAAAAAAGAAGAAAAAAAAGAGAAAGAAAGAAACAGCGGGAGGAGGGCCCGCATACCGATCGAGCGGCGGCGGCGGACGTACAACGCGTGTTGTTGTCGCGGGTCATAAATGTCGCGCGCTCGGGCCACCGAAAAGCCGTCTGAATTCTAATTTCTCGGCGGGATCGTAAAACGGTGACGCGTGATTACCGCATAACGGAAGGCCCGGGGGTTGTCGCGCGCGCGACTTCGAGCCATTTTTCTCTCCGCTCCGTTTCTCCTTCTCTCCGCTTTTTCTTCTTCCTCTTCCTCCGCCGCTTGTCGCGTCTCTCGTCCTCTTCAAAGAGCCAGCCACCGCGATAACGCCGTGACCGACCTCGCCTTCGGTTCTCGCGCGGCGGCGCGTGTGTATTTATTCTCGCGAGAGAATCGAGATAAAAGAGCGTATCAAATGTTACACGGCTCCGTGGGCTCTTGTTAATTATCGACCGATAAAGCTGCGCTGCGTCGCGCCTGCGAGGACGAGAGGAAGAGAACAAGCGACGAGAAAAAGGATAGAAGAGGGAGGGAGGGAGCGAACAGAAGGCCGCGTCCGTAGAGTAGCTCGGGGTATATTCCGCGCATACGGTTATTCCGAGACGGTGTCGCGAAATTTTACAGGCACATTTCAGTAGCGTGAGCCGGCCAACCCATGGACGCTCCGTGGAGGTGCGAAACGCGAAGGTGTCCGCGTGCGATTCGACAGGCAGAGAGAAAGGCCCGTCGGGAGACGAGGCGACGACGGACTGTGCGAGCGCTTGTCGCGCGCTCGCGTTAGCGCGTCCATCGGGTTATTTTCGCGAAAACGTATTCCCCTTTTCGCTCAGGCCGCGCGAAAAAGCGACACCGCCGACCGCGGGGAGGCCATACGCGCGAACTACGCCGCGGCGGCGGCTGTTTGCCGATTCTCTCTCAATTGCGCTCGTTAACCCTCTAACGCGTACTGGTAACTGTAGTTGCCAGAAACGCGTTTAAGAATCCATAACTTAGTCAAAAAGGGGGATATTTTCGTTTTCTTTGCACCTGCACTGTAAAGGTGAATTCCTCTTCTAAAAAATGCTACATAGATTGTATGTAGATTCGGTTTAGTCTGGTTTTAGCTCAGTTTTAATGATAACATGTTCTGTCAAATTCCAAGTAGGCATAGTTAGAGCATTGTTACTGACATCTGGAGGTGCACTGTAAATGAATAGATTGGTATCTGTTATAATTTTATACATGTGGAAGCTTTCTCAGACGCGAAATGTGAAATTAAAAGAATACAGAAATTCAAAATGGCGAATCCAATATGGTGGACACGAAAATCAAGAAACCAAGTTATTTTCGTGAAATCTGGTGACCTACACAGTTTTTTATGCGACGAAAAATAAAGGGACGATTGACTATCTGAATGGTGATTTGTAAGATACTCTTCTGAAATAGTAAGCTTGACGCTCCGAATGTCTGAATCTAAACTTCACTCACAAATATAGTAAAGTTTCAGCTCAAAAATGTCAAGCTGACTGTCAGAGTCGTATAGATTACCCTTCATTTTTCTCTGTATATAGGTTGCTCATTTCGTATATATGCTTTTAGAATCCACGTCATATTTACCGATAAACAAAAAACGAACGATAAAAAAAACCAATATAAAATTCTGATATTTTTCTCGGTTATCACTACTTATAGTCTCGGTTAAAAGAACTCAAATTTTATTCTTAAAACACTTGTAAAAAAGTCGGGCGTTTAAAAGGTTGAACAAGCCGAAATCACGCGAATTCTCGTCGGCACGCCGCGCCACCGCGTTCCTACGCGCGCGGAATTATTAAAACAGGTTCGTAAAACAGGATTCTCACTGCTCGACTGCTCGACTGCGTCGCCAGACACAGGTTAGTTTATCTCTTGACAATTTCTTTCTGTTTCTCTTTTTTTTTTCTTAGAATAACTGAGATGTGTCACGGCGAGACGAGGATGCTATGAATATTCCGATAAAAACGTCGCGAGAGTATATCGAAGAACGTTTCAAGGAAGGATCGGCGGATTCCACTCGCCCGGACGGATAGTGAGAGTCAGTGCTGACCTTCCTTGATGCTTTTGCATCGGAAATTTTACGGCATCCGTCAGCGTGACATCTCAATCATCTCGATTTAGAAGAGGATTTGTCGCAGGAGATTAACAAAGTCCAGTCTGCCGTCGTCCGGACGAATAGCGAGAATCAACTTTATAACTGGACGACTTGCACGAAACGCTTTTGCACTGAGAGATTCACAGGACCCGTTAGCGCGACGTCTCCTCCGCAATCGTCCTCTGAGGAAAACAATTCAACGGGAGCTCGACCGACTCCAGCCCTCCGTCGAACAGTGCCACGAACAGTGAGAATCCAGCCTAACGTTTCCGCGTCGGGACACGCTGAAGAGGCGCTGGAAGATCTCGGCGGAGGAGATAAAGAGAAACCGGGAAGATCGTTTTCGGCGGTCACATCGCGAGGACGCGGATCCGCGAGGTGCAGCGACCGGCGCGGCGCGGGGTGGCGATCGAGGGCGCCGGTCGCGAGAGCGCAGGATCTATTCCAGTCCGATGAGATAATCTGCGCGCGCGAGAAAATGAGTCGTCAATGCTCTACCCTCCCAAACGGTCCTACGTATTTACGCGATTAATCGGCGCGTTGGCGGCGCGGGCGAGCGGACGCGCGCGAGCACGTGTTCCGCAGCCGCCGGTTTGTTCCGGCTCGACCTGCTACCTTCCTCTTCTTCTTCTTCTTCTTCTTCTTCTTCTTCTTCTTCTTCTTCTTCTTCTTCTTCTTCGCTTTCGTCTTCTCTATTGACTCACCTCGAAATATCCCGGGAGATGTGGTTCGAGCGCAAAACACACCGAAAATATCGCTCTTTCTCTCTGTCTATCTCTTTCTGCCTTTCTCTCCTTCTGCTGCACGTGCGCGCTCTTTCTTTCTCCCTCCCTCACTCTCACTCTCTCACTCTCTCTCTCTCTCTCTCTCCTTCGCGCGCGCGCGCGTGTGCTCGCCTCTGTACACGTTTGTACGCGCGTGTATACGCGGTTGGCGCGACAAGCTTTACAAAATAGGGTATAACACCGCGCGTGACGGACCTCCGAGCCGTCCGAACGGACTGATTGACGGTCTGACACTGATCGCACGCTGACTACTTGGATCGCAACTTGAGAAGAGAGAAGCTGAGCTTGCGGACTGGTTCAAGCTGTGGAGTGGGGCAACTGACTTCTTTAGTACCCCTTGCTTTCCCACGTATAGGCGCGTAAGCGCGGGGATTACGTAAAGTAAGGTGTACAATCCCTCGAGAGCGGAGTGCAGTACAGAGACATCTCGATAGGGACGACGCGACGGGAAATCTCACGAGGAGTGTTCTCGCAGCCCTCGTGGCCCTCGCGGCCTGCGGCCGCTCCCCTCATCGATCTTCCTGCGGAGCAAGCTCGCGAAGGCGATCGAACGAAGTCTCAGTGCGCCCTTAGTCGTCTGGCCCTCAGTCGTGGGATTTGCGTCTCATCAGCGAAGGCTGCCGTGTCCTTTGCATTTTAAACGTGATTATAACGCAAATGAATTACGTGAGACGAGGTGCTTTCATAGCAGCGAATCAATATAATCGCCCGAGCAGCATCCGATCGGTCGGGTCGTTCTGCAGATTTGAGATTGAGTCTTGTAACGATACGCGATGAATGAGAAAACAAACGTCGCTCCGCTTCAAGCAAGTTCGTAACGAGAAATGGAATAGGAAGGAGACGCCGGTGGAGAGAAGGACTTGAGACTTGTACTCTCCGCTTCGCGATTCAAACCATGAGAACACCTGATACGTCTCGTCGATACCGGAGCGACTCTATTTAAAGCAACCGCTGGTAAGGCAGTGAGTACGCTGCGGCAAAGTTTATTTTCAACGATAGTTTCGGGCGGATATCACGTTTTCGCTTTGTCGATTGACGCGGACCGCGTCGGAGATCCGGAGACCGCGCGGAGAAAAGATGCAAAGAGGGACTTTCGCTGCGGCGGTCATACAATACACACGAAAATGCAACGTGTGACTCGATATTCCGCGTAAAGGAGAAGAACGGAAGGAAAGGAGAGCGTTGCAACCGATATCGAAGGATGTCTTCGAACCTTTGCAGTACCTCGTCCGGAGGAGGTGAAGTTTCTGATTTTACACTTTGCGTCTTATCGCGCACGTAACAAAAAAGAAGCTCACCTGGGGAAAAGTAAAATCTGACATTTTATATTGCGCACGAGGAAAAAGCAGAAAGGGAATGAGCATAAAATAGCCGGAATCAGGAATGTCCTCGGCTTTCTCGGAGACTTGCTCCGACGTGGTGATGGCATTCGTGACGTCGCGCACCGAGTATAGACGGAGTCAGAAGCTGCCTGAAACATCCTTTGTTTCTCAAGCGGACGTTTAAACGATTGCGTTATGCCAGCAGTTTGGCAACAGATACGATCGGTACGCTGCGGATTGGCAATAACTGCACATACATTAAGTTTGTGTTCTTCCGGCAGAATCCGCAAACAGAATACGACAGGTTGAGACGGTGGAGACCGAACAGACTCCTAGTTGCTTTCGTAATCGCCTCGAGCGCCGACCTAATTGCGAAAATCGGCTCGAAATCTGCTCGTAACTATCTCGCCCGTATTCGGGCGGGGAGACCCGAGACCCGAGGTGGCTGCTCGCGACTTTATTTACGCCGAATTATTTAAATAAATCTCTCGGGGGGAGGGGGAGGGGGGAGGGGGAGGGGGAGGGGGAGGAGTCGACGAATTAAAGTCGCGTGATTATATTTACCTGTGAATTTACGGTCGTGAATAGAGAATTTGAGCCTAAACTCACTTGCGTTAGATGCGTGTGTGTAAATACATAAAAGATAAAAATACCTCTTCTCGAAGGCAGAAGCAAACAAAGAGGGAGAGAGAGAGAGAGAGAGAGAGAGAGAGAGAGAGAGCGAGAGGGGGAGAGAGCGCGCGAGCTCTTTCTAAAAATATGATAAAGAAGCTGTATACAAAAAAAGTGTCCCAGTGGATATTATCTCCTCTTATCATTTAAAAGTGATCTCGTTCACTCGCGGAGGGGAGAAAAATGAGGGGGGAATATTGTAGCTCTCGCTTTTCCCCGCTCGCGGGAACAAAAGATCACGTTGGATTTCCGGGTTGCCGAAAGTCTCCTCGCGAGCGTAGCTCGCCGCGTGATGTGAATTAAGTCATGGTGCACCTGGTTTATTTGTCTTACCACAAGTACATTATCAAAGTCTGAAAATAGCTTCGACCTCCTACGTTTCGTCTATGATTTGGAGGAATCTCGTCGTCATTGCGCCTCGTCTACTCTCGCTTAAGCATATCGTTCCGCAGCGAAATTCCTCGGCGCTCCTCTGCACCCCCTCGAGACGAAGTCATATTTCTCGTGTAGAATTTTCTCAGCGTGATTTTTTGTCTCCACCTTCTTGTCTTTACTTTGACGAGCGACTGAAAGCGCGTCGTTCGTTCGCGGCGAGACTGTTGCAAAGAGAACGCGCGCGCGCGTGTACGAAAAGTTCGAACGGAAAGAATTCCGCTGTTTATGAAATCACGAGCGAGGCAGGTGCCGCCTAATTGGGGGAACAACGGACTTATTAAACGAAAAGTCGAGAGGTTGACGGGACGGTGGTAAAGTCTTCGGGTAACGAGGCTCTCTCGGTTGAAGGGGAACGACCACGGAAAGCGGCGTAATTCCCCTACGACGCTGCAATACTCCACGGTAATTAGGCGTCGCCTCGAAAGGACGAAAGTGCCGGCAGGAGAGACAACGTGTCAAGAACCGTGTCGGGATTTCTTTCCCTTTGGCACATTTTATACGTCATTAAAACTAGTCGCAATCAGACGTTGCCTGCTAATTACTCGTTAAAAACCAAGCATCTAGCGTGGCTCGTTTTCCTCCAAGAACGTCCCTCTTCTTCCTCCTTCCGTCTTTCCTCCCTTTTTTGCCCCAGACAAATGGCAGAACGTCATAACGCATGTATATTGTGTACGTTGTATATATTATACATATATATGGTGTCTCAGAACTCGCGACTTTAATTTTACCGAGAGGCTTTCTGAAAAATTTCAGCGCGGATCTTTTCCTTGGCGAAAATCTCGAGGGAAGTCATTATTTACGGCGACTTTTCAATTTTCAACATAATATATTTTTGCAGCTAAAACGTAATTTTAAATTACCCCGAGAATTGCTGTAATTTGCTCTCGGTGAAATTAAAGTCACGATTACTAGGACACTGTGTATACTTTATGATGTCTTCTATCAGCGAGTTCATTCTTCAACCCATGAATTCCTCGGAACCGACGTCGAGTCGAAACAAAATTCTCGAAGGTGTGATTCCTCCTGGATCACAAGCGATTGAAAACACAGGATTTTTCTTAGATTTTCTAGAATTTAGACAAGGTTTTTGTGCTTAACAAGTAGGCAACGTTGTTTTCGATCGAGCGAATCTCTCGCGGGTTCTGATCATGAGCGAACTGTTCTCTCTTTCCCTTTTTTCATCGTCCAAGGCTTGCAGTAGTACTTCCATCGTGTCGGTACAAAACGCCGGGACGACTGCCAGAAATTTTTAACCGTGGCTGAAATTTTTAACGCGTGCGCGCGCCGTTTCTGACTGTTTGTTGCTCGACGTCGGCCGTGTGATGAAGTACGCCATTACTATGGCATTCTCTCCCCATTTCTCATATACGGTAGAGGTCCATTAAATATATATATATCCTTGGATCTTGAAACTCTTCCGGAAAAACTGCGATGTAACTCAAGCTCCCAGCAGTCGTAATCTAATTGTCTGCATTGTGCAAGTTGCATCTAATACATTTCATGAGCCGAAACGGAAGGACGTGCATTATCATCGCCGGAGTGTTTCTCGCGATCGTGATGAATACACCGTTCGAAAACGGTCAAAATAACTCAGTTTGACGCTCAGTTGTTCCTCGACCCCTCAATTATGGAACGGCTGCAATGGTGTGTGAGCATAATTCAGGAATTGGAAGAGAGAAAAGATTTCGAAAAGCGACCCTTAAAAGACGTAATATATTTTATTTAGATATTAATGATCCATAAAACATTGTTTATATATGGGGCTATAAACAAATAACTCTCGTCGCTATAATCTAGTCGTGACGTAATAAATATCGTTCTGTTTGTTTTACAGAGAGAAAAACGCAGGAAGAGAACCGCGTCAGGCCTCGTGAAAGCTCGACCGATTGTTTCCTTTCTTTTCCGGCTGTCGTAAAGATAGTGTCTTCTCTTTCCTTCTGTCTTTCTTTCTTTCTTGCTTTATCTCAAAGTCGTGATGCATTTATGAATTGTACAGGCTGTACCAAGAAATGAAACGTCTAGATCTTTGATATGCGTATGCTACAGGCGCTGTCGATGGCGAACCCACCAGCGAGACATCGGGCGCAAGGAAGAATCAACTGAGAACGAAGTAGCTTTAATCGTTTGATAATTTATTCGACGCTCATGCGCATACAATCGCTTTGATTATCACGGTATGTTTGATAGATATGCATACACATCGCGAACACACACGATGTTCCGCAGTGGTGTTTCGAGGACGAAAGTGACGAAAGAAATTCGCACAGACGACAGCGGCAAGCTTGGGATTTCTCGTTGTTGAAATATGTGTTGTAGAATTTACTTGCTGACACGCCACCGACAGCATTCTTCGTATCGGGAGATATGTTCATTTATAAATAATTAAAGTGACTTAATCTACACTTAATCTACACACCCACACACACGCGCGCGCGCGCGCGCGCGCGCACACACACACACACACACACACGCACACACACATGTGCGACTGCTACGAAAGGAAGTTATAAGACGTATCTTTTTTGTCCTTCTCTTAACAAACGATTTCGCCAACATTCAAGGATTATTTATTTACCGGTATTATCGATGCGTGTTACAAAATCAGATCGTCGGAGAAAAGTAAGCGGTGGTTAACTCAGTAAGGTAATGACTGGTAAATAAATAACTCCTGACACTCCGAAGCATTAAATTCATCTATCGATGATTCCTCTTGGTTAATATCGCGTAATTTCGAATACCTTCATCTTCGACACTTCGCGCGAACGAGACGACAACGAAACAAGCGTTTATAATTTTCATATACACGAATCGAAGATCTCTACGAATTTATAGAAAATGTACAATTGCGAGAATTGAAAATCTCGCAATCGGCAATATCCAAATATCTAGGAACTAGACAAACGGTATTTTAAAATCTAAAAATTCAAGAATTATACAAAATTTAAAGCTCTTACGTGTTAACGATTTTAAGAGGATTTTTTAAGAAGAACAAATATAAATATAATTACTGGGCAATATTTTAAAGCTTTACGAATCTGCGGATGGTGTTAAAGATAGTACATACGATTTCTCGAAACTAAATCCGCTCGACTTGTCGGAAAGTTCCAGAGAATCCTTACATTTTTAGAATTTCTTTATTTATTATTATTCGTTTATTATTTATTGATAATTACGATCGACATAAGAATGGAAGAAAAATCCTTTACGATGTGAAACGAATGTGTAGAGCGGAACGAAAAAGGATTCAAAGGATCGAACCCAGTGCGACTGTTGACGTTATCCTGTTTTCACCTCAATCAAATTTGTTAATTTCCTCAATCAAAAATTTTCAGCGAAGTTGCAAGAGCGAGTGAAAGGTTCAAAACGGAATCGATATCTCTTGTTTCGGGAAGATGATCGATACTCGACTAGCCGGCATAGATCACTGGATCTAGCGATCCTGAATAATTTGTTAGGCAATTAAGCTATATACAAACGGGTGCGTTATCCTTAAAGGAGATCGATATGTCTCGTTGGTTGGCCGGGGAAGACCGTTCCGATGAATATTCTATTTATCTTCTCTTTTAATTATTTCTCTCTCTCTCTCTCTCTCTCTCTCTCTCTCTCTCTCCTCTCTCTCTCTCTCTCTCTCTCTCTCTCTCTCTCTCTTTCTCTTCTCTTTCTCTCTTCTTCTCTCGTTTATTCCTTTGCTGATAATGATCCATTGGTCAAGGCCATTACTGTTCCAGAAGCCCCTCTCGAGCTCGTATCAGAATTCAATTCTAAAGACGAATCCTGTAACAGAGATAACACGCAATTATAATTTTGATAATTATTGCAGCCTAGATTTTAATCATTACAAAGCTCCAAACTATACGTTATCAGTATATTTCTGAGACGAAGAAGATTGCGCTTTCCCAGTTCCAAGACCCTGCATAAAAATCCCTCAAAAATCCCTATTTCAAACAGGAAAATCTCTATACGAATATTGCGAAGATAACGAAAAGAAAGAAAAGATGCAAGAGACTCGCAACATTTTGAGTATCTATATTCTTTGTATATTAATTCCAACGTAAGATAGAAAAAACCAAGAAGACATATTGCGAGATGTCGAGATGTGAATTCGAGATTCGCTGGCGAACATCGGCGGAGGAGTCGGAGCGATGTGATTTATCGTGCGGCAAAAAAGTATCGCGACGACAGCATTATCCCGCCGTCGTCGCCGTCGTCTTGGTTGTCGTCGTGGTCGCCGTCGTTGTCGGCGCCGACAACACCGATTTACGATGTTGCCGTTAATATGCACCCGCGAAGAACGATTCTCCATCGTGGATGACTGCTTTTAACTGTTGTGCGGCGAGAATAGGACCGGTCATTAAGGCCGCCATGCTGGATCCATTACGATCTTTATGCTCTTTACGATCCTCACGATGAGATACGGTGGTCTCCGACGCCGTTTCTGACACCCGAGCGTGCGTCTCCAGCACTCGGCGGTCTATTCTCACCGGTGAATAAAAAAAATATGTCCGTCTTTCTTATTATTTCTCATTTAATCTCGAACGAAACGAAAAGCCGCAATTATCGAAATTCCCGCGAAACAGAGGCGCGAGTTTCCTTCGCGGATCGGAAGATTACGTCGCTCCGCGAGTCTCCCACGAGCGCGGAACACGGCTGTGAAAATTGCGAGGTGCGGAGGAAATCGCGATATAGCCGTGACGGGGAGAACCGAGATAATAAAATTCCAGAGGCAAAAGGACAAGAAAACCTCAGGGACAGAAGGATAACAAAAGCCGGGGGGAAAATTGACAATAAACTCGATAATAAAATCGACTATGTTTCCTCGTGTGTGTAAAAAGAAAAAGATACATGTTCTTCCCGCTCTCGGCTGATTTGCTTACCCCTCGCCGCTCGAATTCATACGCATCTTGCGAGGCCGCGGATGCGTGTGTGTGTGTGTGTGTGTGTGTGTGTGTGTGTGTGTGTGTGTGTGTGTGTGCGGAGAGAGCCTAACGATCCTATATTCCTAACAATTCCTATATCGATTCCGTTTGAAAAAGAGCCCCGTCGCTTTTCGGGGCAAATTACTTACAATGCTGAGAGCGTGCATGATGCAGGCCTGCGTGGTGTTCTCTACGTGGATCAATTCGTCGCAGTCCTCGTGATCCAAGCCGTTGACGTCAGATCGAATCTTGATCGGCGACAGAGCCGCTTCGTTGTCCGTTGACTTGCCACTGTCAGGGGACGGTATTAACTCGTGTCCATCAAGCTCCTCCTCCTCCGCGCGCTCCTCGCAGTCCGTAGCCTTGATTTCCTGTCATAGATCCCGTAGATCAGTGCCGGGTGCGCGGAGATTATCGCAGACGGAAAACCGATTAACGAACGTGCATCCGTCGGCCCAATCACGCGGGATCATTTATCCTCGCGAGGAAACGCGCGGCGCGGCGCGGCGCGGCGCGGCGGTCGCCACGGGAAATTGTAACGACGTCGCGGGACTTTGTCAATTAATGAGCGCGACGCGACGTAATTATCGCTACAGAGAGAGAGAGAGAGAGGATTTTGTTCCTCGCGTGAGACAAAGACGTAACACGAGTGTAAAATTTGGACAGGCGGCTTTGGGAAATTCAAACGGACGCGCGCCTATAATAACCGTTGCGATAGCTCCAGCACCGAAGAATAATACAATGTTTCGAAAAGCGAACTTCGTTCTCAAACAACGCGCTACGTTCGCAGCGTGCTGCCCGTGAAAATAAATAAATCACGCGAACTCTGCCTGTCCGTTGGCATGCGATGCGTCGAATTCGGCGGAATCGCAGCGCGACGCGAGATTCGACCGAAAGTTCGTACGAAAGATCACCGCCCGCTCTCATCATTATCCTCGGCGCAGAAGGTGTACCTGGTGAAAGCCTGAGGGAAACGCGACGGAATTGTGCGCTCCCGCGATATTAAAAAAAAAAAGAGAGAGGGAGAAAGAGAGAGGGGCAGAGAGAGAGAGAGAGAGAGAGAAAATATAAATGAAAAAAAAAGGGTCAGAAGTAGAATTTTTCGGCGCCGCTGGTATCTGTTGATGGGAAAACTGTTAAGGGGAGATGATGGGCGAGTGAAGGGAAAATGCCATCACCCGAGGGGGCACGGAAAAATATTACTTCGTCATATATTTCTCTGTCGATACGTCAAACCCAGAGTTAGCCTCGATGGAATCGACGTGTTCCGCGTCGGTCACTAGGGTTGCTTTTGCTGAGTGCAAGCACGCGCCCCTCGCGCTCTCCGCTTCTCCACAACTTCGTAGAAATTGTGTACGTCAAGCGTCATCGGGAAGAACTGTCTGCGTCGTCCTCGTCGACGTCGTTCACGGATGTGGATCCGAAGATGTAGATGTATCTCGTGTCTCTCAGGCAACGCGCGAGGCGTCGCGACGTCTCGTCGTCGCTCGGCCCGCGACGGCGACGCGCAATGCGCCGATAAATGTGACAGAAAATCACGCGCGTTTCCGGCGAGGGCGCGAGGCGGGTGGTGTACGGGAGATGGGTTTAAAGAAGAATAATTAATTCGGTGCACGCGAAGGACCCGCGAGAGTCGCGAGTCGATGTCGCATCGGAGTTAGTAATTTCATCGGCGGTTGCCATTCGATCGCGAATTAATTAACGAAAGTGAGAGAATGTTACTTATTTCAGCGCTGCGATAGGCTCTCGCGTAACATGCCGGATAATTACGCATTCGTGAGGAAGAAGGGGGCAGAGAGAGGGAGAGGGAGAGGGAGAGAGAGAGAGAGAGAGAGAGAGAGAGAGAGAGAGAGAGAGAGGAAGAGAGTCGAATACTTCCGTTAAATTCACATTTTAATTATCCGAAAAATGCGCGCACGCGCTCCCTCGCTCTCGGCGGCGGCGGTAAAACAATTCTGGTAATTCGTTAATTAGTTGCTGACAAATAGACCAAACTCGAGATGATCCATGCAAGTGGAATCGCGGTGTCGCGATTAATCGCGGCGTTATTTTATTAACAACGAATATAAAATTACGCGATTTGCGCGTAACGCGAGACAACACGCGGGCCGACACGCCGCGGGTGGTTGTTCACGGTGTAAACAAATAATAACGCAATTGCGTATAATTATACAAAATGCGGAAATAAATTGATGCTTATTAATCAGGTGGCGAAATAACTTGCGACACGAAACAAATCGCGCCGCGACGCGTCGTCACACAGACGGCCGATAATTTCGATCGCATTTCACGGCGGAAAATATGTAGGTCGCGGCGACGAGAAGAAACTTCCGAGCCCGAGCTTCGGGATGCTCTGACGTCATACCCTTCGCCGTCCCCGGAAGTTCTTGGTTCTTCTTCGGCTTGAGGTCCGTTCGCAAAATGTCGCGGCGCGGCGCCGGCATAAATGATAAGATCAGACGGACAGATAGATACATTTTTTGCGAAGTCCAGACAGAAGGTAACATCGAAGACAAAATGTTCGAGAAGGAGAGAGACGAAAAGAGGAGGAGAGAGAGAGAGAGAGAGAGAGAGAGAGAAAGAAAGAGAGAGAGAGAGAGAGAGAGAGGGCAGGGGGAGTGAGAACTGACCTGGAAATCCTGCGGGGAGGGCGACGACTCCTTCGGCTGGTCCAGGCTGGGACTTCGCGGCGGGCTGGGCGCTCTTGTGCCCAGCTCGTAGATGTTGATCATGTGGGCCGCCTGTGCATGGACCATCAGCTCCCAGGCGCTCAAGAAGGAGAGCTTGCAGAGGACGCAGAGCAGCGACGTCGTCGAGTCTCCTGTACGCATATGAAGGCGATAAATCGGTGAAAAGATGTCGAGATGTCGCGCAGCGACGAGCCGGACGATACGAGACAAAACTCGAGATCTTGCGAACTTCTTCACTCCCCCCTCGCCCTCCTGTCGCCTAGCGATCGTTTATCGTGCGACGGATAAATCGCGGGCTTGCCGACAAGTTTCATGGCGCGTCGCGTGCGGTACATACTAAAGAGTGCATCGTGAAAGCGCGTCGAATTACTCCGCTCCGAACGGAGGAGAGGGAGCGAATCCCCCGGCTGATTCTAATGTTTCCGTAATAACCCGCATGGAAATTTCTCAGAATTTTACCGGGAGCGGGGCGTACACTCCGATCGGAATGTCCTGAAATAACTCGTCCCGAAATAAGTTGCCCCGCTGTGACACCGACGGAGAATCCCATTCTTATCCCAAACACGACTTCCCGTCCTTGTCTAAAAAGCGAAGTAGGAACATCGTGGAACTCGATTCTATTCATAAGTAAAATCGGTGCTTTTATTTTCAGGTGGAATCATCTAATGAATCCCTCTTTCACACCAGCTATTTAAGAGCTATTCAAACCAGAATTCAAAAGAATAAAAAATTAGGAAAAATATGGAAAGTGTCGTGTGCATTTGGATCTTTTAAATATTTATACACGGAGTTAATACGCAAAGAGTTTTATCATGTTATGTGTTTGTTCCACTTCAATATAAAATAAAAATGAGAAAATCTTTAGAGAAACATTAGCGAGATTAAATAGAACAGGAAGACGTTTTTCAAATTTAGAATTACATGTTCGAAACGCATTAAACCTGAATCTACGTGGATTTCCCAGCTAGTGATTTAATATATATTTTTTTAAATTGAGTTGAAGCAAATTAAAGATCCCAAGAAATTTTCTTACGTGAGACGGATCAGATCGTTTTTAGAAAGAGTCAGGATAAGGCAATTGAAGATTGATTTGTACTCGATTTCGCCTCGTTTCGTCCTTTCTTCAGCTCGTCGTCTGACTCGGAGTCGCCGTGTGTGATGGAACAAAGTCTCAATCTCTGGGAGAGAGACGGACTGGCAGGGAGCACATATAAAAATTTGACGAAATGAGAACCGCCCTTTGATTTGCACAAAGCGCATCGCGATTGCGATCGCGATGTGTCGCGAAAGCGATACCACGGCTGCGGCAAGTTGTCGAGTCGGCCGAGCGAGGTCGACGGATTGTTTAATCTGATCGTCGTGTAAAAGCGACGGGCAGATAAACTGGACAGATTAATCATACTAATTCTGGAATCTTCCGGTGGGACTCGGAGCGCGTTTACGTACCGGAAGGAGACGCTTCGAAGTTTATTTCGAGTACATACTTGGGGCGGCTCCGTTGAAGGTGTGACATTTACATGTGAACCGCAACTTGCAATAGTTTCGCTTGTGCTCCAACAGCTCCCCGAGTTCCGTGAACATCTCCCTGCAGTTGCCGCAGATCAGTATGTCCGGATTGCCTACAACATACCTCCTATTAAACCTAATCTTTATTTGCCCGACGAGGAGGAGCAGGGGAAGCACGAGGTTTAAATTATGAAACCTTGCGATTATCGTCTCGTCGAGTTGATTGATAATAGAAATGCAGAGAGACAGGTTCTTCTTAGACAATGAACTATCGAATTCGGGGTTTCAAAGCATAAATTTACACCCGGTGTTAGAGCGGGAAAACACTCGCGAAATTCAACACAATTTTGTGTTCAACAAGCATTATGCACAACACAACCACGTAAAATCTGTTCCGATAACTTTGAATGAAACGTTGAATTATCGCAATGACCGAAACTTTTACGTCTTGATGAGAAGAGATTGGAAGCTTCACCTAATCCCTATTATGTACCCGAGCGTTCTCCCGCTCGTCTTCAGACACCCTGTACATGTGTACATAGACTGTCGTGTACATGGACTGAGTTCTCCACAAGAGGCTGCGAAGACTGTCTCCGAAAAAGATGACCTGTGCCAAAAGCTTTGTCTACGTATGCTTGACTCCCACTGGGGATAGCTGGACGAAAAGACAACATGACCGTGGACAACGAGAGGGTAATACGAGGTTTGATCGAAAAGTAACGAGAATGTTGAAATTGCGCGCGCTGTATCGTGTCGATTCAGTTGATTCTTTTTCTGTACGTTGATAGCACTACCGGTGACGTACGTGTCAATTTTCAGGCAGCTGCGACGCTTAGTTTGTTAGTTTGGCGAGCGAATGAGCAAGACGTACTTCAGTGCGTTTGGCGATTTTTTGTGCGGCGAAATCAGTCGGATCAGACAGCACACCGCTTTGCTTATCCAACAGTTCTTGGCGAAACACAACACCGTTGTAATCGCCGCAACCGCCTTATTCTCCAGACATGGTCCCCTGTGATTTTTCCCTATTTCCCAAACTCAAAAGGACACTCAGAGGACAACGTTTCTCAACAATAAATGAGATGAAGGCGAAGTCGCAGATCCAGCTCAAGACGATACCTGAAGAGGCGTTCCACCAGTGTTTCTCAAACTGGAAACCACGTTGGTACAAGTGTATAATATCACTGGGGGGACTACTTTGAAGGAAATGGGATAAACATTGAAGATTAAACAAATGCTCTCCGAGAAAATTAAAAATTCTCGTTATTTTTTTTTATCAAACCTCGTACATAAGCTGTCCTTCACATCTCGTCTGCAAACCTCTCACAAAGAGACGCAGTCCACATAGCCGAGTTTCGAGATCGAAGCGGATCAACGCGCGGGAACGCGCTCGCCCTCGGCGACGGCGAGTGCCGATGACGCGTGTTGCGCGCGAAACACTTACTGTATACTTTAAGTTGATTCAAGTCGGGCACTGTGCTGATGTTCGCCGTCGGTTGCTGTTTCTGCAGTTTCGGATGCTGCGCCCGCGTCGGTGGCATCAGACGCGGCCGCTTCAACGGTGGTGCCAAGCGCGGTGGAAATGCGGTCGACGCGTAGTAACTGCAAGTACAGGGCCATTTTGCAAAATACATACGGTAATGTGTGCCTGCGCGCTTGTGCGTGTGCGTGCGTGCGTGCGTGCGTGCGTGTCAGTCAGATTGGTAAACGCAGCGTCTCGGAACTATTGTGTATCGTTCGGCCGCGGCAGCTCAAATTAACAGAGAGCCGACGAGCGTGTTTCGATATATCAGCGGCGTCGATAGCGGCATTTGACATGGAGAGTTTAAAAGAGACGTCGGCCAATTAAATTTCGAGGACGCGACGTGTTTGCACGGACAGCGTGTATATTAACAAATGGCAACGCGCGTTACGCGCTCTCTCTCTCTCTTTCCTTCTCCCTCCCCTCCCTCCCTCCCTCCCTCCCTCGTTTGAACGTGTCGATTCGCACAGCTCACCCGTCCGCTCGCTTTTCCGCCGACAATCGCGTCATCGACGACCTTACAAATGAGCAATTGTCGAATAAATTGCATTCGCGAACGAGTGCGCTTTCTTAAGTGCATTTAGAGACGCGGCGGGATAAACGCGCGGCATTAAACGCGTTTCGCAGACTAGCGGAATTCCACTGCGAGAGCGTGTTCCTCCGAGAGCTTCCCTTTGTCGCGATATGTAAGAGAAAAAGAAAAAAGAGACGGAAAAAGAGGGAGAAAAGAAGAGAAAAAGGAACGCACAAGAGACCGCGCAATGGGGCGTCGTGTATCGCTTTTATTTTGTATGAAGAAAAAATTTCCATTCCTCCAGCGAAACGCCTTACCCGCTTTGTTCAACGGAAAGAGAATATCTCGTAAAAGAAATTATGCCTGTGCTCGCGGCAGATTTATAAGTCGAGTGTATTTGTTGCGAATTAAATGACAGACCGTTGAGCATTCGTACACGCCAAATTCATCGATAATAAATTTATAACATTTCGACGGCCACAGTGTCGTGTCGTGTGTATCTCGTAATATTTTCGTATATGTTCAATACGTAAATTACATAAACATATTAAATTATATTAATTAAATATGTAAAAGTAAGAAAAAAATGTTTCTCGTTGACATCATTCTGCAAGCGGCCATCGCCTTATAAAGAAATACTTATCGATGATAACAGTTTATGATCGTATTTATTTAACTCTACTCGAATTCGTATGCAAGGAGAGTGTTTTTGTTTTCTTTAGAAAATCCGAGAGCCTCGAAATTTGCCAGAGCCAGAAATCTGTCAAAAGAGTCTTAACCGAAATAAAAGAACGGCTACGAGAATGTTGACGCGCATATATATATATATATTGTCTATTATTTTCACCGTTCTAATTAATTAAAGTCCCAATTAGCGTTGTCGTCGTCAAGTTTCGCGAAGGATTCCGCTAAAATTGGAAAGCTTCGGCTTTAAGGGAGCAGCGGCGGCGACGATTGTTGCTTTAAAAGCTTCGAAGGTGGAGGCGCGCAGTAAAATAAATTACGTTTGAATAATTCAAGATTGTATCCGGTAATGCGGTCCCTTCAAATTAAGATCGAATTACTCCGGGATTTTTCCTTCGAGAGAACATCACTTTGCCGATATTAAACGTACATATCGCATAACCTCGATAGTTCATTTAATACTGCGCCTAAAATAATTATATGTATGTAATATGCGATACGCTCCAATCTGCTGTTCAATTCAATGGAGAATCAATACAATCGCGATATCGAATGAGGGGACTCGCGTTTAATAATGCGTTCGTTTATTTACGTGTTGTTTTACACGTAAGTGAAATTAGGCAATTATTTAAATATTATCGAATGCGAATTAGGTTGTTATTATTATCGCTTGATGAGCGAAAAAACTATCCAATGAAGGAGTGAGTGATCGAATCAAATTAAACGCGTTAAGAGAACGTTAAGCGTTTCATGTGATGTGTGAGCGATAGAAAGAGAAAAAGATATCTCTACAAAGATTTGAAGATTACTCTGTCATTAGAATCACATATGGTTCTGGGCTCGTATTAATTGTTGTTTCTTGAAATTTGCCTAGAAGGGGGAGGGGGGAGGGAGATACGTTTAAGTTTAGATGTGAGAGTTTTTCGATCGAATTCTCCATTACAAGTACAACGTCACTACATATTCCATGATTCGCTCGAAAGACCCAGAACGCTTCATTCAAGTCCGAGTATTCCACGCGATATTCAAACTTCAAAAATAGAAATTACCAGTACAAACCTCACACCTCTAACTTCATATCCTGATCTCACGGGGAACAAGCTTCAAGTAAACGACTATTAATACGAGCCGCAGTATTCTCAGTCAGCGATCTGTGAACGTTAACGAGCACATACATACGTGCGTCCCGTTAAATGCTTAACGGGACATCGAACAGGAGACGACAGTCGTAATACACGGCACGGATTTCGTTGGTGCGTTCTCCGTTTTACGGATATCGCTACGCGGTATGCACGCACGCGATTTTACGATGTCGGAACTCGCGGCTGCCATAAATACCGGAGATGCGGAGCCTGCAAAATGCCTCCGTTTGCGCTTCTTTTTACTGCCAAATGAACGCGCCCTTCGAGCTGCTTTTCATCGGTTTCACCGATGCGCGAAGTGTTAACGCGTTTCGAGCAATTTCGAGAATCTGTCACGTGCTCTCCTTTATTTTTTCTTCCCCCCTCTCTCTCTCTCTCTCCCTCTCTCTCTCTCTCTCTCTCCCCCTCTCTCTCTCTCTCTCTCTCTCTCTCTCTCTCTCTCTCTGAGAGCGATCACGCGAGACAATCGCACGTGATAACGAATTCACGACAATATCGCTCGGATTTACGGCGGACTGCGAGATCACTTTTGACAATTTTCACGAGTGACACAGCCCCATCCGGCTGACAAAATTTCAATTCGCCACCCTCAGCAATTCGTGCGGCGTGCGCGTTGCCGAGATCTGGATCTTGCAAATTGGAGAAATGAATGGTGATAAATCAACTCGATAATATTATCGGAGAACGTATTCGGGTCATTTTCGCGGACACAAAAGTCCGATTACATTGATATTATGATGTCGGACACTGATCCATTTCCTGCGAGGCTTCTAATTGCCGTGATAGACGTAAGTGGGTTAGTGTTGAGCGCGCGCGTCGGGCGGATCTTGTATCAATAAGTTCCGCTATGGCGAACCTCCCGGCAAATAATGCGCCGTGACGTAATTCAATTCTTATTCCTTCGTCGACTTGATTAATTAATTTAATATCTCGCGCTCTCCTCCTCTCACTCTCCCGCTCCTTCTGTCGTCGTTCCGCTTGCGACGGGGCGTGTCGGTCCCGCCGGTACGATCCGCAAACGGCGCGCGACAAACGAGATACGCCTTATCGCGATCGCGAGACATGTCTATCATCGTCGTCGTTATCATTTCGTCGCCGCCGTTACATTTATTTATCGCTTTGCTGCCCGTTTGTTGCAACGCCACCATTAGTTGCCGTCACTCATAAAAGGTTGCACGCGCGTAAAAAATGTCAGAACGAAGTGGAAAAGTGGCGAGTGGGTCGGGGAAGGGCGGGGAGGGGGAGGGGATGCGGGACGAGGAGAGGGAGGTGGAATTGGAGGGTTACGAATGGCCTCGTTACGGTATAGAATTATGACGTCGGTTATGAGAGACGCAATAATTGCGGGAAAACGCCGACCTGGCCACCGACAGAAATATTATTTATGGCTTCGAGGGGGTGAGCGCAAATCGTGATACTTGCGATAGTAAAATATGGCCGGCTGGTTTTGTCCGGCGGAGCATACATTGTGACGATGTCTTAACGGTTTCCGATGGGAAAGAGAGAAAGAAGAAAAACGTGAATTATTAGGGTTAAAATAATTAGAAATAAGGAGAGACGGCGCGCGGGACGGCGCGGCGGGGTTTAACGAGTGGCGATAAATGTCTCCAAAATTGGCGGTCTACTGCTGAGAAGGAACATCGATTCCCCGCAATAGAAACAGAGGCGAATCGAAAACCACTGACCGACAGTTTTGGTTTCGCAATGTTGCGTGGAGCTTACCCGCGCCGCGTACGTCCAAGTTCTTTATTTATTTGTTTTATTTATTCATCGGGAAAGTCCCAGATGTTAATCGGATTAAATTCCTTTCTTCTCGGGGTAAAGTCGAGGACTATCAAAGATAGTCCAACGTCTTGAGACATGCGATTGACCCCGTGCGTTGAAAGTCGAAGCGATAAGTCGCCCGGAAGCTGTCGTCATCCAGCCAAAACTGTTTGAGCTACTGCGAATATCGCTGCCTGCGTGCTTGTCCGAAGGATCTACGTATATCCTTATTATCGCGAATTACGGAGGCCATGGATATTTCAGTTGAGTTCTCACGCACTTGATACTTCATGAAAGATTGATTCGACGCGCTTGGCGATCGCGGTGCGCGCAGGCGCAGAAGGCGACCAAGCAGGCTCGGTTGGTCGAAAGACAGGTCGGACGCTGCGAGAAATCGACACTGATGAAGAGAGAAGGATTACGCATGTAAACTTCAGGGTCATCGCACGAAAATCTGCTTGAGACAGAGTTCTCGAAAGGAATCAATGTGAATTGATAACTCGAGCAAAAGACAGCATTTTGCATCAGCGGTGCAAAATAAGTAACGTGATTTGCGCGCCGTTTACAAGCGCGCGACAGAGGGCGCTGCAGGCGCGCGCGTAGTAGCCGAGTCGAGTTTTGAGTAACCGTCTCTGCAAATTTGCCGGACAGTGCGAAAGGGGCGAAAGTTGCGGCGCTGTCTAAGCTCGCCGTCAAACGCATTCAACTCAGCTTGATCTACATACAGTTACCCTAGCAGACAAAGGTACAAATCTAAGATTGAATTACGCGTTTCGGGGGAAGATTGATTTGATGGGTAACTAACGGCTAACCTAGATCGCAGGACGCCGTTGGGCCAAACGAGACGACGCTTCCGATCGATCGGATCTCGCGCGGTACGTGTATACAATATACATTATTTGTATTTAATTTGCACGGTCACATGGGATAGAATCCGCGCTTACGCAGGAGAGAAGACGGCCGATGCTTTTTGTAG